GCAAAAGCAAAAGGCTACATAGCCTGACGGAGGCTTTTGCTCCGAAATACAGTCTGGCAAAATAAAATAAAAACTAAAATTAACATGTCATACACAACTTAGCCGAATTAGAGAACATCATTATATACAGATACAATTTGCAAATTATGATCACACATGTAACCATTACAAATATAAAGAAAGAACAGGACAGTAAATAGTAATGAAATACCTAAAAAACATCGCAATATATACAATAGGTGAGGTAAGGAAAGCATCAGGAGACACATACATTCCTAAAAAACAACAACAAAAGGACACAATAGTGTACTCTAAGCAATTGGGACACAGAAAGTAATAAATAATCCAAATTTCTGTATTAAGCGTATTCAATACAATTATAAAGAAGAAATTCCTTGAACTTATTTTTGGAAGTTTTCTTATTTAGGTCAAGTACGTCACCCAGTTTGTTGAGGAGACTCGGTATTTGGTAATCAATATGTTGTTGACCATAGGTTGTTCTAGTTTTCGGTGTTCTTATACTATGTGTACGGAGATAGTACTCAGCACATCGAGAAGAATCGTACATGGGGTATAGTTTATTATTTTGGATATACAATAATAACTTATAATAATATATTTGGTTTGCTTGTAATATGAGATATTTAGGGAATAACGGACGTGCGCTAAGACCTTGTGGCATACCGTAATATCCCTCGAATAGTCTTAGTACCCTCTTTTGTAGTGTAAGTAATGTTTTATAGTTTTGAGCCGTCGTTGTTCCCCAACATAAGACACAATAACTTAGCCTGGAATATATCAGTGTATAATATAACGCTTTCTTTAGCCAAAGTGGTAATAACGGACATAGTTTGTACATACATCCAACGCTTCTACTTAGATCTGCTGCCAATTTATTTATATGTTCATTCCAGGAAAGGTCTTCCTGGAACCACACACCCAAGAATTTCTGTACCTTGACTTGTTCTAAAGTCTGACCCTCAAAGGAGATACTTAGACTTATATTCCGTGGCTTATTAATGGGTGCAAACAATATATATTTAGTTTTACTCGCGTTTAGCCGCAACTTATTTAGTTTAATCCAGGAAGACAACTTATTTAGATATGTGTTTACAGACTTTTCAAGTTGAGAGATCGATGAACCAGCAAAAAATATATTAGTGTCGTCCGCATACATGATTAACTTAGGAGAATCCGGAATGCTACACAAGTTATTTACATAGACTATAAACAACAGAGGACCAAGTATCGATCCTTGTGGGACACCTTTGTTGACCCTCGCACGGGGAGATGTCTCTTGATTAATAGCGACATACTGATAGCGGTCTGTTAGGTAATTTTGAATTAACCTATTGGCAACGCCACGGACACCGTAGTTATTAAGTTTTTCTAGAAGAACACTGTGATTCACGGTGTCGAATGCTTTGCGGAAGTCAACAAAAAGACCAAGAGTATATAGCTTTTTCTCAAAATTGGTTAGTATCTCGTTTTTAATATTGAGTAATGCAAGCTCGGTGGATTTACATTTTTGAAAGCCAAATTGGGCATCACTTATTACATTGTACTTCGCAAAAAATTTTTGTAATCTAATATTAATAGCGCTTTCAAAAACTTTTGACAGAATCGGAAGTACCGATATCGGTCGGTAGTTTCCAATCTCTTGGTCATTACCACCCTTGAAAACCGGACATACGCGAGCTATTTTTAATTCATCGGGAAATACGCCGGTAACAAGAGTTAAATTAATAATATGGGACAACGCAGGTGATATAACATCAGCGACGTATTTTATTGGTACAGCTGTAATATCATCGTAGCCTGCTGCACAATGGTTTTTTATCTTTGTTATTAATTCTTCGGTTTCATGACATGAGATAGTGTCATGAAATTATTAATTGCACTACATAACGAACACACCCACAGTGATGGGCATTAACGGGCTTTCCGACATTTAGTTGTGCCTTGTGACAGTTTACCAACAACACCCAGAACTGTTCTGTTTTAATTAACTGTGTTTAGCTCATACAAGTTTACAAAATGATGCACCAAAGCTCGTAAGACTGCACTCAATTGCTTTAGCTTTGCACATATGTTCAATGGGCTCCTAAAATAATAAATCATAAAGGTGATGAGCAGTTGCAGCACAGCTTCCTCAAAGACGTGAATGCTGTCATGAGGAGCAAGATTGTGTTCATTGCATGTGGTACTGGGATTTTTTTTTTTTTTTGCAGAAAAACGTTCCAGACTTCTTTGTGCACATCTGCTTCTGTTTAAATTAAGTTGTCATAACTATAGTGTCTACCACTACGAAGTGTAATTCTGTGCACTACGGTCATGCAAAAAAAAAAAAATCTAGGAAATTGCACAGGTAGTTGAAACATACATGATCTTCGCTTGTCTATACAGCCACACTGCAAGATAGTACGTATTTCAAGTCCTAACCTCTAAAAGTAGCAGGGAGAAAACAACTTCATTTTCAACCTCAAGTATACACAAAAATAAATACAATAACAAGTGTGTAATAAATGTGACCTTTATTGATCCAGTATTCGGACAGATACACATCATGTACCACCAATTGATTTGAGGAGTGGTTGCTTGTAAGAGAGTACTGAAGTTCTATGGATATGTCTATGCAAAAAAAAAAAAAAAGAGATTGTGCTCAAGGCTGAGCAGATAGTGTGTTGTAAGGGTACCAACAAAGATGTACAGATAACAAAGTTGTACAATGCATACCTGAAGCTTATTTTCTTAGAATTGGGCTTTTTCGATCTGTAAGCACACACCTCATAAATGTCCCTTTAGCATACGTGTTCGCTGCATACTTAGCAGACTGGTCATTACCTGCGACGAGAAATTCTAGCTGTGGTAACTTTGTAACTTAACTCTAACAAGAAATGTAGCAAGCCTGAAATATTTTAGGCCCATCCCCTAAATATATAATACCTATGATATTGGCTCACGACTGAGTATTAAACTAGTGCCTACGCTCTCGACACGACGCGACATTGCAGAATTGTGAAGTACTCAATGTAGCATTGCAGAGCGAGAAAGATTCAGAAATGCACGCATCCGCAATCGCTTATTTAACAAATTTAGCAAAACTACATTGCTCTCAATTTTCGAGCTATTTATCGGCAATGTCCAAGTTTCCTTTCCGGTTCCGCATCATGCATTCACTTCACTTGAAGATCAACACTACAGGGCAAGCGCCGCATCTGACGGCAGAATCCGACCCTTGTCTTGAAGCCACGCTATTAAACTCGAACGCCGCAACACGATGAGACCGACGCTCATTCAGCGATCTCGATGTTCAGTAATATGCATATGCTTGTTAGCTTTCCAAGAGTCTTTACACATGGATTGAAAGCTTTCAATATGTATGAGTGACTTGTTTTGTTCGGACCCGACCGTGTACATTTGGTTGTACCGGCTTGGACACTCGCAATAAACGATGCAAACCTTACTTGATTGACGTTGTTTTTTGCCAGTCGAAGCCAACTAGGTCACCTGGCGATAATTACAGACGCGAAGCGCGATTTAGCAACGAAAAAGAAAATACCAGAGGAAGCGAGCAGCGCGAACCACCCCCCCTGCAAAAAAAAAAAAAAACGCGTCCGTTTATTGATTATGATAGTCCTACCCGTGCCATCTAGCCTCGCGGTATGGCAGTTCAGTACGCCGCCGCTACGTATTTGCATGATATTGAGATACAACAGACCACAGGCACAGCTTCCATTCTCTAAACTGATAGGGTTTCTGCGGTATTAAGTACTCGGAATCTTTCTTTCGATACAATATTAGGGGGATAGCGCGAACGCAGTCCCCCACTACCAAAAATTGCATGCCCCATCTGCCCCAGTTTGGGGTAGTGGCAGGGGTCAGCACGAGCGCAGTGCAATGCCCGCGCCTCTCCCTGGGGGCACCGCCTAGTTGATCACGGTAGCCCCGGCACCAGGTAAGTATGCCTATGGATCGTTTTGAACTCGGTACCCACTGATAGCGACCCGCTAGGAAGCGCATGGGACTTGTGGAAGATGACGTAAGGTTTCTCCTCTTTTTTAATTTGAATATGTGAAGCCATCGCATTGAGAACACCCAGTCCACAAATTCACACAGTCCTGTTATATCAAATTGGTTTTCGCTCACACAAATATTGATAAAGGCTTGAAATTTGAGCGGGTATCACTCCAGCATTCGCAGAACCAGCGAGAACATTCTGTACACCACCAGAGGCGCCACTGCAGTGGTAATTTGTATCTGTCTAATGGTCATGAACAGGACGTACGATTCATCGGACTAGCTGTCCTGAAATCCTAAATATCCAATTGTGATCGCGAAGAAAAAAAATGTTATGGCATTACCTTGGCAAACAAAACAAATCAATAAAATAAAAACAAAATATAAAAGAAAAAACTGCGTCGGCCGGGAATCGAACCCGGGCCACCCGCGTGGCAGGCGAGTATTCTACCACTGAACCACCGACGCAATGCTACACAAACACTTTTATGCAAATGTGGGAGACGTAGTAAAGTCGTGTAGGCGTACATTTGCGCCTCACATGTACAAATGTACAGGGCTGCAGGAACTTCATTATCGCAAAATGGGCTAAGGTATACAAAGATGGTCAATCAGATCAAATATTACGCGCGTATATCGATTACATTGAGCATTTAGATGCGAAACTTTTATGTAACAAGCGAAAATTTTCTAGCGAAGAGTTAACTGCCGGACAACACGGAAGCCTTATCACAATCAGCAGAAGCTGTACATCTCCGGATACTTAACTAAATGTTATAATCGAAATTAACGTAATGAATGAAATTAATAGAGCTTTTTTGCTGATTTCTCCATTGATCGATAAGTGATAACCCAGAACACGACAACGTTGGCACCAGCACTCGTTCCGGGCATATCAAGCAAGAACTCCCCGCCGGATCACCGCATAAGTTATGCGTGAACCACCTGCTTGAGTATCTGACTTTCGATTTCAACATTAGGCCCTGCCCAAACGGGCAAGGCCTCCCAAAAATTGGCCTATAGGCTCATTGGAGTGCCCCACCCCACGGTAATCTTTAGTAAAAGGCGAAAGATTAATTCGAAACACCTGAGGTGAGGCCTGAGCAATGACTGGCAACGAACGCGGTTAGACACCTCACTTACAAAGGCCTTGCCAGAAGAACCAGTACTCTTTTACATTGAAAGCAATATTTTGTCAAATAAGCCAAAATTTGTACGTAAAACTTAATGTTTTTTTATTTACCAGTTCATTTAAATCACATCTTTTAACTGATATGAATATAATAAACGTGTATGCAAGCAAGGAATTTAATTTTAAGATAGCAATATTGCGCTACCATTGTTTTCAGACGCGATCATACGTTGTGAGTCAATAGATGGCGCAAGCACGCGGTCAAAAAGAAAACCAACGTTCTAGTAACGTTGAAGAAAACTGTAAACGAAAGTGAGCAAACAGAGCCAGTGTGTCGGCGTTAGTGACGAATGTAATGAACCTCGATTAGTATAGTCCCTTTGTCGGGCCTCCGTGGCTTGTACGCCGGGAGGCAGGCCGCGTCTGTTAGGCGCCTGGCGCCGAACGGTGGCCCCCTTTCCAGGGCATGGCCGGCTGCCCCAAACAAAACGCCCCCCCCCCCCCCCCCCCCCCCCCCCCCCCCAATCCCTGAGGGGGAGGCAGTGCCGGGACAGACGTAGGATGATGATGGGTTGATGAGTTAAGTGTGACTCTGGGACAAAGCGCTTCGGCGCCGCGTCTCCTTCCTATCTTGACAACGGCACCTCGATTAGTGGTTCTCTAGTCACGTACGGTACGGTCTCGTACGGTCAGATTAGTCACAGGACTTTGTCCTACGTAACCTCTCTGTTCTGGATGCAACTTAACGCGACTTGAAATGGACGCCCACACGAAAGACACCGTGATGAGCTCTTTTAGACTATCGAGTGTCATTTCAGCAGCGTGGTTTTCGTCTATACTTTTCTTCTCGTTTGTGTGTGTGTGTGTCATGTGTGGTCGCATAAATTAATTTCTAGCGGTTTTTTGTGTGAATCAAAAAGTTTATTTGCGCAGGTCATGAGCGAAAAATTGCAGCAATAACGAAAATATATGTTAATTACCATCCATTAATACATCTTTGGTTTTCCCTGTGAGAAATAACACCGTGTAACTTATTCGGCCATGTGGAACTGCGTGGATTTCAAAGAGGCATCTAGGGTTTGCATCGCACACTTGGTTAGAAACGTACTGTGACATCACCCCTCGCCCATCATATGTGCTTCTATGCAGTCCACGCGAGAATAGATAGAGAGAAAGCACCTGACTTACTCATGCTGTCAAAACTACAAGGACAGTATTGACATGAGATGAGATTCTTTTACAACACAGAATACTGGCTTACTGAAAATATTGACATCAGGTGACTTAAATTTTGGGACAAGGAGTTCGAAAGTGTAAAAGTATTTGAAGAAGGAAAAGTGTGGTGTGTTTTTGATGCTCCAATGTAATGCCGAAAGTAGTGAGGTCGGTGAGGTATCTATGGAAGACATGGATAAGACGTATGGGATAGCACTGGTACACATTAATGTTGCAATAGTTACCATACAGAGGCTGGTGACATGTCATATTAAAAAAGAAAAAAGTTCTGCTTACCCTAATGCCTGTACTTAACAAGACCATTTCAATATGCAGGAAAATTTATGCGACTTAAAAAGCAAATTCAGTATGCAAGCAAATTAAACAGGTGTGTCTTTCATGGGAATAAATAGAAGAAACATTTCTGTACAAAGTGGCTTTAGATGTAAGCTCTGGGTGTAAACTGTGTGTGAAACCGCGAGTGTTGTGCAATCTTGTAATTAGATGTGCAGTGTATAATTAAAAGGATTTTGGATTTTATACCTTTATTTAGCCAAAGCTTGCGAGTAGCACAAAGGCCAGTTTATAGTTTGTGACAACTATTAACAGTGTTTGAGAGGCATGCCAATTGACTCACACTGAGAACACCCCCACATAGGTCGCAAGATATCGTGTTGGAAGTATCAGCTTTGTCTAAAAGACAGTGTTTGATATTCAACAAATCATAAAGACTGCACATTACCAACAGTGTAGAATAAACAGCCTTCTGATTATGGTTCTCAAACATTTATGGCTGCAGCAGTGGTGCGAGAGAACATATGTAACACAATTATCACTGCACTTCTACAGTAATGTTGCTGATAGGGATGCTCATTTAATGCATATTATAAAATTACTTATAGTGTGAAAGAGCAAAGCATTTGGGGTTGCCAATCATCCCAACTTAGTTTGCAAACTCTCCCAAACTTTCGATTGTACTGCTGGGTGCAGCCATCTTGATGAGTAGAGTAGCTCCTACAAAAGCGATGGCTGTGGTTTTATGTGCCAAAACCACGACACAGTATTGAAGCACATTAAGTGGGGGGCTCCAGAAATTCTGGCTATCTGGTGGTCTCCAACGTGAACCAAAATATCACAGTGTATGAGCCTCTAGCATCTCGCCTCCATCCAAATACAATCACCGCAGCCAGTATTGAGCCTGCGATTTTTGGGCCAGCAGCTGAGCATCGTAACCACTACAACGGACCAGCACCTACACAAAATAACACTTGTAGTTTATTTGCTGGTACATCTTAACTGCCTCAACAAATGTGCCACTCTTGTCTACAAAATGCTGCAGTGAAAAATGATATGATACCTTGATATGCCCAGTGCAGCAAATAAGTCGACAAGGCCGCAGTTTTATTGAATAAATACACATACAATGCAATGCTTTCATTTACTTTTCCTTAACTATGGCACATCTTGTTAGATACCTTCTTGCTGAAGAAAGTGGGTAGGTCTCGGATAATATGCAATTGCACGATCTTGAGGACTGGACCTCAAATAATAAATGTATAGACGAAAATAGGAGGTGAATTGCTGGTGTCACATCGCACACTCTCAGTCAACTCTCTTAACAGTGATTGGCTGCCTGATGCTGCTTGCGTGAAGAAAAAAATGCTGATTGCGATCAGGCCCAACTGTGATTAAATGTGAAGAATTGTGATTAAAAGCAAGTGTGTGGCACCCGTATAATCCAAAGGTGCCTGGGCTGCATTTTAGTAGTTCGTCTTGACGATTCACCTGGAAGGAATGTAATAACTGTGCAACTAAATGTGTCATAAAAGAAGCTTTTCCATATTTCATAACTGCTTCCCAAAAGCTTGTTTTTACAAACATAGATTTATATGTATATGCATTGAATCTGCCACAATTAACCTTACTCAATTGAGGCTTGAATGTATGAACTCTTATAATTTACGATGCTCAACGGTGTTGAAGCATTATAATTTAGCATTTTTCATCACAACCATTCAGATAAGAATTGCCAGGCATATTGTCACACAGGCCTTCCGAGTCAACGCAAGAGCCATCCCCACCCACCCCTCATTCTTTCCTCTAATTTTTAATTCTCAACTCCTCCTCCAGTTTCACACAACCTACCTTGACAAGTGCATATACCGCATTTAAGGTAGGTCAACACCTGCGAGAAAAAGTATTACAGTTTTAGTCCAAATGCTACAAGTATAGTCTTTGCTTGTAGGACTTCAAAAAATTAAAATTAAGATGTTAAAATAGCTAGAAATGTAAAAAATTAAATTTATAAAAATAAAATAGTGCCAAATACTCATGTTGTGCCAACAGTGATAACTAGAAAACTTTTAGTGCCACTCAGACGCGACTAGGCTGTGAGCACAATACCTGTGCATATAACCGCAACAATCATCACATCTTCAAGCTTGGGCACTTTATCATAAAAAGAATAAAAAAGCTGATATTGGCAAGTTTATTTTGTATGCAATTGGCCATTTTACAAAAAGTATCATTTGGTATCAATACTGCTTGAATGCACAGCTCAACCTAAAAAGAAACAGCACGCAATTTTTTTGAAAATATTGGTTAGAAGCAGAGTTACCATTGCTTGCGTAACACCAGGATGCAAAAAAATTCATCTTTTGAAAAAAAAAAAAAGGGCTTTAGAGATTTGATCCGAATGTCCATGCAAAGAAGAAGCATTCAATACGCCTGAAATTGACTAGATTTTTTGAAGTGGTACAAGCTTTTTTTTTTTTTTTTGAGATAGACAAAAAAGGTATTTTCTTCCTAGGTCATTTTTTGTCTTTAGGCGACTTGCATACCCGTGCTCCACAGTGGGTCCACGCTTGGAGTATTGAATTGGTAACTTGTGTTTACGCTTCTTTTTTGTCTCATACTTAACCATGTTTCATGACTATCGGAACTTAGTTGTTTTTCAGCAAGAACTAAGTTCAAGAACTGAAAATGCCATGGAAAACAACACTAACTGCGGAATGCAAACGTGCACAGATATATTAATAGAGTGCTCCCGCGTAGTAGTGAAAATTTTGAAATAAAATGAGAACGTGATTTTCCAAAAGCTTACTTAGATAACTCAACATTACGTAATATGTATACAAAAAATATTTATGACGAGATGGTAGGTGTTGTGGAATTGGAAACATTCAGTTTTGGTTTCGGATGCATTCAGTATGGGTTGAAAAAATGGCGATATTTTTTTAGTGACTCAAGATAGCTACATAACTTTTTCTCTAAGCATTCTTGAATGGATAAAGAGCTCAAAAATAGAAAATCCCCCCAAAGCTTTTTTTTTTTTTTGCAAGAAACGCGTTTTTGAAGGAAGTGACATACCTTAAAATAATCAGATGGTATTTAAACTACAGCATATGAGCACTGCATGCGTATACTATCGTTATCACTAAGTAGTCATCACCAAAGTGCATTGTTGACACTTCAACCAGCATCTGCCCATTTGGAATATAGCTTATGCTATACTGTTCCCTTGACATAGTATGCATATGCTATTCAGCACACAATCCCGAGGTTCTGCACATGTGTTCAGTAGTGTAGCAGAGCAGTAAGAAAGACAATCATTGTGGGTTTCTGATTCAGTCATTTTTAATGTACAGTCTGTACACAGTGAAATATGACAAAGTGCAAGGCGGCAGACTTCTTGCATGGCGTATATTAACATTCGCGTTCACAAAGGAATTGAATACATTTCAGAAGACCACGAACAATGACAATGGCAGAATTCCATAAATGAAACTCGCACATGTACAAAAGTTGATGTCAGCACTTAAAAGTTAAACTGTTACACTAAAACAATGTACACAACAATCTGCAAAAGCGATGACGAAAATCTGTACAAGGAAAACAAAAAGACATGGTCTTTTCGAAAATTCAAGAGAGAAACCCGGGATCGATACAATTCATTCTGATGTAACCTTATCAAGATGGGCAGTAGATAAGCAAAAATATTTTATATAACACAAAGACTAAAATCCCGAAGATAAAGTAAATAATATTTGCTTTCCATACTCCATTTTCTGCGTCTAGCTTCTAGTGCACTGAAGCAACTACATGTGTGCACGTGCATGTAGATATATATATATATATGAGAGTAATGATACTTTATACAATGCAAGAAAACAATACGAATGGTGTGCATACAGCTGACAGCAACCAAGGCAATGTGTACAAGAGTGTAACCACGCACACGCAAGCGATGAACAGAATAATTTAATGCGCTTTATAAAACACGAGTCACTGAGCGCCCTTGCGTCAGACGTTATTGCCTATGTTACAAGAGCCTAGTTTCACTGGTGTTCAATGAGAAACAGGTTGGCAGGCAATACCTGAACCATTTCCCTTTTGGAAGCTTAAAAGAAGAAAAAAAAAAAAGAATTGTGCATGAGAATGGTCACACACAACCAAGGTCTTTTTCATAAATCCATCATCAACACGAGGGCAGCGTGAAGGCCTGAAAATAATTGTGCATGAGAATGGTCACACACGACCAAGGTCTTTCTCATAAATCCATCATCAACCCGAGGGCAGCGTGAAGGCCTGAAAAGTACCGCTGAAAACAATTTGTTTCAGCATTCGTGAAGCTTGCATCTAAAAACTTGCCCCATGGACCCATTGTGTTGGCAGGTAAGAGAAGATAGCAAAACAACATACTTAAAATCTTGGCACAAGGGCCCTTTGTATAAGGCAGTTTTTCAACCACAACAATTCCAAATATGACCCCTTTTATCACGAAATCTGCACAGTGAAGCAATAATGGCCTGAAAAGATGGCTATGGCATTTTTTGGGACTAGCAGGCAGAAGTGATAACAAGAGATAGGTGTAAAGATAACATCGTAATCTATGTTATACATCCACTGTCTGTACATGCAACGCAAACAGAGCTTTCATCAATCTTTCGACATTTACAGCATTCATCATGATGCTCATTAAAGCAGAACAAGTTTTACAGGGAAAGCCATTAGCAGGCATAGCAACAAGAATGATAATAAAGCTTTGTTAAATGAAAATTATGGTAGCATCCCTGAAAGAAAGTTATACACTTGCTAAAATAATATTCCCATGCATTTCTAAAGAGGCATTATTAAAGTGATAGTGCCCTGTCTTGGCAAGGTGGCATCTAAACAAAATTTGCAACTGATTCACCTGACTTTGCATTTGTTCACTCACACACTTGTAGCCTTCCACAATTCAGACTTTATCTTTAAATCCACACAAGCTATAGTCTGCACCACCTAAACTTGGTTATTCAAGCAGTCAAGTGCCACAGCATTTTAAGTTAAAAAACGTTTCCTCCCTGTGAGGTATAGACTCTCTTGCTTTATGCTCAAACCATTTCAGGGGTACTTACTTCGGTCATTATTCTTTGCAACAGTAAAGATTTTATCATGCATTGTAGCTATGCCAAGTGTCCTTTGCCACAGACATATGCATCCCTCTTGCAACACAACATGACCGTTTATGAGCATCGATAGAGACTATCATTCGCGCAACGGTTGTCAATCTTTGGCTTGTTCAAACAAGCCCACATTTTCACAACTTATACATATTTACATGCACGTTACACAACAAACAAACATGCAGCATACAAGTTGCAAGTAAAATCTGAACATGATGACACTATTAATGCCAGTGCACGAGTGCGCAAGTGTAAGGAAGTACCTTCTGAACACTCCGGAATTATCAAACTGCACAGAAAGAGACAGGACCTTCTATCGAGGCAAGGAATGTTGATTTGTGCTGTCTGCATTGACTTATTGCGGGCAAGTCAGTATCTATACATCAGAATTCACAGCAGGCCTTTTCTGCGAGACTTTTTTCGGATAGTGTGACTGACCGGCGCACAGGAAGAGACAGAATAAGCAACAGTGATTGTTATGAAGGAGTTGTGCAAGAAGAGGAAATTCTGAAAAAAGCAAAGGGGAGCTGACCAGTAAAAACAACCTCTCCATTGGTACACAGGGTAGTACCAATAGTGCATCAGAGTTCCACGCACAAGACGAAGCAATTAAGCCAGATAACTCATAACATATAACGAACATGGGCTACAAACAAAACGAAAGTATATTTTACATCAATAACAAAAAAAAACATGCCTGAATGAAAGCAACATAATTCACAAATTGCCATGGCTGGCCACATCATCTTAGTGAGCAATGCAGGGGGCACATAGTACTGTCCCTCGATTGCTATGCACCGGAGTGTTCCATCTGGGTAACATGGTGTCGAAGTAAGGCCTGTTAAGGTCCTTCCCTTCACCACCGAGACATCGGAACATGGGCCAAACAGGCGAAGGTCGAGACGGCTTTCACCCTTGCCAACCGCCTTTCCGCGGGCAGTGCCATCCATCTGCGTATTAATGACGCGGTTCTTGAAGTGATCTTTGTACAGAGGTATCTATCCGAGATGTAGGCAGCCAGCCAAGTCCCTATTTTACAAACAATGAAGGCATGACCACATAAAAGAAAACAATAATGGCAATGAGGAGTATACAGTGCATTGCGATGACACGGGGAAAGCGATGTGGATGCACACGTGTGTTCGTGCACACTGTGCGCATGCCCCCCAGCCGGTCGGGGTGGGTCACAAACCTGCAGCAGAGGCGTGCGTTATGGGGGTGGCAATGGCTGTGGTGAGGTTTAAAATGAAGCGGCGGGTGCCAGGAGTCACATCTTCTCTCGCTTCTTGAGCGGCCGTTTACTCACATATTTGCCGATGATCTCCACTATTCTAGGCTTGTGATCAAGCACCTTAAGTACCTGCTGCTTCGCTTCTGTCACCTGGTCCTGCACAATCCTGCTGCGCTGAAGGTTGCCCTGTGTGCATAACAAGGGGTCGGGGACGAAGATGGGGTAATAGGAAGCTGTTATTAAGGAGAACCAGCAAATCCTGTTTAAGCAAAACAGTGGAGTACAGAATGCTAAAGGATGTTGTTTCGAGAATAAGCGAAAAATCGGGAATAAACATTTTCGTTAGACACAACTACGTGAAGCCAATGGTGGGTGAGAAAGCCACGAAAAGTATAAGGGGTGTTATTCATATGCTTGAATTTATGTATACTATATGTGAAAGAAAAGAGAACTAAAGTGGGCAAAAAACATGGTGTAAAGAGAAGGACTAAGCCTACAAACTCTGCATCGCATGTGGCATTACACTAATGGATGTTGCACAGTGACGGCCATTAGTGCGTCGTCTTTCTTCAGTATTGCTGTATGTGTGAACCAGGGTGAGTTTGCCAATGCAACTCATCACAGCGCACTGCAAAGATAATTTTTGAAGTTCATCTGCCTGGCAAGAAATGTTCCACGTTTGCCACTGTATCTGCGAGTGATGCTGGGTAGTGCCCTACATTCTTCCTGTACAGTTTTGAGTAGTACGTATAATGTCTTGTTTTAGCACTTACCGTATAAGCCGGAATATAAGTCGAGATATTTTCAATAAAACAACGAGCTAAAGTCGCCCCTCACCTTACATAGCTGTGTCTAGCTGACAGTGCACTGCTGTCTGGCAACATGTGGCTTGCATGTGCATGAGAAGCTGGACATGGCCGTATTTGCATTCAAATGCAATAGCACGTTGTTTTTTTTCCTCTCTTGTCTGTTTTTTTGTGTTCGTGATTTGCCTCCAATCTGTTCTAAGTTCTCGCTCCGCTTGATATCGTGTTTCATTTATACAGTCGAGCCAGACTATATCCAACCCGTTTATATCAAATAATCCCGTATATCAAACAATTCATAAACACGGTAAGTTTACATTGAGTATACAAAGAAAAAATCACTGTTTTAACGAACGAAAATAGCAACGAAAACTAATATATCAAACTCCATGTGCCTTAAAAGTGCCCCAGCAAGTTGGCTTTCCCTCGCGATGGCGGGGAAAACTGCCGGCGCCACCCTAGAAAAAATTGGTTAGACCCGGTTGTGCGTGGGAGAACACCCCCCTCCAAAAAATAATCCTGGCCCACTCAGCAGTGCTTACAGCCAATCAGAGGTCCTCGTGCTTTCTCGGAGGCGCGGAGGTGGTAGAAGCGAGCTGCCATTTTTTCTTTCTTTATGCTTGTGTGCCTGCTGCCGCCGATTCAGCGTGGTCTGTGGTGTTGCCTGTTGGTGCTCTGTGACTTGCGCAAAGAGGCAAAATTTGCCGTTCGCCGCGAAACTCGAAATTATCAATCGGGTTGAGCGCGGTGAAATGAAGTCCGACGTCGCCGCCCCGTACAAAATTCCAAGGAGCACCTTGAGTACTATCCTGAAGAACAAGGCAGACATCAGGGCCAAGTCGGACAAAAGGCCAGGCGCCGGTGGTGCCCGATGTGTGCGCGCTAGTGTGTACGAAGATGTTGAAGCGGCCATTTACAAGTGGTTTGTGGACGTTCGGTCTACCAGGACCTTGCTTTTCTGCTTGGCAGGAATGATTTCCAAAGGCGGTTCAGGCTGGCTTCAGCGGTTCAAAGAACGGCATGACATCGTTGGCAAAGCTGTTACAGGTGAAATCAGAGCGGCGGACCTGGAGAGCGTAGAAAAATGGCTCGAGGAAAACTGGCGAGATATTGCAGCAAGATATAGAGCCCAAGATATCTTCAATGCGGATAAAACCGCTCTATTTTGGCAAATGTTGCCAAACAAGACACTTGCGTGTCGTGGCGACAAGACGAAGCGGCGGCAAGGCAAACAAAGCTCGTGTGTCCGTGCTGTTGGCAGCTAATTTAGACGGATCGAAAAAGCTTCGACCTCTGGTTATCAGGAAAAGCACGGCACCGGTGTTTTTGAAATGCGCTGTCGCTTCCAGTTACCTGCCGAGCAAACTCAAAAAGGGTGGATGACCAGGGAGCTTTTCAGCAGATGGCTATCGTCGTGGAATGATGATTTGGTAGGCGAAAATCGCAAGCTGTGCCTGCTCGTGGACAATTGTTCATCGCACCACTGCAGTACGACCTTCAGCAACATCGAGCTGCGTTTTTTTGCCCCTGAACACTACGTCTGTACTGTAACCACTGGATCAAGGCGTTATATGCGCAATGAAAGCCGGCTATCGGAAGTGCCTGGTGGAGAGGCTGCTGCAGAACCTTCGTGTCGGCAGGGAGCTTAAGATCGACCTGCTCGAAGCAATTTCTATGTTGAGTAGATTGTGGGCAGATGTCAAGAAGGAGACGATCCAGAACTGCTTTAGGCATGCCGGCTTCCGCATGCCTGGTGATGACATCCCATATTCTGACAGCACTGAAGACACCGCAGGTCTTTCCGCCGAAGTTTGGAACGAGCTGGCAGAGTTCCGGGTGCTATCGACGGATCGACATTCGGCGAGTTCGTCAGTGCAGACGATGATGTCCTCATCATGGGCCAATTACGGGATGAGGATTACATTGCAGATGCCGTGCCGACCACGAGCCAAAGCGACAGCAATATGGAAATAGACGACGGCCCATTGCCTACATCCTCCGAAGTGATTAGTGCACTTGCGTTGGTCCGGCGCTATTGCTTGAATGTGGAAGGTTGCTGACCTCAGCTGCTCCGACTCGTTGGACAACGTGGAGCCGTGCGTGCTGTCGCAGGCAGCGAAGTCGTTGACACAGAAAAAATTCGGGACTATTTTGTTCCACAGTAGGGCACTGCAAGTAAGCCACCATATTAATAAAGTACTTTTCTTCTTGTTTGTTATGTGCCTTTGTGTCAAAACCTATACCGAGCCTATATCGAATTATGCCATATATCGAACTAATAAACGTTTTTTGGCGAGTTCGATATACCCGGTTTCGACTGTAGTTGTCTTTTTTCGTTCGCTGAATATGAGTAGCTATACGAGAAGGCTGTACTTAGCTGTGTTTAAACTAGAGGTTGTTGAGTTCGCAGAAGCGAATGGGAATATGGCTGCTCAGCACCACTTTGGTGTATCAGAAAAAAGTGTGCGCTATTGGAGGGTGCAGAAAGGGAAGCTGCAGATGTGCAATCCTCGAAATGTCATTTCGTGGGTGAAGTGCGGTTCATTCACAGCTGGAGGATACGCTAGAGAACTTTTGTGGGAAGTTCATGTGTGCTCGCTGCCAGTGACCATGGATACCATTCGCAAGAAAGCTGTGGAACTCGCTCGTGAAGCTGGGCTCACAAGAGAAGAGTTTCGTGCACCAAACTCTTGGGTGCGTCGATTCACGAAACGCAAAGGATTTTCTTTCCGGTGGCGCACATCCATCCATCAGAAGTTTCGAGACGAGTTCGAGGACAAGCTTATAAACTTTTAGGGCTTTGTTAACCGGCTTCAGGAACAGAACAACTACATGATGGGGCATATTGACAATGCCGATGAGACTCCCGTGTGGTTTGGCATGCCCTCATCAACCATGATCATGCAGCATGGCGCCAAGGATATGAAGCTGTTGTCCACTGGCAACGAGCACTCGCGCTTCACCGTCATGCTGGCATGCATGGCAGATTGTAGAAGGCTTCCGCCCTTCATCATTTTCAAACGCAAGAGAATGCCGAAGGAAGTGTTCCCGCCCGGTGTTGTCGTTCGCGTCAACAAAAAGGGATACATAGACGAGGCCATGAAGCTCGAATAGATACAAGCAGTCTGGAACCGTCAGCCAGGTGCATTGCTGCGTCTTTGCAGTATGCTGGTGTTAGATGCGTTTTGTGGTCACTCAACCGAAGCCGTGAAGCGCGCACTGGGCAATGGAAAAACGAACCTCACCGTGATACCAGGTGGTATGACGTCCACCCTCCAACCAATCGACGTTGTGCTAAATGAGCCATTCAAGGACCAAGTGCGGCTGGAGTAGCAAAAGTGGATGTCCGGTGGCAACCCAAAGACACAGACGGGCCACCTACAGAGGCCTCCGCTTGCGACTGTTTGTAGCTGAGTGCTTTCCGCCAGGCGTTCCTTGCCAGATTCCATGGTGGAAAATGCTTTTAAGAAATGTTCCATCGGCAACTCGCTGTATGGCACGGAAGACAACGCACTGTGGGAGGCGGCTAGCGACAAACTCTCATCTTCAGAAGACAGTCGTGCTTCGTCTGACGAATAGGAACAGTTGCGACGGTGGTTGAGGGGAGCTCTGACGATCGGGGTGCGGTGTGCCCAATTTGCAAATAAGTGTCGTTCGGCAATTTCGGGTTGTTTTTCTTTTTTTTTCTTTTTCAGTAACCTGAACTTGGTGGGTCGACCTATATTCCCACACGACCTATAGTCCGGTTTATACGGTAATACCGTTTCAATCAATGCGGTCACAGAATAGTACACACAGTTATTACATGTTTTTCTTTCTTTTAGCTCTTTATCGAATAGTTAAATGTGTTGGATGACATGACTCACCTTGATGAGGTCGTTAATTTTGTTGAGTATTCGCTCTTCATCCATGTTGAGTGGCTTCACTCGTATTGCTGGCGGCTTGTCTTCAATGAAGTCTAATAACTGTGACAGCTTTCTGTGGACTGTATCCTCCAGGTCAACCTGCAAAAAAATAAGCCACAACTTACAATAAAAAACCAATGGTATTCCAAGAGAATCAAAAGGTACACTGCCTTAATAAAATCAGACCATTTCAATCCACAATTAGAGTGAAACCCCATTAGTACGTACCTGCCAGGGACGGCGGCATAACTTAAGCAATAAGTGTACTACGCATTAACAACCAGCTGCAAGTTAGCATCTCCTGACTTGCGCCATTGCTGCCAAACAAAGGAATGAATTCAGTGCCACAGGAAGTACTGCTGAAAGTGCCCACCGCAATGCCATTCCTTGATATGTGGGGTTTAACGTCCCAAAACCACCATATGATTATGAGAGACGCCGTAGTGGAGGGCTCCGGAAATTTAGACCACCTGGGGTTCTTTAACGTGCACCCAAATCTGAGCACACGGGCCTACAACATTTCCGCCTCCATCGGAAATGCAACCGCCGCAGCCGGGATTCGAACCCGCGCCCTGCGGGTCAGCAGCCGAGTACCTTAGCCAGAAAAAGCCATTCCTTTCTTTCTGCCAAAGTGTAGAAAACATTCTGTTACTCTTGCATAACCGTCCGATAGCCGGCGGTGGTGACGTCAAGAAACACTTTGAAACTATTGCAGGGTTGGGGACACGCAGTGTGGTGCAGCGACAAAATGGACATAATCGGTTGTCCAAGATACACGAGTTCCATGGTCTGTTTGCAAGCGAAAACTGATTGAGTTTGTTTTTTCAAATGCAGTACAGTTGCAGGGAGCCAAATCATTTAATGCTGGGATAGTTGTGAGCAGTCCTTTGCCTATTCAGCGCACAACGTAACTGCCGATGCGCTTGCTGCAGAGCACCCACTCCGCTCCAGGCCATGCATAGATGCGGCGAGTAGTCGATTGGGTTAAAGCGGGAGGTTTCCGCAGGGGATGCTCTTGCAGTCCTGGCAGCAGATGGAGCCTTGTTTGGGCTGTCACTGAATAAACGTGTGCAGAATGGTTACACCAACGCTACGCTTGTGTTACCATAATACAGCAAGGTTTCTCAGTGTCTGCGGCCCGCAACGCTGAATTCCGCGACAGCGAGCTGTTTGCATTTCTGTAAAGCAGTGCACGCTTGAACACAGTTCCGCACAAGAAAGTGGCAGCGATCGGCTGCTCAGCACATTCAGGTATTCGCCTACTCAAAGCATGAAGTAGGCTTAAAGTGGCACTACACAACACGTGCATTCTTTAGGAGATAGTGGGGGATGCTTACCAAGAGAAGGCTTTTCTTCGAGGATAAGCAACACCAGGCCCGTTTGTCGGTGGTCAGCGACATCGCTTTCGTTTTTCCCCTATGATTACCTCAATGTCATCGCCGCAATAGCGCAGAAGTCGGAATAAATGATCAGCTGTTCTCCGCACTTAACATGGCGGAAAAACGCTCGCAGCACATCGTGGCATCTGCAAGTTCTGTGGTACAGTAAAATTTTCTGCCGCAAAAATTCATTGCGGTATGCAGTTAGTACGTAATAACCAGTAGGCCTAGGATGAACACTAAAGCTTGATTGAGAATGCATTAGTCTCCATGAAACTCGGTCAGGGATATCGTCACAAGCTAGGTTTTAGCCGTTAGTATGCTTAACACGAGTACGTACAAACGAGGTTTGACTGTAGGTCACTGTTTCTCTACAGCACCTGCTGTGCTTGTGGAAATGTAAGTGTAAAACTGATTTCAACAGCAAAGCTGTTCTACCTTGCGGTGAAAAGTCTGCCGGCCCAGAAGATTTCGCCACATCGCAACTGTGACGCGCACAGCTGGCACCCTACCTGTCATAAGGCAGTGCATGTGCGAAAGCAGCAGCTGTGCCAAACCACGACCACTGTTGGAGACATCGCACGCAATCAGTTTCTGCCATTGTGCCAAGGCCGCTTACTGGAGGACTTAGCTTGCTGCGAGATGGAGGCTACATCACCAGCGCTGAACGAATCCTGCCTACTTGGCTGGCGAGGCAGCAGTGAAGAAACCGCGGCGGCCAGATCCGAAATACACTTGACAAGAGAATGCCAGGGAAGCAGTGAGAAAGAGATTATTACGCGAAGATCCTGACATGATGGAGGCCGACTGAAAGACGACGGACTTATGCTTGAACGAGGGGTGCTGACGCCTGGTTTCAGCACGAACTGCCTTCATTGGAGCTTGACCATTCTTTTTCCAAAGTTGGCATAGAATTGCTTTGCTGTACCTAAGCCTTTTGCAACTTAGTACAAGCTTTTGCATTTGTTTGTTTTTATTTTAAAACACAGGTAGCTGCGATAGAGTCACGTTCAAGTCAACAGCCCCGCCGCGGTTGTATAGTGGCTAAGGTACTCGGCTGCTGACATGCAGGTCACGGGATCAAATCCCGGCTGCGGCAGCTGCATTTCCGATGGAGGTGGAAATGTTGTAGGCCCGTGTGCTCAGATTTGGGTGCACGTTAAAGAACCCCAGGTGGTCAAAATTTCCAGAGCCCTCCACTACGACGTCTCTCATAATCATATGGTGGTTTTGGGACGTTAAACCCCACAAATCAAATCAATCATCAACGTTTAAGTCAACAGTCTAAAAGACTGAACTCAAGACTTTTTGTTTTCAACCCCAAGCCTGCTTCATGCCTGCTATCAGCAAATAGTAGCTATCTGCTGTTTGACAAGGTGCAGTTGGTGCCCCACCTATCTAAGTGAAAAAGAACGGGGCTTTTGCATGAGGAGAGGGTACTTCAGAAAGTGGCAACTTCGCGCTCTGCTTGTAAACTCTAGGTGCCACACTCAACTACAAAATTTGGCTGAAATGTTCACAGCCATCTTTACTGTTCATAGAATGTTTTTCTTCCCAAAGCTCGAGGGATGGTTCAAAACCTCTAACGGTTAGCGCTGTTTCAAGAAGAGTTGCCGCAAGAATATATCATGTTTATCCTATTTGGTAAACAAGATATATTCAATCAAGCTAAAATGTGCTATAGAAGAGGACTTGGATACGTTGAGTATGGATCACAAGCTCATTGAATTCATACTTAAAAAACATATATTAATACCAATAAAATGCTTCCCAAGATAGTTTCTTCCATAGCCACTATCATAAAGTAGAAAATGCAAATGGTAAGCTTTCCCCCGCACTAGAAAAAGGGGCACTTTAAATGGAAACTAAGAACGCTAAGTAAAGCTAGCGAAGCGTTTTTCAGAACCATGTTGCAAAATAGTTTTATGCAAATGGTTGATTCCTACAAAATAAATTATAGAACAATGTTCCATTTTTTCAGCACTCATATGCATCACAACCCACCCAGCACTCGTGATTCAGGGTGATATACACATTTCTAAGCTTTCTTTTGCATTTTAAAGGAGCACTGACATCAAATTTCAAGATCGAGATGTGCTCATCATTCGATCGCTTGGTATGCATAGGTCTTCTTGGCCAAACTTGAAGGACATCCGTCGCGTGGAAACTATTTTAATACGATTTCAAACAGCGTAGACAGCTAAGAAGAAAAAAACGGAAAATAGACTGCCTTGCGCCATCGACACTAGTGCTACGTGTTTGGTGTGATACATTCCAGAAATACCATCCTGAGTGACGATGCCCTAGTAGCGATGACGTGTACGATCCGAGTGTTTTTATCGTGGTGCCGACTGGCGCTGAAGCGCAGAAATGCACTCGCTCGTCACGTCTGATCTTCATCACACCGGTTTGAATGATTTCGTGAAATCATCTAGATAAAAACGACTTTTAAAGAATGGCGAAAGAAAAGAGCATGATTAAACGTGTGCTTGGCGGTCAGCATGTCGAGGAATCATTGTGAGTTGCAGTCGTCTAGTTCGAAGCACGGAAAAAGCGCAATGAGGGTGTCTTTTCATATCATGTATGTGTTACACATCAACACGACCACAAGCTATCAAAAGTGTAGACTTTGCGTCCCCGTAAAAGTGGTAATACCGTGCTAACCGCGAGAGGCTGGATAAGTGGGGCCATCTGGAGGTGCAAGAAAGAACCTGGAAAGCAGGAATTGTATTCTATTTTTCCGCTGATGCTCATTCGCAATAGCTATATTGCGTTGACCCATCTGCGTATACCTGAATGCTTTGCATGCCAAAACACACCAATATAGCTAACCTGAGACACACGAGCGAGCATGGCTGAAGCGTGCATCCTCGGGCCCCTCTGCAGTGCTGCTTGGAACGGCCCATTTCGGAATCACTGTTCTGCAAAAGGTCGATCAAAGCAAAAATAATTCGCGACATCCCGAATCGCGGGGATTGCAAGCTGCAGACTATCGTATTAAACCCGAGTCAACATTTATACGGCGACGACAGCAATGCAGGTGACAAGGCATGGCTGAATGTCTCCGCCTAGCAGACGAAATGTTTGCGGAGCAGCTGAGCCTGATGTCACTGTTTTCCGTGGAGAAGTGGTCAGTTGGGCGTGATCTAGAGGAGACCGCGAGGTAGCGCCACTGCTGGTGCTCCCAGCGCTAAAAATGACGGGACTGCCGGCCGTTTTGAATAATGCTAAATACGAGTGATATAAATCAATAAAAGTGATAGTTATTAAACCCTCAGTTGCGTTTTAGGTTGGGAATCGCTGCTACGGGGTCTATAGCTACTCGCTGACGCAAAAATCTTGGCATGAGTAAATTTGATGTCAGTGCTCCTTTAAAGATGGCTCAAAGTTGATGAACCTTGCAAAGTTTGGACTTCAGCTGTCAAATAGCAATTTACGTCATTGTGAAAGCTCAAACTATGACTTCTACAACAACATTATTATCAACAACAGTGCCCTACACACCGAGAAATTAAGGTAAATTCACGATAACAAGGCACTACGGTAGGACAAACTAGTAATCGAACTAGCTGCACTAAATAAACAACCTTCCACGCATCAAGAGACGTAATAGAACGCTGCTTGTTCATTTCTGTTTGATTCATAAAAAAAAAAAAAAAAACTGCCGGAGATTACTATGGATAATGGCGTGAGTGGTTCAAAAGTTCAATTTTCGCCTGATTAAAGTGGATAGGTCGTGCCATCTAGCAGAGCACAGTTGAAACAAAACATGTCCGCTATCTCAGAGAGAATGGCAGAAAATTGTTGAAAAGCCATTGTTGCTGCTGTAGCTTCCACTGCTTTTGTTTTGCTGCTGCTGTTGTCGGCGGCCACACAGTAAAGCCGGGCAACGTTGTGCATGGCAAAATTGACAGGAAACGTTCCGCTTTGGCACGTAATTTGAAAAGCGCTGACCAGATGTGGACCACTAAAACGCAATTTTATTTCAAAAAAAGCACTTCCTTGGCACAAAAGCAACAGAACAATGTTTCTAGACTGCCATTTCAACAATCAACAGTCGACTTAATAGCTGCCTTTCGTGCCCCTTTAAAATACTGGGTACTCAGCTTAAATGCAGAAGCCACCTAGTCACTGGAGCAGCTTTTAGTCTCATCCGCACTTTTTTGCAAAGGAAAGTAAAACTGAATGAATGAATCAATAGAATTCCAAAATGTCATGACGAGCTGATTTGGGAAGTTGACGGTATGACACCGATAGCCATATATTTTGTTATTACACATTTAATTGTTTACTGAACCCCTCTTTTTTCAGTGCAAGCATGCTTTCTTTCAGGCACTGTAGATGAGAAATCTACCAATACATCTAGTATACTCCTCGTTAGAGTTCTTTTAAAAGTCATTTTTTAGTAAAGCTTTACAAAGAATGTGAGATGTTCAGCCCCGCATTCAATGGTGTTCATATTCAGCCTCATATTCAATGCTGCTACCTATCAACATAATTTGTCCACTGCTAAGATACTGTAAAGGACACCAGCGGTGCATGGCAGGCTATAAATACGTTCTCACTCACCACATCTTCCATCTGCGACGTCAAGTGAAAAACTTTCCAGCCGTTGGCCTTCTGTAGTACACCTTTTTGGTTGGCCAAGTCGTTAACGGTCTGCTTTTTGTCATCTGCATAATGAAATTTTTAAAAATGATCAATACACAACAGCAAATGCTCATTAAAATCTTTCCTAAGCTCTAAATGTAAGTACCAGAAACAATACTTTATAGACTACTAATTGGGAAAGTGCACTTCAGTCATTTAAAGGGACCATGACACTGTCACCCAATAATTTGCAATTTTAGGCAATGAATCGAAGTAGATGGTCTCTTGAGCCTATACATATATAAAAATGTGACAGTAATCCTTAGGAACATTTCAGTGTAAAGGAAGTCCAAAAAGTTGCTTGCTATAAATCCCACCCCTGACCGATAACCATCATTTTGCCAGAGCATGTTTAACGTCATATGCTGCACAGAGCAGCCAATGACATTAAATATGCTCTGGCAAAATGGTGGTTACCGGTTGTGGGTGGGATTTATAGGCCAGCAACTTCTTGGACTTACTTTGCACTGAAATGCTCCTAATCTCTACTACAGTACTACTGGCCATTCTAAATCGTTCGATTTCAATACCCAGCTGCAGAAAGCTAAAATAGTGCGATGGCTCGCGAGTGTGCCACTATTGCTTAACCCTCAGGCCAGTCATATGGTTTATAAAAAGATTCAATTATAAATGAAGTTCACCACCGAATGCGCAAAAATTTTGACAGCTTGTTTGCGAATCCACAAGAATTGAACAACCACAGATTATGATCAAAACTTTGGTGTCATGGCCGCTTACCAGTGGTGAACAAAGCAACAGTTCTCAGTAGTGCCATTTGGTGCCCATAAAACTACATGCTAAGCAGAGTTCCTAAGACACCACACAAAAACTGCCTTAAATAGCTCTACGGTAAGCAAGTTTCCCATCAAGGCATGATTATACCATAAGGATTTATGTCTCAATAAATGACCAAAACATCTCACCTTTCGGTTTGACGTCGCTGTGCCTGATGAAATGGTTCTGACGTGTTTTCCAGTTATGGGAGTAGCTTGTAAGCAATGACATGCTTGGCCTTTTGCAGAAAGCCACACACTTCATGTCATCTGTAATGCAAAGGCACCATCAGGCCTACTCCAATGCTCCAAGGATGCTCCAAACCAGCTAGTTTGGAGCATGAATTTCAAGTTATGTGCTACTCTGAGCTTCCGATACAGTCGAGCCTGCTTATTAGAACTTGAGCGTGACGCAGCATCGGTTTGCTGTATCCCGAAATGAAACACAGCTTTAGAAAAAAAAGTAGGGAGTGAAAACATTTTTTTTTCCCAAAAAAGTTTGTGATACACGTGTTTCCAAGACGACAAGCGATAAGGATGGTCTCGAGTTTATTCAAAGCGGCAGCGTGCACTTCGCCGAGGCTTGTGGCATATACAAGCTGCCCGGAGTTATTAATGTAGCCAAGTGCTACAAGCACACTAGTGGACATTGGCTCCAAAGTTTCGTTGTCCTCGTCATCCAATTGCTCCAAATCGCTCTTGCTGTGCACTTCATTCACAATGCCCTTATCTGTGCACAATTCCGCAGTGTCAACATCATCATCGGTCGCAATGAAATCATTCCAGCAGATGTCCCCCTCTCATGGAGTCCATAATACGCTGCCACGAATTGCTGCCGGAGTAGTCCTGTTCAGAAGCTTCAGGCTTGTCATCGGGTCTGACGTCGACAAAGTCGACCTCACGAAAAGTTTCACATACGTGTAGCCATCACCTCCACCCATGAAGCCTTCACCATCTACACAGCTGAATACACGGACACGCGAAGCGGCAAGTTGGCTGCCGGGCGGTTTAACAATATGAGCTAGCGCACCACAATGTGGCACCTATAATAAGTCTTAAACGGGTGGATTATGCCAAAGCAAGGAATCACACTTTCGACGTTCTGTTGAGCGGCAAGAAAACGCATAGAAGGCCTCCTGTCCGTCATTTTGATCACAGCGCGCACCAACAGCGAGCAAGACGTGCATGCGCAACATACAAGCCAGGATGCGTGGAACTGCACTGGGCACATTTCTAGTCAGAAAAAGAAACTTCTGAATTCGAGCCAGCATGGCTGGTGTCGCGGAACAGTGGAGATGGGCGAAAGAGGCACGATGAACGGAGGAGAGCAGACTTGCGAGACACGGTCGAAGAAGTTGCGATAGAGTGTAGAGAGGAGAGCATATGGTGTAAAGCGGCCTTGAAAACCAAAAAACGTGGGAAGAACGCAGGTCAGGTAGCTTGCGTGAAAGACCCACAAAACGTGCAACTCACATGGAGGAAAACTTGCGAAAGTAGTCTGAGCTCCGACAGGTCAAAGAATTGCATCATAGCGCCGGCGGAGGACTTCCGTGGCCCCGCCGACTTCAATCATTTGCGATTCGTTTCGTGTAACAGCCGTTTTTACACTTCCGCACACGTGCGAAGGACCTCTTAAGCCGAGCGCGAAGTGAGCGAGACCAGGCTATCAAACACAAATCGAATCGCAAATTATCAAAGTCGGTGGGGTAGTGCAAGCACGTGCATTGGAACGATACAACACCGATCCAGACGCAGATGGTCAGATATAGTTGGTGGCCGACGATGTTGGCAAATGGTCTGGTCACTCCACGGCCGGCGACTGCCAATGATAACATAACAAAACCAGCGATCAAAAAAAGAGGAGAGACTAGTTGGCCGAGCAGACTTCGAAAGATTTGTGGCAGTGCGAAAACAATGGGCCTCGTCTGGCGATGTCGAGGTGCTCAGAGTAGCGGGGGACAAAAGACTGAGGGGTGCGTAAGCAAAAAACGGTCGAGGAGAGCGACAACTAGACAGCTGCAGAGGCAGGGTCGGCGCTTAACAATAACAATCTATGGGCACCACGTCGATGGCTTATTGGTGGTGGAAAGTGGTTTCTAAGGAAGTCACTGGAGCGCTAACTCTGTTAACTGTAACTGACACGTTTCTTGCAAGTGCAATTTTGTGCCAATGAAATAACGTATGTTTTCACGGTCACACGGGCTAGCGCTCACTTTAAGCAAAAATTGTTTTTAAGCGGGGCAGTTATATGTGAGCTTGACTGTATAGATAATCAATTTTTTCATTGATTTAATGACACACTCTACTATTTCCTGCAATAGCCATTCAGTAAAACTAATAGTACCAAGGTATCACAAAAAGTACTCCTTAAAAAAGATTTCTACAGTACAACCTCATTACAACAGACCTTCAGTGTGAAGGATTTTGCTCTGTTGTAGAAGGAGTGTGTAAAATTCAAGTACTGTTATAGCAGATGTTTATGCAAACATTGAGTGGGTCTGTTATAACCAGAGAGAATTACAAGTCATAAACAGATTTACTCTCAAGCGAGGGACGTAATAAATAATTTTTTGCAAATCACACTTAGTTTCTGTGCCCCCCACACCTCCCAATTGTTTACAATCTTATCCCAAATTAGCTTCACTGAAAACTATGCAGAAGTGCTGTAAAAACGTTTCGCTCCTGCCAAGGTGGGGAAAATTATTGCAGTAGCAAAAAAAATTATAGTTCCTAAACGGCACAACCATTTAAAATAACGCTACTTAGTAATGTTTTCGCACTCGTTTTGTGTTCCAGGTCGCAATGTAGTTAAAGCAGCTGCAAGCGGGAGTTCGGTTATCAGATGGACGATAGCACGCCGAACTCGTTACGTATATCGCAGACGCCTGTCTCAGGCACCGAGGGACAACTCTTTACACTCGTAATCGATCATGATGTACTTTGAAACATCGGGCCACGCGGCCACGCACTTCAGAACCGATATTTCTGCTTGAAGTCGTGGCTAGGCCTAACTTCGTTCTGAACTTTGCAGGGACAACCATTGCACTAGCGGACATGCAAAAGCGAAAAATCCGTAATGTGCTTTGTCGAGGGACATACATCGCCCGCTGGCTCCTAAGAACCGCAGAAGGGCATTTTGCGCATCGGCGGTGGACCCCACAGCCAAACTCGGTACGCAGCAATCGCTCGGAGCAGCGGCTAGCAATATCGTGCGACAGCGCCCCAAAATGCAAGACCGAACAAGGTGCGCGACGATATTTTTATCGCTTTATTTAGCCATAACTGATCCTTAACAAACCGCAGATCGGCGGTCTTCATTCTAAAACAGGTACATCGACATTCACAGGACATTGTTATTGTCTGTCCCGTAAGTATACTGGTGTTTGAGTCTAAAGTTATTTGAATTCGAGACACCCGCAGAAGAAAAGTCCGCTGTAGAGGAGTCCTGGCCACCTTGCTGGCTTCAGATTTTAGTCAATTATATCTGAATGTCCGTTGTCGTAGATTGCATAGTAAACAAAGTTCAATCAATGAAACAAATAGGCATGGTCGGCATAAACGCCAATCGGTATGTAGTATCCGAAAGTCTGTTGTAAGCAGATCCATTTATATAGTAACAGACTGCTTTTGCAGACAAGCATACAACTTGCAGACAAGAAACAGCAAGTAAAGACCCTTTGTGTCAATGTAACAAGTCACGCCTCCACATAAAAGGCTGAGCCATGAATTTCGTGGCATCGAAATTTGCCTCAGCTACTCAAGAAGCCTCTAGCTTTTGAAGTGCATTTAGAAAAGCATTTTATCGCGCAAGAAAGTTCCAAGCTTTTTCTACAATCATTTATATATAAAAAAAGACTTTCACGATGCTCCAAAATTACATACGGTACACCCCTGCTAGTACATTAATGAAGTGACCGTAAAAGAAGGACGTAAGAGCCGGGAAATGCTCAAGCCAAGAAACACGAAGAATGAAAAAAATTGAGCAGTGCAACACTGCAGACAACTTTGTTTCAATGCTTTTGCTTGAAAAAGACTGTGCAGCGTTGCCTGGTGCAATGTTGCATAGATCTTTTTCAAGCATAGGCATTGAAATAAAATTCACAGTTAACTTATTAATGCTCACCTCCCCTTGAGAATTCCTTCTTCAATTTTCCAGGCTCTCCTTTTCCATGTCGTCATCCCCATCAGTGGAATGGATGTCCAAAAGCTCAGTTGCACAGCTGAAATGCATGAAGTAAACAAACAATATTTTTGCACGGTCATGTTGTTCACGCACGTGAAACACACACTCCACAAAGTTATAACTGCCATACTACTTACAGTAACTGCTTTCTCGGTTTCTTTCGTGGGGAAGCCTCCACCGTAGAATTTTGAAGAGTAGGTAGGACCGAGGCATTTCCATTTGCTGGAAGAGTGCAAGCACAATTTTACTTTTTCGCGCGAAACTTCAATACGAAGTAGTGGAAACAATGAGCACAGCAGTGTGCCAACAACCAATGCAGCAAGAGTAAGATCACGTGTAAACACTAGACAACAAAATCTGATTTTTTTTTTCTATCTCCACCTTAATCAAGGCTGCCGATCCTTCAATATACAGTAAAAGCTCGTTAATTCACACCTCATTAATTCGAAATTTTGAATAGTTCGAAATGGTCGCCTCAGTCCGGTCCGCAGTGCATGGGAGACCATGTGTAAAACGATTCGTTAATTCGAACAGAAATTGCTGCCTCTACGGATAATTCGAACAGAAATTGCTGCCTCTACGGATAATTCGAAGCACGCGCCGCCGAGCGTCATCATCGTCAAACACTAGTGGAAGCTTTTACGGTCGAACGATAGGTGGCACGACCAGTTTTTTTAAGCTTCAAGTGGCCTCCGAGCAAAGGGCGAGCAAAGTATGGCCTCCAAAATCCAGGGAGCAATTTTTTTTTTCCGTAGCCCTCCCGCTATCTCAGCGCCTGGCGCCACTTGTACGCGGGACCCAGGGACGCTGAGGAGTCGGCGGAGTAGTCCTAGCAGTCCTAGGCCGCTCCCGGCAGCGTCACTTTGTTCCTCGAGCACGTTGTTCGTTCACGAATTATTTTGTGCGCGGGCGACAGGAAGGACTTCGGCATTACGCTGCTCACTGCCATGCACATGGTGGTGCGCGCATGGGAACAGGTGACTGCGACCACAATCGCAAACTGTTTCAGCCACAGTGGATTTGCAGCTGGAAGTGCGCAGGATAGTTGTGACGTCGACGTGGATGGGGCTGAGGAGCTCATACCAGTGGCATTGCGCGACACTCTTCGGGGTGTACGTTTTGCCGATTATGTTGAAGTTGACACCGGTGCATCGGTGTGTGGTGCCCTGACTGATGAGGACATTATTGCTCAAGTAGCCGGTGCGCAGCCTGATGCTGAAGAGCCAGAAGGTGAGGAAGACGAAAATGACGAAGCGCCTGTGCGCCCGTGAGCTTCTGCGGTGATGGAGGCACTTAATGTGGCGCGTCTCTTCTTCAGCTTTGAAGAGGGTGAAGAGGATTCCCTGCTGCGACTCCCTGTTCCGCGTCCGCACGCTGGAACAGGGAGTCGCAGCTGTGGCGTTCAGAGAAAAGAAGCAGATGGTCATCACAGACTTTTTTGGCCAATAAATATTTTTCGTGCCCCCTCCTCCGAAATCCACCCATTTTTGCTCACTTTCATTATTTCGAATTTTGTTTAATTCGAAATTGCTCAGCGTTCCCGTGGAATTCGAATTAACGAACTTTTACTGTATAGCGAAGTTTTTCAGGACACAGGGGACCGTTAAACTGGGGAGCCTAGAAGACCAATTTCAAGAATAAGTACCCACATTGAGGGCTTATTATTAAAACATTGGCTGGTTGGTTTTGCACAATTGTTCAACATAACCTATTTTACGATTCAACACTATTATAATTACCTTCAGAGTCATAATAGTAATGTCTCAAAACTACAATGTAAGTATGAGGACTGCCGTCGAGGAGAGCTTTGGAAATTTTGACCATCTGGTCTTCTTTAACGTGCACTGACATCGCACAGTACACGAGCCTCTACCATTCCACCTCCACTGAAATGCAACTGCTGTATCCGGGATCAAACCCGCGACTTTTGAGTCGGCAGCCGAACACCTTAGCCACTGATCCACTGTGGTGGACAACTTCACAGTCTTATATTCTGCTCCTCTGATGTGCATCATGTCACGAGGAATATGAATTCAATTTTACATTGAAAAAGCTGCTAGTTGGATAACGTCGTACAGCATGCAAAGATACCGTGTTATAGAGCTATACTTTATCAGCAAACTCCTTCAGTTCAATGTCGTACCAAGTTGGCATAATCATAAATGTGAGAGGCCAGATGTGCTGCCACACGCCGGGCCGAGATGATAAAGAGAACTAGTTACTGTATAAATCTAGTGCAGAAACCGACTTCTCTACAAGTGTTAATTCTCGGCAGCGACATAAGACCAAATGAGTTGCCTTTTCATTATTATTATTTTTTTGGAGCTGAGCGAATAGCAATATTTTGGGTGCGAAGCGAATTCTAATATTCATATTTGAGTGTGAATTGAATAGAATATCTTTTAAATACCGTATTAATTCGCATAAGAAACGCACCTCCTACATTCATCCGCTGCAGTCCTGCTAACCGACATCTGGCGCCTTCTCACCCGTTGGATCTCTTCTATTTTTTTTTTTCCCATTTTTTATTGTTTTTGCCGACCCACCTCGGCTTGCACCCTCCCTCCCGTTCGCTCGCTGCCGCACGCCGCATTGTTGTTCTTTCTATCCGCGCGGGACACGTCTTATCTGTGCGCCACAGCAGGGTTCACAAACAGTGCGAGTTTAGAGACATCGCAGCTGATAAGCACACAGCGAGTGAAGGTCACGGAACTGCCTGCACCAACGGATATGGGCAGTTTCAAAAAGCCCAACCACGTGCGTGTGATTTTCGAGCGACGACAACAGGATTTGCTGTCGCGAAGGGTCATTCGTCGCTATTGCAGCGCAGGTTTCTGGAAAACCCAAAAAAAAAAAATCGCTTGTTATCCATAAAAGATGATGATGCTTTCCACAATACGGTAGCACCCCCGATTCTCGCTTCGCTTGTTACCCGCGCGTAGAGGAACTTATCATGTAGAAGCGAGGTAGTGGCCGTATTTTGTCGTTAATCTTGTTTTTGACAGTTTGTTTTGATGCTTCGAGGGTAGCTTGCTGCAATGTTGGTTACTTGCTAGAATGTTAACGGCATTGTCACGGTCGTCATGCGAGGTTGCCGTGAAATTGGCAAAGTGCGTCGTAGCACACACTTATGGGCGCCCCTCGAGATCACAACAGATACCACTGTTGTAAGTAAACGATTGTGGGAAAAGATAGCCACAAAACGCTTTTATGGTGTGCGCAGGTGGCCCGGGCACAGCTTGCAAAAGATAGCGCCATGAACCACCGAAGATAAGTAAAGTGCAACAAAAAAGCTATTTCCAAACAGTGTACGCGTATGTCAATTAAGAAAGGCTAAGCGACCTAACTTTTTTTGCATTACCGCATTTTTTGCTCCTCTTGAAAAAGGTTTCATAAAATTTACCTCACGTAATAAACACACATCCCAACTTAGCTCCAATTTTACGAGAAAAAAAGTGCTTTCATTACGCGAGTAAATACGGTATTTCTCAAATATTTTCCAAATCACTCGAGCCAAAATTACAGACAAAAAATTGCAGAGGATTTTCAAGCATATTCCGATGAGGTAGCAACATCAAAGCATTTCTTTTGGCTAGGTTTGTAAAGCATAGGAGGGGTGGTGTTCAGCCAATGCAGTGGCTGAATGGTATTTATTTTGTGGGGGTGCTGGCACCACCCTGTAAAGTTGTTTGCGCCGCGTGATGCACATAGCTCGCACAGAAGCCGTATTTCGGGGGTGACAACAGCCAGACGATAGATGGCGTTGTGTTCGCATTGAGTACCACTGTTGGTAGAGTGGTAGCGCCAGCGGTGACCCCTCACGGAAGGCAGGCCTTGGTGGCGGGCGAGAGTTGAGCGAGCCTCTTCTGCGCATGGCGGCTGCCGCGAACGGTTGTCTGTAGCGTGGGTCCCTGGTGCTCGGCACTGCGGGCTTCGCACCGGGGTCCCACGTGGTAAGTCAAGCGTTGGCGCCGCCACCTTGGGTATGTTATTGTGTGTTTGTCATGTTATTGTGTGTTTAGTGTGTTCCTGCAATATGTTGTTTGTATGGCAGCGTGTTAATTACAATTGATGTATAATTCGGCGGACGATATCGTCGTTATGTAAATTAGTTAAATAAATGTATGTTGTTGGTTTGTACCGACTGTGTCTGCTGTGTCCGTTCAATCCAAGAGCGTGGCGTGGTGCTCGCTCACCAATTTGAGACCACACAATTTATATGAATTTATGCAACTAATATCTGTCAACAACACTTTACATGTGAAAGACAAAGACGCTACTTCCTCAACCTCTTCTCCTCCTTGAACTTGTGTGGAGGCACAACTCATGCGATGGACAAGGGCGTCTACCCTCTTTTGTCCTAGATTCCTAATTTGCCCCATACACATCAATATATCGGAACATCTGAAATATCGAATGCTGAAAATCTTTGGCATCTGACTTTTTTACTTCTTGCTCAGATTTCCGAATCAAAAACTGCATTAATCAAAGCCCCCAACTCCAGCCACATCTATCATCTTGCACTTTCGAACCAGCGCTTCCGAGAGTCGATCCATTCCCCCCAAAACAGGAGTCCAAAAGAGAGCTTTGCCGCAATGCCAGAATGTGAGGGGTGAAAGCACATTAGATGTTTAAGGGGCCATAGTTACAGCACAGTGTGGCATTGTCTTTACGAATAAGCCCTGGAAACTTACGCAGGGGTGATAACAGCACGTGCCAAACGCTCACGTACGACTTAATTGCTGGCAAGCCTTCTGATAAGCATCTTCAGCTTACTGCTCAGTAGTGCATATGGCTTAGAGAAGAGGTATGCATAAAACCCAATGCACCGCACCGGTGTTCATGCTGCTTTTGAGTACAAGATCACTAACTGTGCCATACAGATGTGCTGCCTCAATGAACATCATCCAATCAAAAACTGCATTAATCAAGGCCCCCAACTCCGCCACATCTATCATCTTGCACTTTCGAACCAGCGCTTCCGAGAGTCGATCCATTCCCGCCCAAAACAGAGTCCAAAAGAGCTTTTTCATCAATCAGCTACCCGCTGATTGGAATTCCATTCCCGCCCAAAACAGAGTCCAAAAGAGCTTTTTTATCAATCAGCTACCCGCTGATTGGAATTCCGGAAAAGTGGTTCCCGTCTATAAGTCAGGTAACCCACATCTTCCAGAAAACTATCGACCAATATCTCTCACAAGCATTTCCTGTAAGCTATTCGAACATATTATTTTCTCTCATTTAATGAACTTCCTTGAAACAAATTCCTTTTTTCATCCTTCCCAACACGGCTTCAGGAGAACATTTTCATGCGAAACCCAACTAGTATCTTTCACTAACAATTCTTTGCCAATTCTGACAAAGGTTACGGCACTCATTGCATTTTTCTTGATTTTCATAAGGCGTTCGATACCGTTTCTCATGAACTTCTCCTCGTTAAAATAAATCAATTGAACCTTGACCCTAATGTGCTTGGCTGGATTAAGTCCTTTCTCTCTAACAGGTCGCAATATGTCACTGCTAACAACTCTTCTTTCGATACCTCTGCCGTAACATCAGGGGTGCCGCAGGGCTCTGTGTTAGGTCCATTGTTATTTTTTATTTATATAAACGACCTTCCTAACTGTGTTAAGTTTTCAACCATTAAATTATTTGCTGATGATTGTGTGCTGTATTCCAAAATCACTAACCCAACTGATTCAATCAGACTTCAGAATGACCTAGATAACGTGTCTCTTTGGTGTCGTGACTGGCAGATGAAACTTAATTCAACAAAATGTAAAAGCATGCGTGTATCTCGAAAAACTTCAGCTTCTAACACTTGCATGTATCTTCTTAATGATGCTCCCTTATCCTCAGTGCACTCGTATAAATATCTTGGGCTTAACATTACTAACAATCTATCCTGGCAGAAACACGTCGAATACGTCACTAATAGTGCTAACCGCATGCTCGGATATTTGCGACGAAACTTTTCTTCTGTACCCATGTCAGTGAAACTAAACCTTTACAAAACGTTAGTACGCTCTAAACTGGAACACGCATGCGCCATCTGGGATCCCGGTCAAGTAACCTTAACTCTCACACTAGAAGCCGTTCAAAACCGCGCAGCCCGTTTCATTTTGTACAATTATTCCCGTCATGCCAGCGTCACAGCCATGAAAAAAACTCTGAACCTAACCGACTTATCGTTCCGTCGAAAATACTCTCGCCTTTCTCTTTTTCATAAAATTTATCATTACAATCCATCTTTAAAAAAGAGCCTTCTCTCTTCTCCCTCTTACATTTCACCTCATTTCGATCATTGCTTTAAAGTAGGTGTGCCATTTTGCCGAACAAACCACTACAGTGATTCCTTCATTCCCAGAACAAGCAAAGACTGGAACTGCCTTTCCGCTGCCACCGCATCCCTCATCGACCCTGCAAACTTCAAACTCTCCATTTTGCAGCATTGTAACATTTCGCTTACTTTTTGTTGTATAACCCCCACTCCTTTCTGTAAAGCCTTCGGGCATGGAAAGTATTCAAATAAATAAATAAATAAGACATAGCCACCTTGCCATAGCCGCACCCGTGCGCAATCAGAAACGAAGTGGGCATTGCGTACACTTATGTGGCAAATGCGCACGTGTGGCAAGCCCTACCATTGATGGCGTCAGCTTAGTCGATGATGTGCTGCACAAAACTAGGAACAATAAGCTTCACGCGGCAGAAAATGCTGCATATCGGCGGAGATTCGGCGATTTGTGCGCAATATCATGTACATGCGCACACCAATTGAAGAAAGTCGGATGAGTCGTTCACTTCGTGTCAGAGCTTTCGCGTTCCGCATTGTTTTAAACACTCCATGCAAGAAAGCTGTAATCTACTTCATGATCTGCTGGTATCAGCACTACTCATCATGGGACGTAAATTTGCAACTGCAGCAGTTAGCACATAGTTAAGGGCGGGTTCACGGCAAGTATCGAACGTATTGAGAGCCTGGGCATGCACCGAAATACCTGATAACCATAAAAGTTATTTTGCATGTGGCTATGGTGATTTGACTGCTTAAGGGGAGATGCTACTCGAAGACACTTTTTTTTTTTTTTAATATTCACCCAAGAGCAATCAAACTTTAGCTGTTTATGGAATGTAGTTTGCTGATTTTAAATATATCATTAGTTTTCTTACAAGTTGCATAACTTTCAGCTCTGAGACATGACAAAGTGAAAACCTTAATTCTTTTGCCCCCCCCCCCTCTTTTGATCCCTAAACTTCCGTCATTTTTTACCATTCATAGTTCATAATGTTTCAAATAAAGTGATGAATGCAAATAACTAATTAGGAAGCACATACAAAATATGTCCATATTTTACCTATTCTAGTAAAGGTTTACATACAATTTTTCATTATACAATAAAATATTGGAATTCAAACTAGATAATTGTGTTTGTCATACTTTGCATAAGATTTGGGCAAAATTTCATGCAGATTTAAGCACTAGAAGCGCCCAAAAAAAGGAGGGGCGCATTGAAAAAAAAGAGACAAAATTTGTGTTTTGAGAAAAACGATTTTTATAGTTGAAATTGAGTTTTTATTTATGAAAGATGTCATTAAATGCAATAAAATTTGCGCACCAAAAAGAACAATCCTTCTTGTAGTAGCCACTGCCACTAAAATACGCCAGCACCATGAGTTTGTCCCTCTCGGCTTTTTCGAGCCGACTCCTTACGGACATTTCACTCCCAGACACGGCCATGAAACGTTTGCCAAACTTCTTCCGCTCCATCTGGCAGAGCCTTGTGCCGACTGCAAGCTAGAAAGAAGTTTGACAGGACTGCGAAATCTAAACTAAGTCTAGTGTCGAGGGACACAATAGTGCCGATGCCATTTTGCGGCCACGTTTGTGCCACATACTGTCGTACATAATGGCAATGTCATCCCCTCTAGGTTCCTTAGACCTCGTAAGATTGGCGCTTACGTCATCCATTGCCGCATCACAAACTTTCCAGCTGGTGTATGCGAATGACTTTTGATGCATTGGCCTTTGCAAGCCAACAACCGCCGCAAATCCAACCAGCTGCTCGTAGCCTACTCCTACAGATCGCGCCACCACAACGACTTTCTCACGCAATCAATGGCTTTTTCATTTATAACGGAGATAAATACACAAGAAAAGCATTGTTCAGCTGCACTGCTCGTCCAGACATGGACCCCGCAAGTAGGCTTCAGAGCATATACAGGCGCGCAGCGACCAATGGCGGTCCCCATTCCATACCACGTGATAAGCCAGTCGCGGCGCTCGAAAAACGCGCAAAAGTGTGCTTCTTTTTATTATTAAAGATGATAGTCTTTCTTGGAGACCTCAGAGGAAAAATTTTTGGTCTGTTTGTCTGTCGGTCCACATTTGTCTGTTTGTCTGCCCTTAACGATACCTCAAACGGTCCACCAAATCTGCAGCACCCACCAATATTGCTCAAGATTCAGCGTTCATACTTGTGTAATTGTCAATTAAAAAGCAATAATTGCACATATCTGAGATACCATAACAACACATAGATGTTTTGTATGTGTGCCTTTATACTAGAGAAGGCACACACAAATAATTCTAAGGACCGTAGCGTTAAATACGCTGCACTGACAGTGAATTGCGATGCTAAAAAATGCAAGTGTTACTAACGCTTTGCTAAAATGACACGGTGGTGGCACTTGCCCGTCGCTTTGCGTTCTACACCTTATCACTTCCGAGAATGGCACGCATCTTTCTTTGCAGGTGCGCACACCTTCCTTCGTTTTCGAAGATAACTGCCAGATGGTGCTCGTGTCTAACATGCCTCGATGCACTCGTTCGCCTCAGCTGCATGCTCGAGGTACTCTAATGCAGCACCTCCAGAATGCCATTCACCGATTTTCTTGCGCAGAACATCAAATAAATGTTTTGCTTACTCTCTCCAGACACACGACTATCGTCTTTCGACAACACTTGCAGTGTAACATGCAGATCCGGGGCCAATTTTTTCTTGCGCCACATCACTGAGGGAAACTGTCTTTATTTGAACAGTGAGGCTCGACTCTTCGCCTCATTCGATCGATAATGGCGGGCGGTGGTGCATTATCGACGGCAAGTTGCTCGAAGACTGCACACTTTTGGCCTTTTAACAGGTGCTCTTTAGACGCAATTTTAAAGCATCTCTAGTTAAGTCTCGACATGCATTTTTTTTTTTTTTTTCAGAACAGTAGAGGTACTAAATTTATCAAAACAGGCGAAAATAAATAATCTGTGGTTTTGAAGAAAACTCGTGTTTTTCAACCCGCATATTCCTTTTAGAGGAATAAAACACAGCATGAATCTGTTATTTTCAGACTGCCCAATTTTTCGGACAATTTTGCGGTCATGCGGAGTCCGAGAAATTGGACATTGACATCTGTTGTTGACAAACAACCATATAAATAAATTATATGCATAAAACGTCACAAGATATCGATGCCATCGTCCAGCAACCAGGTATTGTGTAAACACCTTTGGAGAAACTGGAGTTCTGTACACTCTGAAAACCTCTACTGAGGAGCAAATGCGCAACTCACGAGGCGTTTCACATGCGTCTGGTGGCTCCTGTTTGATGTTGACCATAGGTAACGATGACGTCTTGGAGGCCTCAGATAAAAGTGGGTCACTGGCGGTGCTACTGCTATTGCTGCTTTCCTGTTGAATGTCACTGCACGAAGAACAAGTTTTCAAGAGGAAAAAAAGTGAGCTTTCAGCAGGGAAAGCACTGCCACAGAAACAAAAGACGTTTGCAAACCAACACAAGCACCACATTCGCACACAGACGTATTAAGTATGAGTTATGGCGTAAATGAGCAACATGACAATTCAGGTGAGCAAAACAATATGGTAATAAGACCTCTAATTTTATTATTCTGTATGCACTTCCTTAGGACTGAATTTGTCCCTCACTAATTGTGTGGCCTTGATGGATGCACAAGCAAAACATGGTACTTATCAAACGTTCACACGTATGTGCTATTCAGAATGCAGTGTTTTCATTGTAAGTGCCTGTATAGCATTTTGGACAAGGATGCGCTTGTTAAAAAGAATGAAAATAGTCTAAAAAATGACTTTCATGAAAAGTTATATTATTTTCTGCTATGATGCCTGACATCTAACTCGTAAATATGCTCTTGCTTTGTGTGTGTCATTGTCCAATGCACTGGGAGTACATTCTTGTACTCAGGCATACTTTTACCTAGAGTTCATAAAAATGTCCGGCTGCATCACCACCTGTGAGTGACAGCCTTATCAACGCAGGCCAAAGCATGCTCCTGTAGTGCAGTAAAAAGAATGCGGCTACCTATAGACATCAAAGCGTCCGCGTTGCTCGTTCCTGAAAGTGATCGTCCCAGTATACTTTCATAAATTATAAAATAGAGGAAACCAGTTTCTATATTTCCACACCAATCTTGCTGTAAACCTACCTAGCAGGTTTTGGTGATGAGGTCGTTGAAAGTGATGCAGGTGCTTCAGAACGAGGACTGGCAGGCTCTGACCCAGGAAGCGATGCCATGAGGTTCTTTTTTACACTAAGATGGGCACTAGTAGAAGAACCAAAAGGTAAAGTAAGACATGAGAACTGCAAGCAGCAAACAGATGCCCAAAATGAAAAAAAAAATTACTTGCAACAAAACGTTACACTCAGGCAGTGACATCTATTTGACTTGCAAAAAGTGTTCTTGCTACTGCAAAATGGTCCAATTTCGAAAATAACACCTAATATTATTCAAGCCAATGTAGTTTTATTATACCAGCTTACTTTTATAAAGATAAAGTGTTCGATTTCACAAGTGTTAGGTGAACTTTGAATGCTAAAAAGTTATGTTGAGGGCTTTTGTTTTCCATTCAGCAGAGGATCGCATCACACATAATATTAAAATTGATCACACACGGTCTCTTTCACTATTGAGTGCTATCGCAAAGGCCGACTTGAAGTCCTGCCATAATTTTTAATAAATATGCTTGAAGACACTGCCTCTAGGTGCAACAAGCTAAGGCATTGCCGACATTGTGATATGGATATGTGTTCGGAATCTCATTGAGGCAAAAAGTGGCAGGCTTAGTAAACCACTTCAAATTATGGCGTTCACAGGCTGAAGCCACCATACTCGGCCGCTAGGTCAACAACGAGAAGGGAGGGTTCACCTTTCAAATGTCCGTTTTCTCAATATGCTAGGGCGGGGTGAAGTGTTGTGATTCGGCGGCGTTGAGCTGTGTGTAGGTGACAGCAGATTCGATGGTGTTGCACAGCTGTAGGGTTGCGTGGTTGCCGAAGGCTGTGAACTGGCCACACCATCGCTTACCGAGTTACTATGTGCTGTCAAACCTGCACATAAATGACCATTTACAAACGTTCACAATACAATAACAGGAAATCAAGTATGCAGATGCCTTAATGTGTTTCCATCATATTGAGTCACATTAGGGCAAACAAGAACTGCTTTGTGGAACTAGAAACTAAGTTTTTTGTACCATCTCAGTTAGTATTTTACCCCACCTCCATGTTAACCAATAAGCCTGCACAGGAACTTCTAGTGAGAATAAATAAATATAGAAAGAATAGGAAAAGCAGGGAGGTTAACAGAATTGCCCACTGTCTGCTACCCCAGACCGAAAAGGTGTGGGTAGAGGCCGGCAGCAAGAAGAAAAGGAAAAAGAAAGAAAGGAAGAAGAAAATGTTGAGTGATATTCAAGAAACATGCACCAGACAATGAGAGCTGGAGAACAGTACAATGTGGCCATGCCGTTGCATTTGGGACGACGATCATTCTTTAATACACAGCACTCCCAGACTGAAACTCGAAAATTTAGGGCTAAGTATTGCACGTACACTCAAACCTTGTTATAACGAAGTTGAAGGGGAGCCACAATTATTTCGTTATATGCATTATTTCGTTATATAGATTATAAAAGTTTCTGGCAATATATGCTCAGGTGGGCACACACCTATAAGCATGCAAAGAAGGAAACCGCCTCGCGACCTGATGTACCGCTACGCGACCATGCATGAGACGGAAAATAAACACAGTGGAACCTCATTATTTCAAACACGCTTAATTCGAACTTCTGGTTAATTTGAACTCACGCTGAGGTCCCGTCAAAGCTATGTGTATTCCATTAGGCGAAAGCGCCCTGTAATTCGAACGCGCAAGCACTCGCAGCAACATGCCCGATCCCGCGACGGCACCTCCCAACGCTGCGCCCGAAGAAGGAAAAAAAGAAAAAGAAAGAAAGAACTGTGGCGGATTGTTTGCTCTCTCTCAAATGCCGATCTGCGATGCGCCTGTGCCACACTTCTCCCTTTTCCGTCTCTGCATGTAGAGACCTTTCTCCTTTCAAGGCCGCAGGCAGAAAGAGAGGGGAAAAAAAAAGAAAGCTGTCGCAGAGGGTCCTCCATTTCTCGATGCAGAGGGTAGCAGCGGAGATCCAGTCGTTTCCGTTGTCTTTAAGGTGCGGAGAGAGAAATCGCTTTGCACCCAGCACCGCTTCTCGGTCATGTGGTTCGCTGAGCGCTTCCTCAATCCTCTCCGCTGGCTGTATAAGGAGAACGGCTCTCTCGGCCACGAGTGGTGTGGCTGTAATGTCGACGCGGTAGTTTTAAAAGAGCCGTGCCGAACAAGCGTCAAACTCCGCAGAAAACAATACACTTAACACACTACGGTCGGTTTTTTTTACAGACTCTTTGATAGACTAATTTAGTTCGCTATATTCATTTACCAGTCAATATTTACTTTGTTACAATACTTTGTTACAACGAGGTTTAAAATGCATGGTTCTCAATGGAGCTTTCAAGGGGAATTTCATTTACTTCATTATATCCATTATTTCATTATATCGTGTTACGTTATAACCAGGTTTGAGTGTACTTTCTTTTCAATGTCTACAGCTACAATTTATGTCATATTGGCATAAGTATGACTCTAACGCTTATATTAGAGCCAACACTACCCTCACAGGCCATATTTAGAGCTGCATGATGCGATTATCACAAGGAATCACTCATAGGTGTCATTAGTCTATAAAAAAAAAAAGAAATAGAGATGCAGCAACATGCATTATGCATGTGTACATACTAGTGGTTGTGAATCCCGCTTGTTGCGCATGAAGAGCACTGTGGGAAACTAGCTGCTGTTGCTGCTGATGTCGGCCACTCATAGAGTCCACGGCTACCATAAGTGGTGCACGCACTGTCGTGGACCCCATGGGACCAGAACCCATTGTTGATCCCAGAGGTGTGGCTGCGCCTAAGGAAGCTGCTGCTCCCAACGGCTGTTGTAAGCTGCCCAGCGAAGGAGGAACAGTAATAGCAGAAGGCGTCACCTGACTAGTCCCAACAGACGCTGCACTGACAACTTGACCCGCTGCGGTACCTGTGGCACGAGAGACAGACATGGACATCAAGACATCCGTGGCAGTCTGCTCCTGCAGACGTCACAAAGATATATACGCGCATGGGCTCCTTCATGCTTCCAGTATCCAGTGCACTAAACTTTGGTCATGACAGCAAGCAGCAGACTGGTATCACTGGTTGCAGAAATGCACCACTCTACCCTTCCAGCAAGACTACAGTAGTACAGAGGTGAACTTAGACATGCAGCACCTTCAATGTAATGAATACTCTATGTTTCGTGACATTAAAGTATGAAATACTTTATTTACTTGTATAATGTCTGTATTGTCACGTTTTGTCACACAAAAGTTGAAGAACAAACTCTTCATTTCGGTAAACTTGTGCAAAGCATAACGAATAAAATTCACAGTACAACTATAGTGGCAGGCACAGCCATCAGTCATGGAAAATCTAATTTATGGCAATAATACGACGATGTTATATGCGAGCCTTATACTTTCCAGCGTAACCCCTGGTGCTCAAGCAAGCTACAGGATGTGCTACTATACAATTCACAAACGCAATCTGCGAGAACATCCAAGAAAATTTCTATATGTCAAGATATCACTCATGCACACCAGTAACACTGCAGTACCGCCTTTAGCCAGCAAAACCTGGGCATGTCCCTTTCTTCAAAATTGGTGTGTGCCAGGCAGCAGCGATAACACTAAAAGACATATGCACAGAAAAGCTTGAATTCTTTACCCATGGTGGGCACCACAGCTGATGACAAGGGAGTGGCACCCACGGGGCTGGCAGCCCCGATGGGAGAGGCTGAACCCAGGGTGGTGGTGACTCCGAGTGCAGATGAAGCACCCAGCGACAAGGCACCTAGGTGTGTTGCCGTCGGCTGCTGCGGCTGTGACAGTTGAGCCTGCTGCTGTTGCTGCTGCTGCAACGGCTGTGGCGGATGCACTACAGTAGTCGCTGACGAAGGTATGCTGCCGCCACTCACCAGGTGCGGCCCTGTGCAAGTATCCAGATAAACATATATAAAGACAGACATAGGCAACGATAATCAACTTTTTGTTCTTTCATCAATGTTGCCTGCAATAGGGATAACGTAGGTCAGGGACAAAGGTAGGAGAAGAATATAGCAAGTGAGAAAATGTGTTCATTATACATACAGCCAACACAAATAAGAATGCGGAAGTGTGGTCTACTAACCTTTAGTGTAACAGTAGTCTATCATACTCATAAGTATATGCAGATGGGCTCAGGTCAGTCCCAGATTCTTAAAAGAAGACTACTAATGCTCGTATCCGTACCACGCTTTATTATGTACACCATAGTGTACAACTATTCCTCTTTTTTCTTTTGCATATTCAGTTTTTTTGTGTTGTAGTATGTAGTACATTTTGTCCACAAGTTTCTATTAGACCTCTAGCGGGAAAATGAAAGCATGTTCGCTCCTCACCTTTCTTTCCCAGATCTGTTTTTTGTATTGCTATATCATAACAATATAAAGTACATTAAGCCGTCACTGCATTGAAAAATCTGCAGATGCAACAAGCTCGGACACATAAAGCAATCTTCGTTTAGCAAAACACTGAACATACTCACCAAAAAATTGTCTCCATTAGCACATTAAATGATAAAATGAAGCCAGCAAGCTAAATGTCAAAGATTTCTGCACTGATGACATGATGTCGTTTAGCACTTTGAAGCAACGTATACAGACTAAGAGAAATGCCATACTCGAGGATGCTGGATTGATTTTTGTCGTCTTGAGTTATTCAAAAGAGTACCGACATAAATTCTAGAAACTTTCATGTTGCTGCTCTACATAAAAGCACCTAAGAAGACTACAGTGGTGCCTCAGAATGCATTGACGTATTTTGATTACAGCTACATTGAAAAAAAAACTACCTTTGGTTTCAATATCAACTAGACGGTGACGTGTCAACACAGTCTGACGTAGGTGCAAGTCATGAGAGGACTGCAACCCTTCACATACTAGAAGCAGCAGCGTCATCATTTGCAGTCAGTTGAATATGGTGCGCGTGAACAATGAATGAGTAAGTTCTTGTACAGCGACATAAACAGCGATTTCAGCTGCATGCAAGATACAGTGAAATGGTTCGTAGGCCAGGTTGAACAGGCAACACGGGACACAAAGTGTGGACAAAGAAAAGAATTTCACACACAACACAGCCAGACAGCCGATTAACACACATCACAACACAGACACTAAAAACACGATTCATGTGTTCAAGCAGCATGTTGAAGTTCTATCACAGATATTGAGTCACCAAACCTGGCACATGAGGAGTACATACAATGCTAATGGTTATCCCCGTCACTCTCAGTACATTGTCATTGCCATGGAAGCCTGTTCATGCCTGAAGGATGCTAGTGATATGGTGACCGTATTTACTCGCATGATAGGCGCACTCTTATTTGCAGAAAATGCCGCTTCAAGTCTGGGTGCTATTGTATGGGGTAAAATTTCTGAATGACCTTCTTCATAGGCTACACTAGCTCAAAACGTGTTGAGCATGCAGTCACCCGTGTCCGAGAATTGAGGCTTGTGATGTGATGTGCATACAAGCATTCAAATTTCCAAAAATTAACATCAAAAGACCTGCATTGCCAACAAAGTGATCGAGAAATAAAAAGAAAAGAAAGCACCATTGCAGAAATTCACAGATTACGTTTCAGGCCACCTAGATTATGTGCAATATCACGAATGAAATTTTGTGCGCTGAACGGTACTGATCGTTCAATTTCACAGGCTCGCAGCCGTTATTCAAGACACTGCAGTCGAATCGCGAACCACCGTTAGAGTGTTACACAAGCCAGCCATGCCCCCTTTCCTTCAAGCAGGGCCACCACAAAGAGTTGCGTTGATTCTGTAACTTTGATTGCTCGCGATCGCCCCCAAAAAGCAACCAACACTGACTAGGCCTAGCCTGCAATTTGACATGTTGTGGCGGGACATTTGTAAAAGAAAACATGACGATTGGGTTTAGAAAAGATAGCACTCATGCACAGTTCCAAAAGCAGCACGCTTTACAGATGTTTAGGCTCGTGGCCAGGAAATCAACGGCGACAAAAGCAGACACATTGGCAACAAAGACGAAGGCTTACGTCGAAAAGACGGAAACCTTTCAAATTTGCGGAAGGGATAGCAAACGAAATAATGACGACGCTTTTCCCGGCAGGAAACTCAAAGCGCACTTGATGAGGACGCAATTGCCTGCTCCATGCAGAGCACGCGCAGCCGGCAAACAGCCGGAGCCAAACCAGCACCGGTAACTCCGACGCTCAAGCATCCGCCCTTCTTCCTCACTTGGCGAGCCTGTGCTGCTGGCACACCACTGCCGCAGTCTTTTTTTCTTTTTCTTGCTCCCATTAACATGATGGGGCGTCAAACTACTCACAGGCAAATATGGTACAGAAATACTGATCACAGCCAATTAAATTTGGGGTGCACCTATTATGCACGAAAATGAAAAAAATCTCATTTCTCCCGACCAAACTGTGGAATCACCTAATATGCGAGTAAATTCGGTTGTTCATGATCACACAGGCAGCCAAGCTGACGGCTGAGCAAACCACTAGGGTGGCTGGGGCTCTTTATCCCTATAGACTCCACCTACGACTTCAGGTGCGCTGCTCAGTGGACCAAGTCGCCATTGGTTCACCCTTTGAACATGGCTGTGATGCATGCATGGATGGCAGCAAGCAAAAACGGTAGCCACAAAAGCTAGTCAAGGGTCAACTTAAGAATGCAAGGACGAGAGCCAGAACAGAGCGCTAGCTGCCATGGTCACTTTCAGAACCTCTCTTCACCAGTTTCCCAGCCTTCTTCCTGTGTCTGCTTTCTTTTTTACTTGCGCTCTTCACATGCGGCCATTAGCACAGGCACATTGTCTTGAGTTGTCCCCTATCCACCACACCAGACTTCACAAAGTGAGCAGACTTTAATCGCGACTGTGCTGACACGTCATGATAATGTCAATTGCAGATGGCTTGCAGATGCTGGGCAATGAGAGCTTTATAATCAAACTCAAATATTTTACACGTCTTTCCTGGCATTGGTGAACGCACAGCGTTAATGCTGAATGCCAAGGAAACGAAAACTGTCTGTTTTGCGATGTTTCAAAATCGTGTTAGTACTGCTCTAATGCAAACACAATGTTCACCACAGGTACTTCTTTTTCTTATGCATTTTCCATGCTCATTAAAAACCAGCAGAAATGTCTGGGAGTCAAACCCTCATCATCAGCAGCAAAATATCACAGCCAACAGGCCCTTAAACCAGAAAATCACAAAAATCAAATTCCACTGCCCCCTATGCAATGAAATGCTGTCATTGAGGTTCATGTTAATATGCCAATGAATAACTAAACAAGCAAAATAAACAACAAATCAGCGAAAAGCTTACTTCACTGCTATGTAATTTGGGAGGACGTGTGCATCTTTCGTGGAATGGAGATAGCCGGCACACTTCCTCTCTGCTTCAGCTGCAATCGTTGGCAGCCTTAGCACATTTTCGCTCACACTTAGAACAGACGACATGCGGGGTGCTATTATCAATTTGGACTCTACACAGAACCACACAATGATGGCAAAAATGCTCCCGGAGTGTCCATATTTTTCCTATTGCAATAAAACAGAAAGAGAAAAGACTACACAATCACCGTTCACCCCTGAACTGTGGCATGTCGAGATGAGTACAGTAGCACATTCGTGCAGTGAGCATCACACTGCATATCTTGGTATCATACCTATGACAACAATGCCAGTATCTGCCCATTTATTGCAAGGGATTATTTAGCTGAGGCCACCACGGCGGCCACATCAACTACATTAATGGCCCTCACATCAACTACATTAACTGGCACTAGAGGAGTCTGTATGCTTGCTGCTGCAACTGCTCCCGAAAATTGACTTTGCCACAACAAAAAATGTTACTTTACTACAACATATTGTAGTGAAGCATATTAAGACTGCAAAGGGCCACTCTCACTGGACAGAGTACGTAATTACAAAATCACTGAACAAGGATTGTCACTGGAGCCAGCATTTCAAAAAGCGGACTTGTTTTTACCAAGAAAGTACCGAGACAGCAGGCACCAAGACAGCTAAGAAATGTACTGGCCTCGATAGCCATTTAAAATGTGGCTGCAGCAATTTGAGAGCGTGGGACAATAAAAAGACACGTATACTCTTATATTTTTACACTGCGTACCTGCTTTATCCGGCAACTTGGGGTTTTCTAGGGGCCCTCAGATTATTTATTTATTTATTTAGAATTAGGCTGTGTTTATCTTACCCAGAAAAACCATGACAATGCACGATGCAAAGTACAATGGCAAATGATATTGTAAATTGTGTTTTCCTTATCTGGCAAAGCACTGTAGTTAATACTGCTGTTAGTTTACCACAAAAATAGTGACACTGTTTTCTAGTGTTCTCACGATAATTCAAGAACTAAACACAAGCTTTCTTGTTCGTAATAATATAAAATGTATGGCGGAAGTATGCAAGACCAAAAAAAAATCTTTGAAACAAGCTGTTCCTGGCAAGAACATAGCACACTAGAAAGTCTGCTTTAATGAAGCCAATACATCGATATGTTTATTTGTTCTGCTATGCACACTATTGACGCTTGTATTTCCACAAGACAAAGACGGCTTTTTATCACAACATAAACGAACAAGTTTTGTAAAGTTTCTTAACGATTTTACCATTAACAGCTGCCGAATGGCAAAGAATGACGCTTAATGACAAACAGAAATGCTGGTCCTGCTTTATATTGCATCATTAACTTGAAGATGCATTGCAGACACTGTCCCTGAAAGTTGTCAGCACAAGTATTTGTTTTATTTTACCAGCAGGACATACACAAGTTTGGACTTGCCGTGAGCGCACTCTCTGCTCCGCAGTCCGTGTACACCATGGTTTCACGTGCGTCAGGCCATGGCCTCTGGAAATGGCGGTGCAGCAGAAATAATCGTTTGTCACTGACAACCACACTTCCATCACCAATGTGAGAGATGCACTGTCATGTGCCTTCAGGCATTTCTCAAGCCAGTTGTTGAGGCTTGTGGCTGAGAGAAACATCACTTTTTTTTTCCTCCACAATCCCTCCTCTTCTCTGTACATACTGCCACAAGCATCCTGTGTCACACGGACATTTTGCTTCAGGTAGAAAGGAAAGCTGCTTTGAAGAGCAAACTACAGATGGTACTCCTCTCCACACAGCTGTCACACTAAGCACTCTTACTACATAGGTTTCTTTCGCCGTACGCAGACAAATGCTACAATTCGATGGCTCACGAGAGTGGCTCGCTTTCTCTGGCTGGGCTTGGTAGCTGCCTCATAACATTGCAAACTGCTCAGACATTTCTAGCAGGGATGCCCCGCAACTGGCTACCAGTGACTCACCAAAAACTGGAAACACCATGGAAGATGTGGCATAGGCAGAGAGTTCATGCTTGCGAAGGAAAAAAAAGAAGAGAAGAGATGAGCTGTCACTATACATTCAATTCAAACATATTTTCAGTCCAGCATTGGCACACCTGCTTGGCACGGCGTAACGAACACATTATAATTGTCGCTGAGGTCGGACGAGAACTGACACCTGCTACGGAAGATGAAGCAATCAGCTAACTCAAGAACTGTACCACACCAAAAGGGAACACTCTGGGCAGTTTCAGTTTCGCCTCCGCCCTTTACAAGTTGTAACTGAGCAAGTGGCAAGCTTAACTTCAGTGACATACAGCATGTTACGGCTGTAACAGAAAACTTAACGAAGGAGACAAAAAAAAAAAAGAATCACTCACGGCTGGGTGGCCGCGCTGACGCCACGGGAAAGACAGGTGTTACACCTGCAGGAGTAGCTGCTGCATATGGATGCATTGTAATGGTTGCGCCCTGGATCGGATAAGGCTCGTACAAGTATGTGGCCGGTACTGCATATGATGGTGTTGCCGCTGCCCCTTGCAACTGAGCTGACCTAAAAATGTGAGAAATACCGGTCGAAGGAAGGTCACATAGTTTTCTCACTTACTTGCACCAGGAGCTGCAGTGGGGAATCACAGTGGAGAATTTTCTCAATGAAGAACAACAATTTCAGATGTGCTTTAACAAGTTTGTGCAAGCATCCCATTTATGCTGCCCATCTGGTCTACATATTTGAAGGCTATGAGGAATGAAAGCAAGCAGTGATAATGTTACCTCCAGGAAGTCGTAATACAAGTGTCCATTGATTTAGTCAATCGGGCTAATCAGAACAGATAATAAAGATGCGATTTCAGCTGGCAAACGGCTAAAATCTCATCGCATTGGGCAATGAACAAGCTAGTATCAAGCAATTACTTTTTTAAAGATTGCAAACCAGATAAATGCCACAGTTTTTAAGAGTGCAATGCAGAGGAACCACACAAGAAACAAAACCAAGCTTACTGCCGCATCTCCATACACAAGCAGATCTTTGCACAGAGCCAATGCACTGGCCTGAACAAGTCTTTGAATGGAAACTGAAGTCCAACAGCGCAAGAGAAAAAGTTACCAGAATCCCTGTTCCCTGCATCATTCTTTCATGCTCAGCACTTGCTGAGAAAGGGTTGAACAAGTGGTATGGTTTTAAAGCATATAGATGGCACCATGCGAGCGTGGCATCAACCGTTTAGGCCTTATTCATAGTGCCATGCATGACAATCATCAACTGTTAAAGAATTAACAGGCCAATTTAAGAGAGATGCTACGTAAAAAAAAAAAAGATTTTTTTTTCGTCTGTAAGCTAGAGGAATGATATTTTTGTATGTTTACATAGGTTGTTATGCTTATCTCAAATATGTGATCAGTTTTATAGTAAATTGCGCAGTTACTGTTTTGTAACATGACAGTGTGTAAAATATAGAGTTTTTTTTTACGCTTTTTCAGCCATTAGTCCTTTATGGTCATGAGCCATCAGGTGGCAATCATGTTGTGCAGGAACAAAAGCATCTGGCAATGCCTTATCTAAGAGCCATTCAACAAAACTATAGGTAGATCCCGCCAGCAGTTCAGCACTCTCATGATGTCAGGTAACCCACGTGGATTTATGGACGAATCAAACCCCCTAAATGTGTACCATAGCTCCATTCCTTACCTCTCCACCCGGGTGTCGGAAATGACGACAGTTGCCGGCAGTGGCGATGCAGTTGTCGGTGCACTGCTTGACGTGGAGGAAATGGTTGTGGTGAGGTTTCTCGCTGCCGCACCAGTCACAAAGAGGTTTCCTGTGGGTTCCGACACCGTAGCTGCTGCCTCCACACCAGCACTGCAATGCATGCCTGCTGTAGATCCCACCAGAGATGCGGGCCCATACACCTTGGTCCCCGGCACGTAGCGTCGGTCGTCCTTGGAGGCGTCCTCGGAGCGTGTCTTTACAACCGAGACTGTACACCAAAGTAATGCCCAATAATAGGAACAACTATGAAGAATACTGCATTTTCTGGTGAATAAGCAGCACTCCTAAAAGTGATTCGTCGAAAATTTTCTACAAAAGGTCTACATGTCTTGACATAAAAATAGTTCTCTTGCAGAGGTGTGAAGCACTGCCGTGAAGCCACCTTTGCAAACCAGAATGTGTTTTCCAGTTTGGTTATAGCTCGATTTCTTGTTTCCTGAATTTTTTCTACAGCACACACATGAACACAAGGGCTGAGGCAGTAATGACACAGTATGGCATCTAAAATGCATCAGCAATCCCAGACCTCTCTTACCCAGCTCATCTTAGGGCACTGCTTATGGTCATCTGTAAACTCATGATGTTTCAAACTTTTGGTTAATTCAAGCACACTTACAATTTTCGGTTGGTCTGCTGTGACATCAAGCAGTGACATCAATGTATTATAGAGCCACCTGTTTCACAGTGCTCTAGTGCATAAATTTGGTTAATTAATACTTTTTGCTTGTCCATACTGGAAAATATCTGCTGCCTTTGTCTCTTTTAGCTTTTATCACTACCTAACAGGTATAAAGCTGATTGTCTGCCTGTAAGGCCGCCGAACCACAGAAATGCATTCACAAGCAAAATACAATATGCATGTTAATGAAGTACTGACACAAAATATAGCAATTACAGCATTGTTGTTCCTCCGAATAAAATTTTCAATTCTGAGAACCCTAAATAGAGTATTGTGGTGCTTTGGAGTATATAGAATATATTATCAAGGGCGGAAGCTGCTCATTATACAATTTTCTAAAATCTTGATTGATCTTGTTGGAACTTGCAGAGTTTAAGTGAAATCTCAGAAGAACGAACCCAACATTAACAAATTTTTCAGATTACTGAACTGTTAAAAAATCCTGTGCCAACTGCTAATAGCTTCAATGTAAAATTATTTCACTACAATGTACTTCACAATACCGAACTTTTCAGAATAACGAGCGTTAATTTAGTTTTGCATTATATTATCAATACTCAGTATTACAAACTGAAGTTGTGCAGTCTGTCGCGACCACCGGAGCGGTACGCAAGCAGACGAAAAAGCGAACGGATGTCTTGATTCTCGAAAGACACGCGACGGTGCAGAGGGGAAAAAAAAAACACGAAAAGGTGACTTTCTTTTTGATGAAATGCTGACGCTGCAGGTTTACAAGCGCAGAGACGAGGGCAACACGGGAGGGCAAGGTCAGCAAGGCAGAGTGGGAGCTGCGGAGCAGGAAGCATGGGCGCGAAAAAGCTGGGACAGCGAGGGAGCAGAAAACGAAATAAGAGAAATTTTCTTTTTTATCACTTTTTTTTTTCTCGGAAGAGGCGATGACAGCAGCTACGCTTCGGGTTTTTCTTTCTCCATCACTTCTACATGTGCTCTAGGAGGCCTTGTTTGTCAGTCTCGTGTTCATCTCTCTTCGCTGATTACTTATCGCGCCCGCAAAGAAAGTCGGCGTTCGTGCTGCAGTGCTACTACAAATGATTTAATCTCTGCTTGCGACGAAAAAGCGGAAGCAGTTTTCGCTAAGCGAAAAAGTGGATATTCTTTGGCAACTGGAAGGCAAAAAGCAGGCAGTCGCGGGAGTCGTGAATATCTGCACTATAAGCAATACCGCACTATAACCAAAGCAACCTTGAAGGGCCGCAGTTGCATTAATTGCGCTGAGCATGCAGCCTCGCGTGTCCGAAAATAGAAACATATGATGCGTGGTGCTTACAACCATTCAAATTTCCGTATGTTAAAAAAAGAAAAAAGACTGAAAAACCACATTGTCAACAAAATGAATGTGAAACGTGAGGGGTCTAACGAAAGAAAGCAACATTGCGGAAATTCGGCGACTATCTCTCAGACCGCCTTGATTATGTGCATTGCACAGAAGCTATGTCGAATCCCATCTGAAATTTCACGCACTGATAGACGCTGGCATTCGTTCAATTTCATGGGTGCACACCCGATTTTAAGACATCGCAATGAAATTGCGAACCCCCGTTCGAGTGCTACATTTGCCACCCTCGTTTTCATTAACGATATGTACCATTCCTTCCGTTCAAGTGCAGCCACTGCATAGAGTTTTGTTGATTCTGAACCAAACCACTACTTAGGTAGCATGCGACCACTACCAAAATGCAACCAATGCTGATTAGGCCTAGCCTGCAGTTCAGTATACTGTCACGAGAAGTTTGTCCACGACATGAAGATCAGGCGTTGAAAAGATCGTCCTCAAATACTGAACCAAGAAAAGCGTGCGTCATGTGAAGTTTGCGTTCGCAGCCAGGAGATCAACAACGGCAATAGCTCGCCAAACTTGTGCGAGTCCGCGCACTGGGATCAAAGGTAAAAGCTCACGTCATAAAGAGATCACAAATGCAATATCTATGACAAGCACAATAACAATATTTTTCTCATTAGGAAACTCACAGCGCATTATGCTTTATGAGGAAGCAATTGCACGTGCCATGCTGAGCACGCTAGGCCGCCAAGAGGCCGCAGCCGTGTGCGGACGTCGGTGCAAAGCCTTCTCTGTTGCCTATTCATTTCTCTCCCCATATTCCTTTGTAATGACCCTGTTCTTTCCCCAGAAGTGCATCCAGCGTGCTGCACTTGCTGCTGTGTTGGTCAAATATTTTCGGCAATCCCATCATAACCACTCTTTCATCTTGGGGAACTGCAAAATAAGCGGTATATGTATACATGGAGTTCTATAGGAAGCGGGAGTCTAAAGCCAGTCCTGCGCTATATACAGTGGACTCTCAGTAAATTAACATCTGTTAAACGGAACTGCAGCTTATAAGAAACAAGTGCCTCTATGATTGGTTTCATTCCTGCATACTGCACCCCAGTTCACCTCTCAGTATATAGAACTTATATTAAATGGAACACATTTTCCCGGTCCCTTCAGGTTCCATTTAAAGGAGCACTGACATCAAATTTCAAGATCGAGATGTGCTCATCATTCGCGCTTTGTATGCCAAACATGAAGGCCATCCGTCGCATGGCAGTTATTTTAATTCCATGTCAAACAGCGTAAGAAAGCTAAGGAGAAGAAACGGAAAATAGACTGCCCTGCGACACCAACACTAGCGCTACGTCATCGGTGTGATACATTCCACAAATACCATCCTGAGTGACGATGCTCTAGTAGCGATGATGCTTATGATCCGAGTGTTCTTATCGTGGCGCCGAAGCGCTGAAACGCACTCACTCGTTGAGTCTGATTTTCGTCGCAGCGGTTTGAATGATTTAGTGAAGTTATCTAGAAAAAAGCACCTGCAAAAGAACAGCGAAAGAAAAGAGCATGATTAAACGTGTGGTTGTCGATCAGCATGTCGAGGAATCATTGTGAGTTGCAGGTGAGTTGCAGTCTAGTTTGAAGCACGAAAAAAGTGCAACGATCACAAGCTATCAGAACTGGAACAGCGTATAGTCAGATATCGCCACTAACAAGTAACACACAGGTATCGTTGAATTTTAGTTCATCTATAGACTTTGCGTCGACGTAAAATAGGTAATACCATGTTAACCGCGAGAGGCTGGGTAGGTGGGGCCATCTGGAGGCGCAAAAAAGAACCTGGCAAGCTGGAAACATATTCGATTTCTCTGTTGATGCTCATTCGCGATAGCTATATTGCATTGACCCCTATGCGTATAATGCTTTGCACGCCAAAACACACCAATATAGCTAACTGAGACCCACGAGCGAACATGGCTGAAGCATGCATCCTCGGGCACCTCTGCAGCGCTGCTTGTAACGGTGACTATTTCGGAATTACTGTTCTGCGAAAGGTCGATCGAAGCAAAAATAATTTGCGAGGTCGTAAATCGCGGGGATTCCAAGCTCCAGACTACCACATTGAACCCGAGTCGACACTTTGTACGGCGGCAACTGCAAAGCAGATGACAAGGCATGACTGCATGTGTCCGCCTAGCAGACGTAATCTTTCCAAGCAGCTGAGCCTGACGTCACTCTTTTCTGTGGAGAAGTGGTCAGCTGTGGCGGGATCTGGAGGTGACCGCACGGTAGCGCCACTGCTGGTGCTCCCAGCGCTAAAAATGGCGGGATTGCCAGCCGTTTTGAATAGTGCTATATACCAGTGATATAAATCAATAAAAGTGATAGCTATTGATCCCTCTGTTGCACTTTAGGTTGCGAATCGCTGCTACGGGGTATATAGCTACTTGCTGATGCATAAATCTTGGCATGAGTAAATTTGATGTCAGGGCTCCTTTAATAAGAGTCCACTGTATAAGTGCTCTGAAGTGCAACTTTTCTTCGCTTGAATTTGCTTAGGTGAACTGTGCTGACACTAGCACCAGGGCTCTTTCATGTGTATTTATAGGAAACTGTATGGGCTCAAATATTAATACAGTCAAACATAGTTATATCGAACCCACATATATAGAATTTTCGGGTATATCGAACTCTTAAGTTATACCCTTGAAGTTACTTTTTAAAAGTATAGAAATTCACACACTTATATCGACGGTATTTTTACCCATTTTCGGATATATTGAACGCCGCGCGAGCTCGAAGGTGCGCTTCAGCACTCACCCCCCCACCCCCCTCGCGATCTCCGCGGCAGCGCGGCTCCGCGTGCAAGTTGGCAGGTGCGCTTTGGCACTCGCAACGCCAGGCGACCCCCGCTGCCTCCGCACGGCACCAAGCCTCCGCTCATGTGACGTGGAGGATCGTCTGGACGAGGCACTGGCTACATGCGCATACTCCGCCGCTGAAGTGGCGGCAGCGTTCAACATTATTCGCCGTTGTATTGGCCACATGGAGAGAACCGGGCTGTCGCACCTGGACAGCCTTGATAAGATCAAGACTAGCGTCTTCAACATTCCAAAAACGAAGAAGCAGGACAAGATTGACGATTTTTTCTACGCTAATAAATCATTTTGTTGCGGAATTAGTTGTCATTCTTGAATGTGGCTATTGTAGGAGATGATCCGCTACAGGTAAGCCTCTCAGGGTCTGTATTTTTTTTATATCGAATTTTTCATATATGGAACTAATTCATGATCCCCTTCAAGTTCGATATATTGGTGTTCTACCGTAGTACAGTTTTGGAGACATCCTTTTCTTTATCGTGTGGTAGTGGTGCAGATGGGGATGACTAAATGTCCTGACAACAATGAACCGTAGTGTGTTCTTGACAATGATGAGAGACGTTATCAGTCTGACCAGATGCACAAATGAATTGGAAAGATAGCAAAAACCTAGTATAGAGCTCCTGACTACTTTCGAGACATAATTAAAATTGTCGAAAGCTTTTCTGGCTAAGCAATTTCACACACCTGTTGGCACAGACATAGTAGGTGGATGAATGGCCACAGTCGTCGTTATCGGGCGAGACGCCGACCCTGCAACTTGGACACTTGTTGGTTGCACTGCTAGAGCCGCAGTTGTCGCGAGGCGTGACGCACCTAATACAGAAAATAAGAGACGAAATCAACTTACACTAAGCCTGGGTGAACAATCGAGCACTTCGAATATTGGAATGAATATTGCGATAGCACTTATGCTCATTTCAACAAGAAATTCTACATTTCTAAAATTTCAAATCATTCAAAATGAACAAAAGCCTGAAAAGATGGTTTCACCACAGTGCGAGACTGCTCTGTCGTGAAAGCACCCATCCATGGCAAATCCACACTGCCTCAAAGCTGCATTTCAACACCGTAACCGTTTAATTTTTGGGGATATTTTCTGCCTAAAAATGTTCATTTTTTAAATTCCGACAACAAGCCTTTTGGTTCAAAAAAGCATGTTTTAATTTCAAGACAAAAAAAATTCGAGCATATATATTTCAAATTAGCATATACCCACCACTGTAGTCTAGAACTTATAGTACTCAACTGCCGACCCACAGGTCGTGGAATCGAATCCTGGCCCTGGCAGCTGCATTTTTCATGGAGGCGAAAATGCGTGAGACCAGTATACTTGAAAATAGGTGCATTTTAAAAACCACCGGAAGTCAATATTTCCAGAGCCTGTATATATACTTTCCATGACGATTCACGAGCAATGCATGCATTACTTTCATTGGACAGCATTTCTTAAAACACAAGCCACGGAAAAACATAAAACTGTGGTTAAAATGAAAGAATGCCAAGCAAATGTTGCTACTGTTGAAGCAACACACAAACTAGCGTGGAAACGAGCTATTGTCGTTCAAAACGCTCAAGGGGAGATCGCAAGCCGCATGGGTCACACACGTCCAAAACAATTGCATGATTACTGTTGAAGAATCAAATTACCTGCAATCCAATAACTTTTCTTTGAAGTGTAAAACAGTGTTATACGGGCTAACTATATAAAGTTTTAGACTGTAACATATGTCACCATTAATGACTTGGACACTGCTACCAATCGAATTGGCTTCGAAATTTTTCATTATCAATTACCAGTCACTTCGAATTTGCTTCAAAGCAAAAAAGTGATGTCCACAAAAGTTCAGCTAGGACCATTTTTAAACATTCAACAGGAGTAAAAGTTTCGCCATGATAAAATTCAACACGATGGTATCAGTTTGTTTACTTTACAGAAGAGCACCGTTCCTCAAAGGTCTAATTCCTTGAAAGAAGAGAAAGCAAATGATGTAGGCAAAAATTATCACACTTACAGTCTCTGTACTAGCCACTAAATGAGACAAACCAGCATAAGCAAGATGATGCATTAATGGCTTGGCTTCTCAGAAGTTAAACTTAGTGACATTTGGCACAGGCCTTTGCATTCATTGCATACATTTTACCATCTTGGTTATGAAGAACATTTACTGCACTCAGTGTGCCACTGGTCAATGACCATCACAGTAGAAAGCTGGTATCTAGAAAGTTAATTTATATTGAAAACACACACACACACACAATCAGTTGTAGCCATAAAAGAAAACACCAACAAGACAGCAGCTATGAAAGAGGAACTGTGAGCCTTGCTTCTTAAAGGGGTTGTGAAACGAAAATGAAGCTACCCGGTTGTAATTTTCCTTGCTTCAATAAGGATTAGACATGCCTATTCCGACATACAGTCAAACCTTATTATAACAAACTTGCACTTTACAAGAAAATAAGTTCATTACATTTGTTATAGTAAATGTATATTCATAACAATACATCTACAGTGAAATCTCGGTAGAACGAACTCCACATTAATGAACTTTTCAAATTAACAAACTTTTAAAAAATACCGTGCCGACTGGTAATAGTTTCCATGTAAAATTATTTTACTACTACATACTTCAGCATACCGAACTTTTCAGAATAAGCAGCATTAATTTAGTTTCACGTTATATTAACAACGCCTCAGTACTACGAACTTAAGTTTTAAAATTCGTCGCAATCACCGGAGCGGTACGCAAGCAGACGATAAAGCGAACCAATGCCTTGCTTCTCGGAAGACGCGCGACGGTGTGGAGGGAAAAAAAACTAAAGGGAGACTTTCTTTTCTTTCTTTTTGTTGCAATGCCGACGCTGCAGGCGCAGAGCACCTATACACACTGCAGGTTTACAAGTTAGCGCAGAGGCGAGGGCAACATGGGAGGGCAACATGGGAGGGCAAGGTCAGCGAGGCAGAGTGGGAGTTGCGGAGCAGGAAGCATGGGCGCGGAAAACCTGAGAGAGCAGGAAACGAAACGGGGAGAATTTTCTTTTTTAGCACTTTTTTTCTTCAAAAAAGGTGATGACAGCCGTGACACTTCGGGTTTTTCTTTGGAGGCCTTGTTTTTTCAGTCGTGTTCATCTCTTTTCAGCGATTACTTATCGCGTCCGCAAAGCAACTCGTCATTCCCGCTGCGGTGATACTACAAATGAGTTCATCTCTGCTTGCGACGAAGAAGCGGAAGCAGTTTTCGCTAAGTGAGACAATGGATATTTTTTGGCAACTGGAAGGCAAAAAGCAGGCTGTTGTGACCAAAGAACCGAATCGCACCACAGGAATGTGGATGAGCTGGAGGCCTTTGCGCTGCAAAGTTTGTGCTGCTCATGTAAAAAAATATATATATAAAATCACAGACTTCTTTAAAGTAAATGTGCATTTTTTGGTGTTTATTGTGCACTTGTTTTGTTTTGTTTTTCCTCGTGAAAAACGAGTTCAAGAACCCACCAATGTAAAGGTAAGTCGTTTCGGTCGGTGAAAAATAAGTATGATTAATTTTCGGGCTTTCACTATAACGACCTTTCAAAATAACGAACAAATTTCCACGGTCCCCTGAAGTTCGTTATACCAAGATTTCACTGTATGGCAAGACTCTTCAATCACTTCGTTGTAACCTATATTTTGCTATATCCGAGTTCGTTAAATATATTGAGGATTGAGTGTATTTTGATGCAATGTCCACCTGACAATGACACCTCTTAGAAATTGCAGTTTTTTTGGGCTTCTAAATGATCATGTGGCACCACCAGCTGCCATAAGCACTAACGTGTGACGTCAGTGTAACGTCATCCTAGGAATAGTTATATACGCAATGCTAGCTTTCTTTTATTGTATAATAAAATCATTAGAAACCTTCGGAAGAAAAAAATAACACAGCGATTTCAGTGCTCTAAATTATATACTGAGCAACTACAGCAAGTGATCAGCTTGGTTCCGCTTTCATGTACATCTAGGCTCCGTCACGTGTTGCCTTCATCTCGGTGAAGTGTCCCAGTTTTTTTTCTTACTGGTTGCATTAAGTTCTGTTTTCTGGCGTGTTTTGTGCAGCTTAGTCCTTGCTATGTCTACCTTGTGCAATGTCAGACAGTGTCACAAAACTTATGAAAATAGAAACAATGTTTGTTACAGCGCCCAATCAAAACGGTATGATGCTATGAACCTCAGGTCAACCAAGGCTGAGCAAACATCGCTGCATTTTGTCGATGACAGGGACATTTCATAGGCCGACTTAAATGTCAGCTGTACAGTTGAGAGAATTGTGAGCTGGGAAATCGACATTGTGTTTTTATAGCAATTAGATTAACCCGAGACAATGAAACGAGCCGAGATAAGGTAATGAATAGTCAGGATTCTGAATACACATGTAGTTCGAAAATTTTTGGAAAACGTTTCCACAGCTTCTTTAAAAGGTTCACAGCACAGACTGCCTAGGTGAATGGAATGATTACAACTAAGGAAAACTTTTGTCAAGGATTGCCAGTTTCTTACAAGCAAATTTTTCCACCCGTCAAGTTCCCCTAACAAAGTGTTACTACATGACATTAACTTTTTAAGAGACAAAACGAGCACTGACCAAGCCTGCTCTGGGGTAGTCCTATGCTTGGTGCTGTGGATGATGGCGCCGCTGACAGGGGACTCTTGTTTGACACCACTGTGATAATTGGGTGAATTCCAGAGGCTCCCGTCGCCAGATTGGAACCATGAAAAGATGCAGGCTGACTTGTTGCCACCACCTGCACAAGGTATTCACAATGATGCACAGAACTATGAGAATAAAACAATGATCACAAGCACAGAACACAGACTCTGAGAGACAAGCTCGAGACTAACCTGTGGTGCCGACTGCACTGCAGATGTGGGAGCTAATGTAACAAGGGACATTGTGCCCATGTTGCTTCGGATGGGCACACTGGGCTGTACAACCTGTCAGAATAAAAAAAAATTTTAAAAATATGCGTCATAGTACATAAGAGGGACGCCCGCCAGATAATAAAGCACGTGCATCATCTTTTCTCAGCCACCAAAATAAAGCACGTTAGTGCCAATGTTGACATAAAGTCGTTTGTGGGCAATTGAGGCTGACACAGACATCCAAAATCATATAGCAACAGCAGGGTCGATGCCACAGGCACCAGATAACAACAGCTAGGCTTCCCTCAAATCTTGGCTATAATATATAATTTATCACACAGGCATGTTGCCACAAACAAGCTTCTATATTGAACATGTCAATTTCGTCAAATAATTTATGCAGATATGGACTAAAAGAGACTGAGAATACCTCAAAACCAATAAGTTCAAACAGAAAGTGTCTCGAAGCAGTGTTTTATAGGCTTGGACAAATACTCAAGCACTTCAACTCAATTCTATTCGAATTTGAATTACAGTCAAATCTCGTTGATTCAAACTCCGAGGGACCTGTGAATTTTTTTTGAATTATCAAGTTTGAATTAGCAAAACTTTCAGATATATCAACGTGAATTAGATGACACCACACATTATGATTAGGCATTGATTGTACCAGATTTCAATTTTTTTAAGAGTTTTTAAACCCTAATGGCACACAATGAACAGAAAGCAGAGATGTAAGGTCCACAAGCTTATCGGCCATTTACTGCTGATGAGACCTTTTAAAGAAATCGTGAATTGCTAATTGCTTCTTTGCTATATGTGCCTTCAGCGGAAAGCTCTCTATACCAGTTGAGAAGCATCACGGTTTACCATGCGTATACTTTTTTTCAAACATTTGTTTACTAGAAAGCCTTTCTCCTTGAAGGTCTGCAGTGCTTTTTTGCTTTTTAGACTTAAAATTACATAAGCACATAAATTTTTAAATAGCAGTGGGAAAGCAGCAGATATTTTCTGGTATGGAACCGCAAAAAGTATGAATTAACCGGATTATGGAGTTTGTATTAATAGTGTTACACGACATCGGCAACGAAAGAGCATCATAGACGACGAAGACGTTGAAAGCGACCGTGCTCGTGTTGTTGTTGCTGCTGTTCGTCCATCTTGGGTGCAGCTGCCTCTGACTCTCCCCGTATATTTTGTAAATATATTTATTTCATTCATTCTCTCACCCCCCGTAACATTTGGTGGAGGTGCTCTGCAGATCACGTCTGTGTTCTGCAGATCACGTTCGCCTAGCACCTCAAGCCGTTACTTACGTGAACCTGAGATCTGTCCCTCCTGTTCCCGATGGTGACTACATGTTGACACCTATTGCTGACGTTCTGCTGGCCAAAAATGTTGCCGTGCCTCACACACTTTTGACAGTCACGGGAAATACAGCATCTCTTCCGATCCTAAACTTTAACTGGTACGCTCAAGTTATCCCAGATGGTATGACTTTGGCAAAAGTTTTTTCTATAGATGCTGCCATTTAGGCGTTGCCGAATCTTCTTTGTCCTCTGCTCCGTTTTCATCCTCGAAGAGCGCAGCGGGTGCCACCATCGACAAGATGATCGCTCCGGACCTTCCAGCACAGACAGCTGACATCCGGCACCTGCTGAAATCCTACCGCGACATCTTTGATTTTGATGACCGCTCTTTGGGTCAGACATCCTTTGTAACTCATAGGATTAACACTGGAGATGCCAGTTCCATCCGACGACGTCCTTATCGCGTGTCAAATGCTGAGCGACAAGTTATCCAGCACGAAGTTGAAGAAATGCTCACAAAAAAACATCATCGAACTTTCCTGCAGTCCATGGGCATCGCCGGTCGTGCTAGTCAAGAAGAAGGATGGCAGCTGGCGCTTCTGCGTAGACTACCGTCACTTAAATAAAGTAACACGTAAGGACGTGTATCCACTGCCGCGGATTGACGATGCTCTCGACTGCCTACATGGGTCTGCCTACTTTTCATCTATCGACTTACGATCAGGATACTGGCAGATTTCTGTCGATCATCGAGACCGTGAGAAAACCGCATTCATCACACCGGGTGGACTTTTCAAGTTCAAGGTTATGCCATTCGCATTCGAATTGTGTAATGCGCCAGCTACATTTGAAAGAATGATGGACTCTCTCCTGCGTGGATACAAATGGACCACGTGCCTGTGCTATCTCGATGACGTCATCGTATTTTCACCTACATTCGAAAGCCACCTTAGCCACCTAACGGCTGTTCTTGAGGTTTTCCGGAAAGCAGGACTTCAGCTCAACTCTTCCAAATGTCGCTTTGGCCGTCGGGAATTCACTGTGCTCGGCCACCTTGTCAGTGCTCGAGGCGTGCAACCTGATCCTGACAAAATTCGAGTTGTCAAAGATTTTCCCATACCACGTTACGCAAAAGATGTACGGAGTTTTATCGGCCTTTGTTCTTACTTTCGACGTTTCGTGAAGAATTTTGCTGACATTGTCCGACCACTTACGGAGCTACTGAAGTAGGACATGCCTTTTTATTGGGGTACTGACCAAGCAACTGCCTTCAGCACCCTTACAACATTACTTACTTCCCCACCTATCTTGGCCCATTTCGACCCGTCAGCCCATACTGAAGTTCGTAACGATGCCAGCGGACATGGAATTGGTGCTGTTCTCGCCCAGCGACAACGAGGACAAGATCGCGTCATTGCTTATGCCAGTCGCCTCCTTTCTCCTTCGGAGAGCAAGTTTTCCATTACAGAGCGCGAGTGCCTCGCACTAGTCTGGGCAGTCGGAAAATTTCGACCATACTTGTTTGGCCGCACCTTTTCGGTAATTACAGATCACCATGCCTTGTGCTGGCTGTCGTCCCTTAAAGATCCAACAAGACGACTTGGCCGTTGGGCCTTGCAATTACAAGAATACAGCTTCGACGTGGCATACAAATCTGGCCAAATGCACCTGGATGCCGACTGTCTATCCCGTCACCCCGTGGACCCACCTGACCTTTCAGCACATGATTCTGACCCTTGCGTCTTCGCCATGTCGGCTTTCACCGACATACGCAAGGAACAGCTCAGCGATGTCCACTTGCAGTCTATCATGCAGAGTCTACGCTTGCCCCACGTAGACCCGTCGCTACACTTGTTCGTTCTACACAATGGCATTCTTTACCGACGCAACACCAGCGCCGAAGGAGCAGAGCTACTACTCGTAGTTCCTGCAATGCTCCGTTCCACTGTACTTGAACAGCTTCACGACGCCCCAACCGCGGCACATCTCGGGGTCACGCGCACGTACGATCGCGTGTGGCATAGATTCTTCTGGCCAGGCCTTTACCGTTCTGTACGCCGATATGTTGCTGCATGTGAGTCCTGCCAACGCTCCAAACATTCCACCTTGCCACCAGCTGGTCCACTCCAACCAATAGACATACCCACCGTTCCCTTCTACCGCGTCGGTCTTGATCTCGTTGGATCATTTCCTAGTTCTCTCACTGGAAACAAGTGGATAGCCGTAGCCACTTCTTACGCCACAAGATACGCTATCACACGAGCGCTACCGACAAGCTGTGCCACTGACGTCGAGGACTTCTTGCTTTATTACGTAATTCTTCACCATGGCGCTCCTCGACAGCTTCTGACTGATCGTGGTCGCTCATTTCCTTCAAAAGTAGTAAGTGACATCCTTCGCTCGTGTTCGACGCGTCATAAGCTCACTACGGCCTATCACCCACAAACAAATGGTCTTACCGAGCGCCTAAATCGAACATTGACAACAATGCTCTCCATGTACGTTTTCAAAGATCACCTTGATTGGGATAGTACTTTGCCTTATGTGACATTCGCGTACAATTCGTAACGCCACGACACCGCTGGCTTCTCCCCCTTCTATTTATTGTTCGGCCGCCATCCAGCGTTACCCTTCGAGACTCTTCTCCCATCAACTACGCAAACGGTTACAGAGTACGCCCAGGATGCCACTGCTCGGGCTCAAGTCGCCCGCCAAATCGCACGGGAACGTCTTCTTGGCCCGCAGCTCTCTCAAAAGGCCCGCTACGATAGCCATCATAGAGTAGTTTCCTACTCTCCAGGTTCATTGGTCCTCCTCTGGACACCATGCCGCCACGTTGGCCTCTTTTCGAAGCTCCTGTCTCGCTACTCGGGGCCTTACAAGGTTTTACGCCGGCTTACCGATGTCATATACGAGATTGCTCCGTTGGACAGTCAGTCATCGTCGTCCGCAACCGCTACTGACGTCGTCCACGTGACCCGCCTCAAACCGTACATATCCGCATATGACCCTACTCTCCTTTAGGCGCCGAGATGGCGCTGCCAGCAGCGAGGGGTTATATGTTACACGACATCGGCAACGAAAGAGCATCATAGACGACGAAGACGATGAAAGCGACCGTGCTCGTGTTGTTGTTGCTGCTGTTCTTCCATCTTAGCTGCAGCTGCCTCTGACTCTCCCTGTATATTTCGTAAATATATTTATTTCATTCATTCTCTCACCCCAGTAACAATAGGCTATTAATAACATTGAAAGAATAGAGGAAGAATAAAGGGCCAACTGAAAAATTGAATTTTGTTTGAATTATACGAAAGTATGAATTATAAGAGTTTGAATTATCACAAGTCTACTGTACTAGAAATTTCAAAGGATTTGAAATGAATGAATATCGCATTTACTCGTGTAATGAATGCACTCGCATAATAAGTAAATGCACCCACAAGGTCGTCAATGGGGTTTTTTAGGAGCAAAGCTCTTTATGGTGTGGCTTGTGCGTCCCTCGTTGTAGTGCGTTAACACGGGTGGCACATACCCGAAAGAACAGTCCTTAGAATGTTTGCTGGATGGCGGCACTTGTACATGATGTACATGATGAAAAGATGTGAGATAGCTGTACTTGGAGCGTTCACCAGATAGACGCACGGACGGACAAAGACACGAATGAACGGACTGACGAAAGAACGGTCATATGCATGGACAGACGGATGCACCGACGGTCACACGGATAAAGAAACACAGGGGCGGATGCATGCATGAATGCATGGACGGACGGATTGACGAATGCTTCGCCCCTCCAATCATCCTTCACTCCGTTGATATGCTGCGATTTTTTTTTTCTCTCGCGTACTAAACGCGCCCCACATTTCATTCGCTCCTGTCCTGCTAACTCACACCGGGCACCTCCTAGCGCGTTGGACCTCTTCCGTTTTTTTTATTATGCCTACGCCCCTCGGCCACCTCGGCTCGGCTCCATCTCCTCCTGCCTGCTATCGCGCGCCGTATTGTTTTTCTTTCCATTTGCGCGCAACACATCCCTAGTTCTTTTTATTTTTTAATTATCTGTGGTCCACAGTGGGGTTCACGTACGGTGCGCATGTTGAAAAATCGCAGCTGTCAAGCACAAAACGAGTGATTGTCCTCAAACTGCCCGGGCCAACCGCTGGTTGCTCCCTGCAAATACGAAACATGAAGGCCCAACTACATGCACACGATTTTCGAGCGATGATGACGGGATTCGCTGTCGCCATGGCTGTCACAAAGGGATATTCATCACCATCGCATCACAGGTTCCTAGAAAACCAGAAAAAAATCGCTAGTCACCCAAGAAAGACTGTGACAATTTCCGCAACATGGTAGCAAGCCCGATTCTCGCTTCGTTTGCAATTTGTTCTTCATGCTTGTTATCTGTGCTTACTTCAAGAAACACAAGATATAGGCTACCTTTTTCTACAGTGACTTTTCATGTAGACAGTGAGGTGGCGGCCGTATTTTGTCGTAATTCTTGCTATTCTTGCGAAATCGCCATGAAGTTGTCAAAGTGTGTCGTAGCGTACGCTTCTGGGTGCCTCTCGAGACCACAACAGATACCACTGTTGTGATTGAATGATCGCGAGAAAATAAAGCCAAAAACACTTCAATGGAGTGCACGGGTAGCGCAAAGAATGCTCGCAGAATATAGTGCATTTAACCATCAAACATCAAACAAAGACACTGTTTCCAAATAGTGTACATGCATGTCAATTATGAAAGGCTAAGCAACCAAATTTTTTGTTTACATTACTGTATTTTTTGCTCATCTAGTAAAAGTTCTCAAAAGATTTGCCCCCAAAATAAACACACCCTGAACTTTGCTCCAATTTTTGAGAAAAAAAAAAGCTGCGGTGGTTATGCGAGTAAATACTGTAATTGTAAACAAGTCCACATGTAACGCACCTGTAAAGGTGCTTTCACTACAATAAAGGAATTCACAATGTCGCGAAGCCCTACTTCAAGGTTAAAGGGGACCTGCAACACTTATTTAGCATGGTCAGAAAACGCTGCCGATCTGTAGTAGAGGCTCCCGAGAACACCGAGCCAAGTCTTACAGCGCAGCACGCGGCCTGGAATTCACAATAAATGATCAAATTCAGCTAAAAATTGCTTTCTCTTCCTTGGACAAATGACGGAAGACGCTCGAAAATCACTCGTAGAATGCCCATCTATCAGCCATTCGCTGATTTGAACATGGTGCGCTCTATTGTTACAGAGATCGCCGCGAGAGGCTGCCACTTGTCCACGTGTGCACGCACTATCCCACTGAAAAGGTCGCATATTCCAAGAAAAAAAAAAGTGCTCAAGGTACGAGGCACGCGTGACGTTTTTGTTTGCCCCTCCCATCCCTCTCTGCTTAGCTTCCAGCATTTTCGTCGAGACGAGATAAGAGAGAATGCGCAGCGTGTGACAAATCTTTGAAACTCCGCTCGTACTGGACGGATTCATAATATTTTTGCGGCAGTGGATTTGTGATGCAATACGCTTTTCTAGTGAATTGATTCCGTGGTTACTCAGAATAGTGTTTCAGGGCCCCTTTAAATGAACATATTACCATCACATTGCTTGATCATTTTTTCAAGATTAAAAGATTGTTACACCAGCTTATATGCTCCAGACACTGTAAAACTTAAGGGGAGACGCGGGTCGAAAAGTCGCGGTTTTCCGGAAAATTTTCGCTTTTTTTTTCCGGCTGTATTGGCATCCTTGGACTATAATCTATTACTTCTGAAAATATCAAGCTGAAATTCGCACGAGAAATTATCAAAAAATGCTTCCAAGTGGGCAGCGGTGACGCGAGAAATGCGCGAAAGTCGCGAAAGACGGCGAAGTTCGCGTCGTCCTGTCGCGAAAACGACGCGTTGGCCGCCATTTGCAATCGTGCACGCATGCTGCGAAGGCCGTATCCTTCATAATCCACTAGTAGCCAGTCTCGTGCCTTCACGCAGAATAAATAAAAAACGAGAAAAACAACACGTACGTCACGCGTTTTGAATATCGCGGCACACAGCGCGAGGCCGCCATTGGACGGCGGTGCGCTCCACGCTCCTCCCCCTCCTATCTCTCCGGCAAAAGAGCGAAGCCTCGGACGTCGCGATCGAGTTTTTCTGCGTTTCTCTGCATTTTTGCGTCATGGCAAGCCCGAAGAAGTAGCAGTTCAGATAATCGAAAGTTCAGAACTCACCACAAGTATCGAGGGAAACGGCGTCGGACGCTTTGCAAAGCGACAGCGAACGACGATGTCGCCCCCGACCAACGCCCCGACGCTCCGACTTCGGATAGGCCTAACACCGTCACCGAACCCTGCGACAGTGGTTGTGAAATAGCCGCTGCCGTGGAATTCGTCAGTGCATCCCAAAGGAAGATTGGATTCTTCGAGAGTGAACGTAGACCTGGTAGATGCTGCTACTGCGAACATGCTGCTTTGCGAAATCGATGCGCTGACGGCACTTGTGGTGGGTGCGCAATGCCCAACCTGCCGCGAACGGAAGCTCGGCGTGCGAGAGGCAGCTGGAAAGCGCAAAGGACTTTCGGCATTCCTCGAACTGTGCTGTCAAAATTCTGATTGCCCTGAATCTGCACTTTCGTTCACGCACACGTCGAGACGTACTGCTTCGGCCGGGGACCAAGGAACGAGCACTCGTTTTGACAGCGGCAGCTCGCGTGACAGCTTTGCTGTAAACGTGAAGGCAGTTCTGGCAGCACGCGCTACAGGCACAGGCCACGACCAACTTTCACGATTTTGTGCGATTCTCAGTCTTCCGAGCCCGATGCATCACAAGACATTCAACGGCATTTGCAAGAAGCTCCATGGTGCGGCGATGACGGCAGTGAGCAAAAACTTGCACCAGGCACGAAACATCACGAAGGACGCAGTCGGCGGCAGAGATGTGCCAGTCATGTTTGATGGCACCTGGCAGAAAAGAGGTCATAAAAGCCACAATGGAGTGGGCACAGTCGTGTCCCTGGACACGGGGCTCTGCCTCGATTTTGAAGTTCTTTCGAACTACTGCCATGCTTGCAGTATACACAGGGACCTTGGGGAGGATGAAGAGATATGGCGAGCTTTTCATCTTCCAGTTTGCCAAAAAAACACTGACTGCTCATCCCATGCAATGGAACCTGCGGCAGCTGTCAATATATGGCAGAGGACCTTGTCTTATGAAACTCCACTGCGATTCACCAGCTTCCTAAGTGATGGTGACAGCAAGGCCTACACTGCAGTCTGCGAGGCAAATGTATACTGTGACACCCCCATTGACAGAGAAGAGTGCACGAACCACGTTGCAAAGCGCTTGGGAACTGCCCTACGGAAATTGGCAACGCCACTGCCACGAGGCGAAAAACTGAAAGATGCGACAATAATAAAACTACAAACATATTACAAGATCGCCATCACGAGCAACAAGGACAGTGTCCGAAATATGTACACTGCCATATGGGCATCGTATTTTCATTGCTGCTCCAGTGATGGTGCCAGTAGCCACAACTTTTGCCCCGCGGGACCAAATTCGTGGTGCAAGCACAAGTGTGCGGAAGCACTGGGGGAGCCTGCACCACGCCACACCCCACTGTTGACGAAGGCTCAAGGATTGGCAATTATGCCTATCTACAAGCGCCTTACAGAGGAGAAACTCCTTATTCGGTGCCTTCATGGCAAGACACAGAATGCAGCCGAATCACTGAACAGCAAGATATGGCTGCTATGTCCAAAAACAAAGTTCGCCTCCAGAACAACTGTGGAGACAGCCACCGCTCTTGCTGTACTCTGGTACAACAAAGGCCACAGGGGCTTTGAAGAAGTGCTCGAAGGCATTGTAATTCTCCCCTCACAAGATCTGGCCACACATGGTGACCACTGTGACGTCATGCACATCAGGAAGATGAACCTGAAGCAAACTGCAGAAGCGAGGGCACACCGTCGCAACACAGCGAAGAGAGCTCGTGTTGAGGACACTGACCGCAAGAGCCGTGAAGGACCAAGCTATGGTGCAGGGGACTTCTAGACCCTTGCAGTGCATTCAAATTTGATGCAAAAAGAATGATTTCCTAATAAATGCCAACTTTGCGAACTTTCAAACTTGTTTTTCTCATTTTCATTTTTTCTGACTGTTTCACGTTTTCCGGGCAGCCTTTTAGAAACTTATATTCATTGTATAGTAACGAAACTTGGCACACATATTCTTCAACATATGCAGAATGCAAATATCTACTCTAAATTGCAATGCCTACCAGCATTAGTTGTGAAAATATAGCTTATTGTTTCAAGGGAGATTGAAATAATAAGTCATTCAATACAATTTTTTTTTTTTCGACCTAATCCCTATTCACTCAAAACCTAAAATTTGCTATTCACAAGCCTAATGTTTTAAAGAAGCTTTTTGCACTTGTTTATTTAACAGATAAATATTAGAAGTGCCATTGCAGGTACATCTAGGTTGAAAATGCAGTATCATCTTACATAAAGGGAAATCAGTTAACCAGAACAGCTGGCCATAATTTTGCTAGGTTTTCATATGGGTGTCACACTTGTATACATTTTCCTCACTAAACAAAACTACTTCAAATGGAACATATTTTTTCAGACTCTTCAAGTCCTGTTTTTACTATAATCAGGAGACTGGCTGTGCATTTCACAAATGAAGTTGTCGACTCACTTGTGCATGAGGTGACACAATGGTGGCCCCACAGCTAGCAGTGCTGCTATTGCAAGTCGTGAGAGGTGATGAAGGGATAACTGCAGAATGGCCTGTTGTGCCCGGGGCGATACTAGGCACCGCTGTATACTGGACGGTGGCTGGAGATGTGTTGCACTTGAACGTTTTCTCAGGGACCTGAACGAAGAAAACCAATTTTTAGGGCTAGTTTTTTTTTTTTTTTTTGACACAATGTTAATGAAAACCAGAAGACAATAAAACCAAGGAAAACATAGGGGATGTTAATCGTGTTGTTTTAAGTGTATCGTAGTACAGTCACTGACATAGGAGACACTGACGTAGGATCAAATCAATGTAATGTGCCAACATTGGTACCCTACTCATAAGAGACACGTCATGTTAAGATGAGAATTGCTTTCTGGTGCATGTCTCTTATAAAGAGGTTCAGACTCTGCCGGCACCAAGTTGTTTTGCCCACTTTACTTTCTTCAATTTGTACCACAACTACTACAATAAACTCGGGAACCCAATGGTTTGAGGCAAATGAAAATATCTTTTCCAGCACCACAGATATTCCACATGTACCGCTAAACCATTTGGCTTCCTACATACAGTAAAACCTCGTTAATTCGAAAACAGTTACTTCTGAAAACCAGCTCAACTTGAAGGATTTCCGCGGTGGCGGTGTTTTGCAATGCAAGTCTGAGTGGACAATTTAAGGTGGTGGCCAGCACCAATCTGGTTCATTCGAAAACTCTGGGTGCAGTGTGCGATTTCTCGATACCAATTTCGCCACAAATCCGTGGAAACGACAGCCCTTAGAAGCCACGAGGCAATGATATGTAGGCATACCAATGAGTGACAGGTGAAGCATCTCCGCATGCTTTTGCCAGTGTAAAAATAAAAATTAAACAATCTAGCAATAGACTAAAATGTGCACCTGCAGAAAAGACAACCTTCACGTCAACACAGCAATGACATGCAGGTAGCATATTGTATGTTCTCCCAACGTCGATGCATCATTAGTTACGCATTCCTACTGCGAATATAATGAAATTAATAACGAACAGTCTGGCAGAGCTAGCGATGTGTGCAAAGCCTTTGATTGGTGATTGCTTTGGCATTTTATGAACTTGTGCTGATGGCAGAATTATTGCCTGCAACATTTACTTTGAAAACTCGCAAAACTTCAACGATCCTGTTTCCCAGCCAAAATACATCGCAAGGTCCTTCACACTGGCCATTACATTTTTTTTATTTTACTAGAAAGAATGGGTGAACGGACACATTATGAAGTGCTGACGCAGCGAGGAGCAGGTGAGGTGCCACCCGCGTGTTAAGTGTGTTGCAGCAAAGCACGTCTTTTCCTATAACCCCTGGAGTTGTAAACATGACTGCACAGTCAACGACCACATCTGATTACTTTTAATAATTCCAAGTTACTTGCATCCTATATTTAGTATGTTTCATTATTTTAAAACCTGCTTAATTTGAAGACTTTTCACAATCCCAGGGACTTGAAATTAATGAGGTTCTGCTGTATTTATATGCAAAAGAACAAAAGCTTTTCAAAAGCTTTTCAGAAGTGACTAGCAGTGAATGTCTGCTAATTAGTAATCTAAATACACCATAAAAATTACATAAAAATTTGCGAGTCCCACAGAGGGATGACATCCTAGCTGCAACCACTTGATGTGAGTATAAACAAACTGTTCAAAGACAACATCAGGCACCTATATGTAAAATAGATTAGGCCCAGAGCTTGAAGTGACTCTAGCCAAATGACTGAAACCACCTCTCCCACAATGCTCTGCTCTTGGATCAGCAATGCTTGGGCTTGCAATTTCGAAGAGCCCATCTCTCCCCCGTTCGTGAAATGTTCAATTTCGATCGCATCGAATGGCATGCAAGATAATTTTCTATGGGAGGGCGCATCCAAAAACGGCGTTTCAGGAGGACCGACAATGACGACTAAATGTTAGGGTGTGTGCGAATATTCAAACTTTTGAGCACTTTTCAAATAGTGTTTGCCATTTTATTCGATTCAGACCAGAATTTTACTATTCAAAGCATTTGAACTTCCCAAAGTCAAATACATCCACACCCGATTAACAGTGGTCCCTTCAAATTTTGAATATGCTTCACCCCGTCACACTGGCATTGCGGCGAAGCTGCCTTTCACTCTCATATGATCACAAATGTAGTTACAGTCGATACCTGCGATAACAAAATCCCGAGGGAACAAAATATTTTCTGAGCACGGGCGAACGCCCATAGAAGTCAATGCATTTCATAACTCGCGACTACGAAAAATATTCATATCGCAGTCCCGCATTAACGAAATTTTTGAAACACGAGTGCACAAATAACCTACTCTCGCAACATTTACATTCGAAAACTGCTGAAATGCATTCATGCTACACTTAAATTGTGAAAAATTATCGCTAAGCGCACTTGAGAAGCAGCCGCCATCATTGTTTACAAAAAAAAAGCTTAAAGCTCGCGACAATGATGATGGTGATGGCTTGTCAAAACACCTGCTCGTTATCGCGGACTACGAACGTAGCCAAAGCCACAATCCTCATGGAGTGTCGTTCGTTGCCTTGGCTCTGTGTTTGGCTTCGTCGGCTTTGTGCACACATGGTCGCGCGTGTGGAGCCATTTGTGGAGAGTTCGCTTGGTCGCTTGGTGCAACGCGGCGGCGGTGGTGGTGGTGTTGAAGCAGGCGGGGTTAGCATGGCCTTCATGGCCGGCAATTGATCCGCCTGAGCATCTCCTGAATTTGGAAATCATCACCACGTATCAGACAGCCCAGTGTCTCGCAGGAAGAATAACAAAATTCGTTGCACGTTCCTCCTAGTTGCCGCGGGTCCTTCAGGAAAAATGACATCATCAACTATCTGGTGCCTATGACAGCCTTTTTGCAAGGTGCGGATCATCGCTGCTCTTTTTACATTAAACTGTGGGCAAAGCCAAATGAAATGTTCAATATCGCCGATGTTACCGCAGAAGCAACAGAACGGGGAAGCGTATCTCCCAGTCTTGAATGACCAGGCCGGGGTTTATGCGGAGCCGGTTCTTATGCGGTACAACAGCGTCGCTTCTTCACAAAAAAGTTCATGAATTACACATGCTTGGTGTGGAAACTTGTAGATCGCCTTGAAATGATTGCGTATCACATCTTTGTTGTTGTGGTAAGTCTTGGGAGTTCTTACTTTCGGAACAGAAGTCCGCGCTTCGCATGCAAGGGCATCAGCCTTTTCATTGCCCTCAATGCCAACGTGGGATGGGATCCACTGAAACTTTATATTAAGCTCGCCACGACACGTTTCAAAGCTCACCACGACATTGTGGCCGAAGTCTTCTCCGGGGAGGCAGCAGCCATCGACTCGGTGACAACGTCGTAATGACTGCTGAGCAACAAAGAACTGCTCGGCCAGTGCAAGCCCTCTGACATATATAATGCCGATGAAACGGCATTGTTTTATGAAATGCTGCCATCCAAGACCTTGGATTTCCAAGGCCGGAAGTGCCACGGTGGCAAGCACAGCAAGCGGTGCGTGACGATTTTATATTGTGCCAACATGAATGGCACAGATAAACGGCCACTGCTCGTAATTGGCAGGAGCAAGAAGCCCCGCTGTTTCAAGGGGAATCGTAGGCTACCAGTAAGCTACACTGCGAACAGTAAGCTACACCGCGAAGTTGTGGAAGACGTGGACCTTTTTTAACAGCTGGCTCCAGTCCTTCGATGCCGACATGCGGAAGGCAAAAAGGTCAGTCTGCCTTCTTCTAGACAACTGCCCATCACATCAACGTGCAGCTCGGAAACATGCGCCTGGTGTTTTTCCCACCAAACTGCACTTCGGTGCTGCAGCTTCTCAATCAGGGAGTTATTCGCAGTGTGAAGTGCACTTACAGAGAGAGGCTGATTCAGCGTTTGCTGCTGAATATACATAGGACGCGCCCCACTGACGAGGACTTGTTTATGGCGCTAGAGATGATCGCCGCCGCATGGATTGCGACGAGTCCAGCCATGATAACGAATTGCTTCACACACGCCGGCCTTGTCACTCTGCAGGCATCATGCACTGATCCCGCAGAATCGGAAGAAGGTTCGCCTGTAGGCGCACTTGATGACCATACTGGTAACAGCGCAGTGCCGCCGTCGCTGACCCGTGCATGGGGCGAACTTTGTGCCGTGGCAAATGAGATTCCCTATGGCCTCAGCGTCCATGAGATCGTTTGAGCGGACGAAGGCGTCGTCGTGCACGAAGAAGTGACTGATGAAGCCATTGTCAGTAGCGTGTGCGAGGCGGCCGATCCCGATGAGCAACGACCGGAGCAGCCAGAGAAAGCAACAAGTCCGCAGGATACGCTGAATGCCTTCGACACAACGACGTGGCGATGGACTATTTCTTACAGTGTGAGTCGAGAGGCATGAAATTGCTGCATGGTAAGGCCTGCCAAAGTAAACTTACTGACTTTTGGAAATAAAATGTTTTTTTGAAACTTCCATGTCTTTTTGCCCCATTCTTGCGCCAATGAAATTCCCGCAAGAGCGAAATTTTGTGCTATCCTTTCCCATTTTGTTATTGCGGGTTTCAACTGTACACGAGAAAACGCCACTTCCAATATGTAGATGCCCTGGGCATATGCTTCACCGCATCACTCTGGTATTTCGGCAAAGCTGCCTTTAGGGCTCCACTACAGCCATAAACGGATCAACTCACGAAGGTGCTGGTTTGAACCTACGCAGTAGAGGTGTATCAAAGAAGAAGAAAGTCAAAAAAAATCAGATGAAGACTTTCAGCATCCGAAATTTCGGATGTCTTATGCATTGACGCCTATAGGGCAGATTGGCAACTCCAAATTTGAAGAGTGCATGCCCTTGTCCACCAGATCAGTTGGGCTTCCCCAGTTGAAGAATGGAGTCGTGAAGAAAATGGTGTGTTTCCTTTCACATGTCAAGTGTAGTCAATACTGCATCGATTTCACCAAGTCAGGTAAAATAAATATAACGCGGTCTCTGCACTGTCTCATCCTGGATAAAACAGCTAAGAAACACCATCCCTCCAGAATTTCGCCAACCCATACGAAAGAAACTCTTCCATGTTCCTATCTTATGAGAATGAGCTTAGGGATCCTCTGCAACTTTTTTTTTTCTTTTATTCCACTTTGAAGTGATAAAAAACATTAAACATATATTCAAAAACTAATCGAAGAATAATCAATTTGATATGCAATCAAACTTTCCAGGTCGATTTTGCTATTTGCACAGCTCAACTGAATATTGAAATGCTATGAAAATAAATGGTTTCAGTTACCGCTTACCTCCAATTAAATGTGGATAAAAACATTTTAGTCGCTGCACTGCCCCCAAATTACACCTTATACTATGTATATGTATATGCAAATCCAAGTTATACACGGTTTTTACAGTAATTCCGCACATTCATTAGTAAGAAATATATACAGTGTTAAGATAAATTAATTTTTATCATCCGCACCCTCTCTCATTGATAGGAAATAAGAGAGCATTCAAGAGGAACATGTTGCTACATGTTGTTCAACAACTAGGGCAAGGCAACTGCTGCTAAACTAAAGGAACAGCGCAACTGGCATCGAACAAGTGTGTCACAATGATGGTGTGATAAGTAGTATCACTCGTGGAATCACAGGTGCCACACTTGATAGTGCAGAAAACAAGAACAAAAGGAAACCAGTATTAGTCAGTGCACAGAAATATTAGGTTGGATTCCCCTTGGATCATTGAATACACATCGCAGCTAAGCAGCGAACATACTAGCATGCTTGTGCAGTGCACATGTCTACAAAACTTGTGCCAGGAAAAAAAGGCGGAACATGGTCTCAATCTTTCTTCCATGGCAATTGAGAAGATTGTTGACAGTGCATTCGCTTTGCATCATTTGTGCACTCAAATCTTTCAGATCTGCATTTCTAGAAGCTCTCTGACCTTTCCTGCACAAGTTGTTCATACACCGTCCGGAAACAGAACAGCACTGTGTTGGAAACAAGCCTCGTGTGCCCATACAATTGCGGGCACGATTAAACAGAAAGAAGGAACTCTGATGACCTACCTGATGAAGGCTGTGCACGATGGGTTGGCTGACGTGCAGAGACTTGGCTATGGAAACAGAGGGGTGGCCAAGTGCTGTCCGTGCCAAGGGTTCCAACGAGCGTCCCGAGGCAAAGCCAATCTGCACCTGACCGGCTCCCCCGTGCGAGCCAGACCTGGGCACCCCATATGTTCTGTGAAGGTCATCATCGCATACGCCTTTACGCACAATGAAATCTCAGATGAACGCAGCCAAGCCCTATGGCCATTTCGGCGCAGCATTGAACAGCTAACTCAGCAGCCATAAACATACTAGAGTTATTGTCGCACACTTTTGCATTTAACGCACACATAATTAAGTAAAAGACATTTGTTCAAAAGGCAGCCACAGAAAAAATGGAAGTAATAGTTATGAACCTTTTTTTTATCAACTAGACTGAGCACTTTCCAGGGCACCTGCAGCTGCACACAATACTGCAGTGTTCTCATGGAACACCAATGCGATTTATCGTGCCAAAATATTATTACCACGAACAGGCCTCCCTCCAGCTCACAAGGTTCCCTGCGATAACACACTGTCGATGATATGCACTGACAACAGGGCATGTGTGAAACAAAATTTTTTAAGCATTTCTTCAAATATTTCTAGGGGTGCATGAACATCTGTAAATTTTGCATGTTGAAACGAATAATGTTTTGTTCAACTTCAATTGAATAATTCTGATTTGAAACACTGAATAGTTTTTCTGATATATTTCAAATATTCAGCGTCGTTAAGGAAACTCCAAAGGAACAATACAATGGAACAGGACGAGATCTTTTTTTTTTTGTTTCACTCGCCAAGTTACCTTCGTGGAGTTCCAAGTTTTCAAGTAACTATAGAAGCAATATCGGTAAGCGGATCAAGGTACTTCAGCATTAAGCTTTAACGACAGTGGAGTGGAAGTATTCCCAATCCACTATTGCCATCACGAGATTCACAATTATGATAATGCATAAAACATTTATTTTAAGGTCTTACTTTTATTTAAAACCTGAGGGCAAAGTACCACATTGAGCACTGATGTAACTGTTGGATTCCACAAATGAGTGAAACAGGCTACATAGCCTCGGGAGCAGCCCTCGGAGCAAGAAAAAGTGCCTTTTCTAGAAGCCTTGGAGCATCCAGAAACACATTTTTGAGCAGGCCTGGAGCAGCCATAAACACCCTTTCGAGAAAGTTTGCAGCAGTCAAAGACAACGTTCAGAGCAAATGTAGCCCCGTTACACAGCATTTGTAAAGCAACATTTGGCCAATGTTGCATTCTTCAAGCATTAAGTTGAATTGTACAGTAGCCTTATTATTTCCACAGCAATTATATGGACACTCGACAAGTTTCTGCTGTCACCGTCATGTCCCGTATAAAGACAAAATTGATCACATACCCCCCCCCCCGCATGGTATGCTCTGCCCACGGGTAAAAGCACGCGAGTGTGAGCGCCAAACGCTGATGATGCGGAGATCAAGCGAACCGACCCATCACCATCGCTCTAAGGGTGCATGCAATAACACTATACCGCTCAGGAGGCCTGCCGTCAAAGCAGAGAAGAAACAAGATGCCCGTCATGAACCAGCATGAGAAGATGTGAGAGGGGGGAGAGTCGCTCGAGCAGCAACTGTGAATTTTGTTTATGAGGGTACGGCTGCCATCACTGCCGCGCACGCTAACTCTGAAGCCATCGGCAGGCGGCTCACATACACTCCTACTTGCTGCGCTCTCATTGCAAAGAGACTGTGCAAAAAATGTAAGGTTGTTTTCTCTCATTGCAAAGAGACTGTGCGAAAAATGTAAGGTTGTCTAGCGTGCTGATCACAATTGATGTATGATAATTTGGCTGGTGATATCGTTCATTTAAAAGTAGTTAAATAAATGTGTGTTGTTTTGGTTCGTTTCAACCGCGTCTACTGTGTCCATTCACTTCAAGAGCGTGGCCCTCTCCCTCTACATTGAGACCCCACACTGGTGCCCAATGTGGGGCTCGAACCCACGACCATGAGATTTAGAGTCTCATGCTCTACCAACTGAGCTACCGTACATAGGGCGGACCCTATGATGGTTATCATAGGGTCCTGATAACTGGTGGTTCTCAATCAACACTATTAATTATCAAATCACAACAATAATGGTTCTCAAACAAGTATATTAAATACACATTCAAGCTTGTATGAGTCACTTGCCAAACTATTGCACATATGCTTCAAATAAGAACACCGTGGCAATGGCACGATACGTGCTCACAGCTTCAAACACATCAGTGTGTCATTAAACAGCTCACAAAAGGTAGCAGTATGAAATTATGGTGCATGGAAAGAAACAAAGAACAAGAAAGGAAGAAAAAGCAATTTTCAAAATCAAGGTGCCCCTGAGATCGAGAAAGCTGCTTACTTCTGCAAGTCCATCACATGCGTCATCGCCAAGTTCGCTGATCGCGGAAGGGATGCAAACGTCGCTCTAGTAGGAACCAGCCCCGCTGCCCGCGCTTGCTGTGTGATGCCACGAAAGAAACAAATACAGTAACTAAACACATACGAGCCCTCAAAACACAAAACAAGACAAATGCAATATTACTAAAAAAGCACGATAAACGACAAAAGCATGAATTGAAAGCACCATGCATACGTAACCTACACACAAGTACGATTGCTCTACAATGATGTGGCAAAAGAACGAAAATATGCGAGAAACCTCTCATCATTAATTACTCCAAACTACAGCTTTAGATAATGGCCTGACCAATTAACTGCACCAGTAGTCATACACAATGGCAAGTGCAAGGAAGCAAGCGTGTCTTCTAGTTTGTTGTCCTGAGTTCACTTTTCGTTCCAGTGTGGAGATACTTCTAAGTTGGTCTCCCAGGATACTTCTCAAGTCATTTCAAAGTTTAGCCAAACAATTGTAGAAAGACTTTTTAGTGCATAAACTACAAAACAATGCACTGCAAGGCACCACATGGTGGTGAAAAGGTTTTTTATGCAGCTGTGCGAGTAGACCCACCGTAGGGACTTTGATTTTTTGACTTAGCAAAGTTGTATTACAATGAAAATAATTCACTACAATGAATTAAGGTAAACTGGCAGTCAATTCTTTGGTAGTACTCTCTTTGCTTGTTTGGCAGAGAAATATGGCTTGTTAGCAAGGAGCTTCCCTTTGTATTTCTTGTCAAAACGAATGTGCCAATAACGTCAGCATGAAATGTCGAATTTCAGGTTGTCCTTGCATGTTCCTCAAGTGCTTGAAGAAGCCTATCGAATGCCACATATAGTAATTAGTTACGAAAATGTGACGTCATTTCTTTCACATCAATGATAATTTTATCTAGTTTCAGTAAGACACTGCCATAACGTGTGACATCGTGTGGGGCAAATGTGCACTTTTTACCCTTCAAATACTTAAACTGCTCAAATTTCAAGCAGCAGCTAGACTGCTCCATGTGTTTGCCACTTACTCAGGATGCCATTTCAAAATCTGGCACAGTTGTCCATTCAATATTAAAATTTTTCCGAGTGCCCTCTTTATATGCTATAGGCTTGGGAACATCGAGAGCAATAGTTCTTGGTTGTGGTGTCAAAATGACAACGGTACACAGTACATGGTTCTCTTTCTACAGGAACTCTCACAAAGATTGTGATATCAGAACACAAGTCACACTGTCATGGGTCCTTAACCCTGAGCTTAAACCATTCAAGGGGATCAACTCAAAAGAGAGCATGGAACCAATCAGCTTGCCATCTCTGCCTTGCGAGGCAATTAAGTGGTCTCCTCCTTCCGACATCAAGTTCCTTTAAACAGCCCATGCTTCTTGTGAAAGTCCAAATTATGCGTTTTTGCTCTCATTTCAAATGCCAGTTTCGAACCTGGCACGTTCAACCATCCAATTTCGTGATCTAGGCGAGTTTGCTTTTTAGCTGCAAGAGGTTGGGGCAACATTGAGAGCAATAGTTCTTGGGTTGGGGTGTCAAGATGCCAATCGCTCACAGTACATGGTACGTAGCTCTTTCTCTTTCTTGCAAGTTCTCTCAAAAGAATTGTGATTTCAGAACACAAGTCAAGTTGTGATGAGGCTTTAGCCCTGAGCCTGAAACGTTAACAGGCAACCACTTCCAATTTGATAAAAAAAAAAGCAATGAACCAAATGGTTTGCTGTCTCTGTGTTGAGAAACAGCTACGTTACCTCAGCCTTTCAATGTCATCTTTTGACAAACAGCTCGTTTCTTTTAACAATGCAGAACCAGTGCAATGCAGCCCCTTAATTTCAATAACGTTGCCCAACAACTCAGTGCAAGCTACCCGAATTGATGCTACAGATGTCCTCAGATCGCCACTCTTTTCTACAAACACCTGCAAGATATGACCTTACGAGGGAATTTAATTTGAACGTCCTGCCACACAAGATTCACAGTTATCATATTGTTTACTCATCTGCCAATGCAGTTGTGCTGGAAGCTGCATGCGTTCGTCCCACTGGCACAAATAGAGATGGTAAAAAGAAATTGAATGACTTGTGAGGACCTTGTTACTCCATACTTCAAGAATTCATGAATTAATAAGCCTCATTCAAGTTTATAAGATACCTCTTTTCCATATATATATCCCACATAATTCATACGTCACTAGTGACATGAATTGATTCACTCCGATTCTGCTCTCTATGCCAGGTTCAAGACACCTTACCACATGAGTTGATGTTGGAGGTCTGTGTCTGCTGTCTGGACGATGCAACATTTTTCAGGTAAAGCTTATTGAGCAAGATGTTTCTAGGCCTTGCCCATGTTTGCTTGGGCTAAACAGTCGGCCTGATGCTGAACTTCAGGCAGCCTTTTGATGAGCCCCGGACCCCACAAGGCTTGAAATCCAGATGACTGTGGTCGTTGAAGCAGAGCAAAGAGCCTGTCTGTGAAGAAGAGGCAATGAAGTTTTTTGGACTTGCACTCTTACTTTTGCAACTTCATTCCAAGCTTCAGCGACACCACTCACTTCCTCATGTTCCTCATAAACACAGGCATACAGTGTGACCGCTCCTTCACAAGTTGAAGTTCCTTAAAACGTCACAGCCCGTTCCCCAGCACTTTGGCCTCAAACTTCACCAAATATTTGTGAAGATACAATGGTAGTGTACTGCCAATGGTATTGTACTTGTTCGCAAGAGCATTGACAACACATTATCCTTTATGCAAGTCACTTCCACAACAATACAGAAATCTCGGCACTTCCGCATCAAGTCCAACAGAGTGCCCATGCATATGCAAGCAGCATTAGTAGAAGTGTTGGTTGCACAGATGTTGCGTCCAGGAATCTAGCAGTAAAAACTGATGTGTCATGTTGTGTGAGGGTTGCCTTTTCAGTCCTGCAGTGTTGTCCTCCAGTGCGCCGACTCTCTGCTATGGTGAACCAAATGGCTCCCGTGGTTTCAGCGTTGGTGCTGCACTTGCTTGTCACAATGATGACAATGCATCTCCTTCCCATGCAGTTTGTCTTTCGAGTCATTCAGCAAAGTCTCTCGAACTCTAATCTGCAGCTCCAACAGACAGCGAAAATGCAAGCAGCGTTGGCCTTTGTTCAAGACCATGGTGACAATTAACACATCTTCAATGCATGTTGCTTCTTCAGACAAACAGCGCATTCTTCTGCATCCTTGACTCCAAAAGATGTTCACATGGTTGTTGGCACAGATGCCACACTTGTTCAAGACAGCGATGATAATTCACACATGTCCTATATGAGCTGCTTCTTCAGCCTAGCAGTACTCTTTGGCATTCTCAGTTCCAAAGGACAGAATATATGCACCACACAGTGGAAACTACAAAGATAGAAACTAGACAGACACAAAGCGCTGATGCAAGTAGTACTGGCACTGGCGCTGTAGTTCAAGATAGCAGTGACAATTAATACCTTCCTTACAATGCGAGTCACTTCCTGAGCCACCGCGACCTCAGCTACACAGTTAATGAAGAAACAGTGCCTTGCAGTCACCGTCGAGACGAAGCGCTTTTGCTCATACCTGTGTGGGCTCATAGTCTTCACGGATAAATTCCTCCACTGGCTCGTGAAACTTCGCGATCCATCTGGTCATCTTGTACACTGGGCGCGTCCTCTGCAAAAGTGTGATTTCATCATTTCACGTAAGAACGGGCAAACACACGGTGACGTAGACTGTTGGATGGCGCTTCCCATGGCTGGCTGCAGCGCAGGCAACTTTGATCACTACATCACCATTGCATCCTCGAAGTTCCCCGATGCCGGCCCCTTCGAAACCGAGCAGCAGAAGGCCGAGGGCTTGCAGCCGCTCCTTGGCGCAGTGCACATACCTTCAGGAGAGGGCCGTTTTTACATGCACAATGGCCTCACCCAAAGAAAAACCTGTTGAACTGCCTGTCTGTGCTTTCTCTTTATGGCTCTTAACAGGCATAACACACCATTCTTGCAAGCCATGCGTGGCTCGCAAGACTGAATCGATATCACATGTGATGGTGATCCAACATATAGGCCCATATTCACAAACGCCTCTCGACTCGAAACTTGACCTCAAGGAATCCTTCAGTACTGTTTCACGTTGCGATTTTTGCAACGCGAAAAATCTCAAGGACCTCTTGAGGTCAAGTTTCAAGTCAAAGAGCGTTTGTGAATACGGGCCATGGTAACCTCAGTGATTCCTACAAGTGATGGCTCACTCAACTTTATTTGATGGGCGGCTTTAGCACCTCTGACTCCGAGGTATACTGCAGCAGTACGAGAACGGTTGCTTGCTGGACCAGCTGGTTCGCTGCGACACATGTAACAGAGCACAAAACTGGAAAGGGCAACAACGGAGACAGAGTGTAAGGAGTGCAGTGCTTTTACACTCTCTGTGATCATCCTTACCACTTTTGCACGCTGCTAGATGTGTTGCAGCACTACATTGCAAAAGACAGCTCTGCAAAAATGGATGAGGCAAAGAATGCACACTTATGCTGAGTAAGCTCCTCAACACACTTTCATAGCCCTGTTTTTCACAATGCAAAGTTGCCAAATCACCCAGCTTTCTGTTCTCGCATACAACAATGCGTGTTCATGCAGGATGCCTGCGCCTGTGCCAAAGTCCATGGGTGCGCACACCACGATAATCATGTAAAAAATTGCCTTACACTAAAATCAACAGAAAAACTAGGAAATGCTGCGCAGAGGTTGAAAACGGACGTTTACTAATAACTTCCTCTCGACAATTCAGGGCTTGTACATGCTTCATGATGTTTCTACTTGCTCAAGTCAAGGCACATTTCAAGCACGTGAGTTTGAACTCTTCCAAAAATAGCATTATTTCAGCGGTCCTGGAAGCATCTCAAGACCATGATAAAAAAAACTAAAAAGAAATGAAAGTCTGGATGAATGGTGTACTTTTCATTCCTTGATCATCTGCAGCGGTTCTTAAGTGCATTCGGAATGCAGGTACCAATTAGACTGGCACTCCATACTTAGACTTGTATTTTAAATTTATTTCTTGCAGAGCTGTGTGAATAGCAAAATTTTGGGTGCAAAGCAAAGTCATATGAAGAAGTGCGAGTACGAATCGAACCAAATATTTTCCGAATACTTTGAAGTGAAACTGCAGAAAAGGAAAGTTGGAAAAGATTCTCAAGCATCATATTCTTATGAGATTAACAACATTTTGGCTAGGCTGATGAAGCACTGGTCCATAGTTGTCTCATCAAGAATGAAGCAATGCAGAAGCCGAACTGTATTACTGCAAGGCCTGGCGCAACCAAAGTGTTCCCGACAACACTTTACACGTAAAAGGCAAAGATTCTATTTCCTCAGCCTCTCCTCCTTTTTCACAACTTCTATGAATGTCCAACTAGTGTGGTGGACGAGGTTGAGCTCCTTTAGAGTCTGGAATTCCAAATCTGCTTTGTAGACGTTGATATACAAGAACTTCTGAAATTTTGGATGCTAAAAACCTTCGGCCTCCGATTTGAAGTTCGTGCTCAGTTTCAGGTCCGAAAAACAGCATTAACTGAGCTCGCCTATATGCCATCACTATTACCTCTAAGTTGGAACCAGCATTTTCTTGAGTCAATACAGTTGCAAACTGCAGCAGTGACTGAAAGATAGCTTTGCCGCAATACAAGAATGTCATGGGGGAAAGCATATTGGAAATCTGAAGGGGCCATTTTCTACGGGACATTGACTGTATATGTCACTGAAAAGTTCGGATAGTTCCAATAGCAAATTTCCAGTGCAGATCAAATCGGATAGCTAACACTATTCGAAATTTTGGGTGTTTGCACACCCATAATTTTTCTTGTGATAGCTTGCTTTGTTGCCTGGTTTTTTTTTCTGAAGCAACTATGATGCAGTGACCACATAAAATATGGGCCAATTTATCATGCCTTTGGAGAATCTTTTCAAATACAATGCAAGGTACCCAACTAAGCTGAAAATGTAATACTAAAAAAAAGCCTTCAGCTATGTTACTGCAAACACAAAAAAATTACGTAGCTTTTCTCCCCTCTCTAATTACAGGGTTTATCATTCCAGTGCAACAAACTGGCTATGAGAGACATGAAAATGAGGCACTCCAAACTATTTATTATCTAAGGTTATGTTCTCACACAAGAGTTTTATGCGAGGGTTCACCAGGACTCGCTGTTTTCATTCTCCTCACAGAAAGGACATCAACAGATGGCAATAAAAAAACTAGAACATTCATTGATGAGGGCGACCCAGTAGTCACACCCACAACCTCTCTGTATGTGGCACCAGGCACTCACCAATTGTGCTACTGCCACTCACGCACTACTTTTCACAAATTCATCTCAAGGTTTCACACCTGCGTGTCTCTCACATGTGGCGACACAAGGGACACACCAACGGGACACCAGCTCAAGGGACACCAGCTCAAGCGACAAATTGTACCTCACACTCCCGAAACACTGAGCGGAAGCGTATGCATGAGCGAAGAGGTAGGTTAACCTACTATTGCAGAGTACGCACCTTTCCATTTCTTTTCTCAATTAACGATGCTTTCAATGACCGCATACAGAATGCCAGTGATTATTACGTGCTTGTTCATGCCCCTTCGCACAGAATTTGCTGTAGCAATACCTTGTTAATTAGAAGTCGTAAAAACCAAGAAAACTTTCGAGAAACGAATTTTTGAAATAAGAAGGTTGCGTTAATCACCAGAAAAATGAGCGCTTTTCAGAGAAATCACTACTGCTAACCAGCTCTTCAGCGGCAGTTTCTAATCATTCTTCTCGTGCAGGTTTATAAGAGAAAAAAATAACATACACGAGACTTTCACGGGCTGGGTTTTGCCGGTTAAATTTGCAAGGCCACAACGTCTGCCTTCTCCATCATTATTGCTGTGGTGACAAGAAAGTTGGCCACTCTGGCATTTCGCAGCCATACCATCAATGCCGCTTCCACTGACTGGAGAAGCTCTGGTTAAATCCATCCAGCACCCCCTGCTTGTTTTTCAGCACCGTGGAAAGCGTAGACAAAGGGATGCCGAATTCCTGTGCGATGCTTGATTTTGTTCAACCTCCTTTTCCCCCACTTCACTTCCTTAATTAGGGCAACCTTTTTCTCTAGCGCTAGCAGCTTGCACTGCTTTGACGCTATGCTTGCCGCACTCACGCAATGCTGCCGCTCCTCACACTGCTTTGATGCTATGCTTGCCGCACTCACGCAATGTTGCCGCTCCTCACAGTCAGGTGAAAGACCGTACCACTCGGTTTGCACAGACGAATAGAAATCACACCTCAGGAAAAACCACGAGCACTGCACCACAGTCAGCGAAAATTCCGTACCGCGTACCTCAGGGAAAATCATTTGCACTGCACAAAGCGAACAAGACAAACTTTGCCAAGCGTGGGAAGAGAGCCTCCCTGCTCAGCTCATGTGTCACATGACATGCCACAAGGTTGCTTGAGAAAGTTGATATGTCACTGGGCTGAGACTTCGCGTACTTCCCGCTCGCGGAAAGCATTGGCCTAATAGCAGGCGCGGCTAAATATGAAAAAAAAAAAAAAAATCGACAGACTTCATGTGTGGCAGCATCACGCGAATCTTGTGAAATGGTCCGGCGGCGGAATTTTCGTTTCGCTCCCAGTCAAGATTTCGAGTCATCCGCAATCCGACCCAAAAATACTTCGAGATAAAGGGAAAAAAATATACACGAGACATATAGAAAAATATTCGGTGCTGCGAAAGATTTCGACTTAGCCAATTTTTCAAGATGTGCGAGTTCATGGAAACGAGGTATTACTTTATATATTATGTCCAGATGTACGTTGACTATTCCAGCTACCACAAGGGTTAAATCATGATCATAGACATTTGTCGTCGGGATAGAGATGTGCCACCAGGCACCGACGTGGGCGCATCTACATCAAACAATGCAACAGCTGCCAAACACTAATAGACATTTTTCCCAACTCTCCAATATCAATGTACAGTAAACACCAATAGACATTTTTTTCCAACTCTCCAATATCAATGTACAATAAACATTCAACTACTTCTGTGAAGGTACAGACCATTTTTGTTTTATTTTGATTCCTGTGAGGGAGGAATCAACCACTTTTTTTGTTTGCATAGGTCCCCACTATAATTCAGACAGAGTGGCTAGGAATCTACCTCGTTGTTGGGCAGTAGAATGCCAGTGTTATAGTGTCAATGCAGACAGTACCTTTCATTTTGAAGAACAGGGCTTATACCCAGCAGCGCAGTGGATCGCATTACCTCCTTTGCAGTTAGCCGGCCAGTAGGAGGTGGGTGAGCTTGAAGCAGACATGGCAACTACAGCCTTTGTACACTCAAACCTCGTAATAATGAAAATGCATATTACACGAAAATAAGTTTTGTTATACGTATCCAAACATTTGTTATAAAGGTATATTTTTAGCACTACATCTATTGCAAGACTATTGTTCATTTGCTTCCTCATAACCAATATTTCGTTATACCTAGGTTCCTTATATCCAGGTCTGAGTGTATAAAGTGCTTGAACACTTAAAAGCATCAGAGGCATTTTTCATAAACCACACTGACAGTTTGTGCAATGTCTTGAACGAACTTTCTAGAAATAGTAATCTGGAGTGAGTATGTGGTAAATTAACAATGTATATTGCAATCTAAACAAAAGTTATGGCATGTTGAACATTCACGAGAGAGTCGATTACATGGTGGGACATGGCAGATTCTGTTCCATTTCCGAAATGTGTTTTCTGATCAAGCATGAGCGGGCCCTCTTTAACTCACGATAATTTCAGCACAATATGCATGACCTACAACAGTTTACATGCGAAATACATTTAGAAAGTGCTACAGGGAATAAGACAGTGTGTTCTGACAGCACAACCATTAAGAACCATGCATCAAATAGCCCCCTTTTCTAGAACATTGCAATATGCATAGCAGAATCCAACACTCAATGCTCCTTCTTGTTTGTGTTATAAGCACAATTTCAATTTCACCTTTAACATCATGCACTGCTTAGCGGTCATCAACTCGGGTTGACTTGCACAAAAGCACTGCATGGCTTTCATGACTGCTGTATTAAGCATTGGAGATAAAAATCCTTGTACCTGGATACCATTACCTGTTCAGGCAGTCAATGAATTAGAAAACTAGGTTCTTACGCCAACAGGTATATGAGGTGCTGTGTTTGCTTGACTCATTGAAGACCGCAACATGGGCGTTGCGAGCGCAGACTTCGGAGCAGTGTTGATGCTTGCAACGGCTGCTGGCCCTGTGAATGAAGAAGCGACAATCCCTCCTCATTATAGTGGTTCTGAGTACAAAAAAAAAAAAAACAAAAAAAAGCTAATGAGAATGTCATCCGCAGATTATTTTCACAGTCATTGAGTAGAGATTTGTTCCGACCCCACTCTCTGTATGCAAAGGAAGACTTTGTGTGTGCCCACCAAGTAAACATCTTACCACAGCAGTGTCCGTAATACAGTGGTATCACACAGCCGGGGGCGCAAATACGAGAGAAATACCAGCCTGCTATTCATTAGTGGCAGCTATATTCGGATGGGCTTAAGCAATGTGGTGGGCCAAACACGTTTTTTAGATGCGAAACAGCTTATGGAGAAGTTTAATCCCGTGGTGTGCGGCGTGACAACCCTTTCTGCGCATGCCCAACAGCTGGACCAAGCACTGCAAGAACCAACCAGCGCGCTCTGGCCTGTGTACGTGGTTGTGTAAGAGGCTGTGGCCTCTCCCCCTTACACTTTCTCAGCAATCACATGATGGCGTCAGGGAACGAGATTCTGCAGGTGCACGCACGATGAACGCATGTGCTCTTGCGTGGCGTGGCTATAAGCCCGTGTGGCGTGCTCCAACAAGAGTTCGGGACAAGTAGCAGCAACAGAAACTACAGTGAATTCCTGGTGTGCTCCACTTGCAAAGATGTATTAGCATGGGCCAAGGTGCCTGTGATGAACGGAACCTAAGGTCGATCCATGCACTGCTTCACATGCTACCCATGGTTCCTTTTAGTAAGAGATTGTGTCATTTTAAATGCAAAGCATTTCTTAGTAAACTTCGGTGACTTTGAGCGTGCCTGTGTATGTATGCATGTATGTATGTATGTATGTATGTATGTATGTATGTATGTATGTATGTATGTATGTATGTATGTGTGTGTGTGTGTGTGTGTGTGTGTGTATGCATGTTTCAATTTCGTATGTGCCGGCCCACCCGCCTGCCATCTATCTATCTATCTATCTATCTATCTATCAGCGCCTACAACTTTGATTGATTGATATGTGGGGTTTAACGTCCTAAAACCACCATATGATTATAAGAGACGCTGTAGTGGAGGGCTCCAAAAATTTCGACCACTGGGGTTCTTTAACGTGCACCCAAATCTGAGCACACGGGCCTACAACATTTCCGCCTCCATCGGAAATGCAGCCGCCGCAGCCGGGATTTGAACCCGCGACCTGCGGGTCAGCAGGAGAGTACCTTAGCCACTAGACCACCGCAGCGGGGAGCGCCTATAACTTTTAGCTGGCTGTTTCGATAATAGTATAGATACCAAAATTGGTATGGCTTAACATGATTGTATGACGAGCATAAGTGACTAGTCATAACATGAGAAACATGACATGTATGTCATGAATGTCATGATTTACATTTCATGGTCTTGCTGCTCTTGGGGTAGTTTCGTTCACGATATTTTGCAAAATCGCTATGGTATGATATGACTGCATAGTGAACATAAGCGACAGACCCTAAATGGAAATCATGACATGCATGCCATGATTACTGTCACAAACCGAGCGCTCAAAAAAGGGCACGCCGCCAAATTCTCGCGACAAAGCGCCGAGAGGTCAACAATAAAAAAAAGAAAACAAGCATCCAAAGACTGCCCGGGCGCTCGTCCTCCTCCCCTCGGAAGCGTGGGTTCGCCGACGAACCTCCTCTCATCGGCGCCCGAGCAAGCCCTGGAATGTTCTAGATGGAAAGGGGCGGGGTGATGCCGGGTTGCGTCATCCATCGCGGACGGCCTTCGAACTATCTCGCCCTCTCCAGAGCCTTCGCTGCGTATCGCGCCGACGAAATGATGAGAACTTACTGGAATCTCGCGCGGAAGGTATTTATTCGAGCAGCCGAGATGGGAGATCAGCAGAAGAAGGAAGTTAACGCCAGAGTGCGTAGGGTATCCCGCCGTGTCTGTCGGTGAAGGTTTTGTCCTTAGTGACAGAGCAGCAGAAGAAGAAAGTTAGCGCCAGAGTGCGTAGGGTATCCCGCCGCGTCTGTCGGTGAAGGTTTTGTCCTTAGTGACAAAGCAGGAGAAGAAGAAGAAAGTATGCGCCAGAGTGCGTAGGGTGTTGCGCCTTGTGGGCGAAGCCTTTTGTCTTCCGTGACAAAGGAGGAGAAGAAGAGAATTTCCACCTGAGGGGTGAAGACTCGAGCTACAGGCAAGAGTGTGTGTCTACCGCTAGCAAGCGAAGACGCGTGGCAACAGCTGCGTGTGGGAAGCCGACGTGTTTCCGGCGAAGAAGTTTGGAGCCTGGAGAGCGGCCAATTGAAGACGCGAGGTTTCCTGGAAGAGAAACTTCGGGGGCAGCGGAACGACAACAATGCTGGACTTTGAGTGAGTGATTCTCGGAAGAGTATCATCCAGACTTTTGTTCCAAGGACTTTGGACTAAATAAGTTTCATGGTTTCATGGTGGACTAAATAAGTGTCTTGGTTGTTCGATGCATGCGACTGCATTGTAGTGCGTATTGTTGTCTGTGTCCGTTGTTTCGAGTGTGGCTGATTATACTGTGTAATACGTTGTTTGATTGGTGACATATTGTATTCAACTATTGTCGAGTGTGCATACTTGTGTATCGTTTTTATCTGCCATTATTGAGAATATAATTTTGTTTCGTTTATCAACTCTCGGCTCTGACTTTGTTTTTTTTGGGCCACAGCCGGCGTCCGCTGGCGCGCCAAATAGGACCACTTCTAAATTGTCCACGCTTTCGTGGTGCGGTGCAAGGGGCCGATACTTCGGCCCTTGGAATTAGCCCGGCGATCGCCTCCCTAATTAACGGGACCCATGACAACTACACACCACGCTCATGGTGCACTTGCGGTCATTCACTAGCTTCACATATACCCAATTTGGTATATTACAAGACGTGAATGGATGACGAAGGTATGTGACTGATGCAAACATGATAATCATGAGGTGCATGTCATGTAAAAACACGACTACATGACACACTCATGATGCGCACGTGGCCATTTCGCTAGCTCCACATATACCAAATTTGGTATATTACAGAACGTGAATGAATGACAAAGGTATGCGACTGGTGCAAACTTAATAATCATGATATGCATGCAATGTAACAACATGACTACATGCCACGCTCATGATGCGCTCGCGGCCATTTCGCTAGCCATATACCAAATTTGGTATTACGTGACGTGAATAGATGACGAAGGTAAATGACACATTCAAACATGATAATCATGATATGTGTGTGATGTAAAGCATGACTACACGCTGCGCTCAAAGCGTGCTCACAGCCGTTTTCCTAGCTCAACCAAATTTGGCATTGCGTGACGTGAATAGACAGCGAAGGTGAATGACATGTCCAAACATGATAATCATAGCATGTGTGTCATGTAAAACTTGTCTACATGCTATGCTCATAGCACGCTCGCGGCCGTTTTGCTAGCTCCACATATACCAAATTTGGTATAAGGTGACGTGAATAGATGACGAAGATAAATGACACGTCCTAACATGATAATCATGACATAGAAGTCATGTACGGCATTATTTATCTCCGCCTTGCAACGTTGTGCTAATTTTAAAGTGACATGTCAACCTTCCTCATTCGCGCTTCGCATATCATCAATTCCCAATGTACGTGGGATCTGCCAGTTTTTTTTTACTTTTAAAGCTCTGCAAAACTTCAAGAAGTTTCATAATGATATTTAATGGTTATGCCACTGAAACCATTATAGGATACCACAAGCACTGCACCAGTACTGGTAATAAAAGCCGTCCCAGACCACCTAAACGGCACAAGCTTATGCTAATGTTTTGTTGTGCATGATATATACTGCAGTACCAGTCATTTGTACCTGCAACGCTTGCAAAGCACATGTATTGTGGGAGGCCATTCACAAAGAATGCTGTTAGAAAACTTACAATACATGACCCTATCACTTTTTTTTTACAATGCTTGACACCTACAGTGCCGTCCACTTATGCCAATATCCCAATGCAAAACCAATAATTATTATAAGCTGGTTGAGAAAAGAGACAACAAGGGCCAAAATATTTTATTTTCATACAATTAACATAGCGAAACTACGTACTAATCTTTTGCGGAATATCCATAGTCTATCAGCTTCGATTGCTTCACGGAAAGATGGTGCACATCTTTCTCAGTAGCATCTAGGTGCTCCACGTAGCTGTTTTGGAAGCCCTTTGTGAAAACAGTCCCTGAAAGACTGTACCATCCGTTGGACCTCCTGAGACTGTACCTGGGCAGGCTGCTCAACTGTATCGCCAGAGTCGTTGCTCTAACCATTGTCCGCAACATGACGTGGTCAGTGCAGAGAGCCATTTTTGGCAGGCAATGTAGCCAGATTGAATTGATTTAACCAATATTGCAGCACTGAAGCACCACAATAAGCGGTTTATTTTACCATAGAAAGCATAGAATAGTGGACGGTGCCATCGTTGTCGATCGTTATACCTGATATATTGTTATAACCAGTATCATTATAAGTGGATTTAATTGTACAAATGTACAAGAAGGAAAGCTCACCTCGTGGTACATGCGATGAGAACTGGTGTGAGGTAGTGTGGCCAATCTGGGTGGTGGTGATGGTGCTGCCGCGAATGATGGATGCCATCTGAGGCGCTACCGAAGTGACAATGGCGCCAGCATTTGGTAATGACACCCCCGTTGCCGTTGGTGTCACCATATGCCGCAGTGTAGAAGATCCCCCCACTGATCATGCAAAAGAAAATAGGAGGCAACGATATTTCAGGGCCGTGATATTTTAGATTTATCAAGGTAAGGTAACTAATATACCGAAGTAAACTTAATTTTATTAAATGCAACAGGACAATGCAAGTGTCACCACCGGTGTCTCGCAAGTTGGGCAATCTGAAAGTGATACACAGTCTACATACATGGCAGCTACAAAAGCCATTAAACAAACTTCTGGTGATTGGTTGTTTGAATAAAACCCAGCAAAAATGCTGGAACACTGCTTTCTCACAGCAAATGTTGCATGCCCACTAAATACATGCCTTGGACACAAATGTTACGATAGTGATAAATTTTGCATAATCAGAATGGCTTCTGAAATATGATGAAGTAATGTTCACAGACACTATAGCCTGCCTTCAGTGTGGAGCAAGCTTGTAAAGCTATTACAATCCCTGAAAAATAGAGTGTTTATTTTTCATACCAGACAAGTAGAAATCCACTTCATTACAGCATGAATCAATATCCAAACACAACATAACATAGTTTTTTAAAACCTAAGTTAGCACTCACTAAAATTTGAGCTCATTTAAAGATTGAGTGGAAGCAAACATTCTTTTCCTGTGAGACATCTGAGGCATTGCACAGGAGAAAAAGCAGCACAATGAATTGGTCTGTTATTTCTAATTTCTTTTACAGGTGTTGTTCTTTAACCTCTTGCAGTCCAAAAACTTTACCCACTGTCCAGCTGTACCGGACCGAAACTATTTTCCCAGTTTCTGGCATTGCAAAGAAAAACACGAACTGTGGAAGAAAAACTCGTAGGATATTTATTTTTGCTCCTGCATTTTATCGGCAACTCCTTAGCGATATTTGAGCAGCATGAGATACCACTCAAAGCATTCTTCTTGTCATTGCAGGTTTTGCAAAGAAACAGAGGTGTTATTTCCACCATTGTCGTCTTTATTACTAGCTTCGTTCCAACCATTGTCATCATTGTCTGGTGGAGGCACGTAATTCTCTTCCTCACTAAAGTCATCCTCACTCTCACCAAAAACACCACGGTAAAACACATGCGGTGAAAAGTGGCCATGATTCTCAGGGAACCGTGCCCAAGTGGGTACGCTCTAGGCTTCATTCTGAACGTAGTGCAGCACCCTTATGTAAAAAAAAAAAGTAAACCTACAAACTAAGCTCACTCATTCTTAAGAGATGGCACTTCATGTTATTTTAAAAATGCGAGCGATTTGTAGTGAGAAAACCACAAAATTTAAACCACAAACACCCTTGTCGGGCAATGCCTGACAGCGGACTGCTATGGCCATGTTGCGTTGTCGGCTGCTGTTTGATAATGGACCGCAATGGGTTAAGATGCGAAGATTATTTCACACAAGTTTGCACTGCACTGAAACATTTCTTTCTGGCCATGTAGTTGTTTCTTTCAAACTCTCCTTATTTTATTTTAGGCATTTTACATAGAGGAATCACTCCTCGCCTACATTTCAGCCAGCTGGCACCGTTGCACAGAAGGAGGAACAAGAGCTGTTTGAGCTTACACTACAGCACTGTCATTTCCTTTGTAATTGAGCACTTCAACACCACAGCAGCAACTTCACAAGGCCACAAATTTTCTTTGTATTGGGGCCACGGTCGAGAAAAAATCATGTTCGTTTTTTCTGCCTTTTCAGAATCCACACTACAGGCAACAAAATAGGTACAATAGCAAAACTTGACTTCAGATTACTTTTCATATTTTTCAGACGTGTAGCACAATTCTATAGACCATGATGATACGCAATAAATGTGACAAATGCTCGTTTTGATGGCATACACAAAGTTTACGTCAAAAACGACCTATGATTAGAGATAATCCTAAATCTGAGGCTGTGTTCTGTCAGAAATTATTATTGCAGGACCCATTTTTCATAAGCCATCACACTAGATGGCTAATGCAAGTCAGACGTGCAACCCTGAACAAAGGAATACAACAAAACTAAAAAAGAATTTAAACATATGGCCCCTGGTTTTTGCGCACACAAACACTAGAAAATTAGTTTTTGAAGGCAAGACAAAGAACTCTGAAGGGTCTCTGCGCATTACGAGAGCTGCAGCAGCGATATCAGAGCGTGAGCGTACCAGACTTTACTGTATACGATGGCGTGACCGAGGCAGCGATTACATTTCCACCGGTTGAGGACACAGAAATGGCTGGCTGTAAAACTGGCCTTGGAGATGCAGGAAGCCTCTGTCCCAGCGTCTGGAAAGGCAGAAAATAAGCAATCAGGAGCGCACATGCTGCACGTAACACGGAGGTTTTATCATTATTATCTTTTACTTCTGTGGCAAAAATAACAAAAAGAGAAAAGAAGAAAAGCTGCTAAATTTAGCTGACTGCAATTTTTATGGCTAAGCTACATGGCAAGGTAGACACTATCAATTTCGCCTTTAGTACTTTGTTTTAATTACCTGAAATTTGCCAAGTGGCCTTTTGGTCTTCTTAACTATAACATCCATTGCTGTAAAATTTAATGAGCAGTAGTGAAGTCGTGCATTGAAGTGAAGTAGCTTGCATCGTCATCAAGGGACAGTGCCTTCATCATGGCAGCTATATAGCGCTTTCAGCTCCCACTAATGAACTCTGTGCCCGCAGCGGGCAAAAGCACAGCCGTTAAAATCGGGGCCGATATACAAAGAAAATCATTGTTGGAATGACAGTCTGTGCACTACTTAGACTAATGTAAAAAAAAGACTTCGTTTCTTTCTCATTGAATTTAAACATGCAGAGCTAGCATTTTTATTCAGAATTATATCACTGTGTAAGAAACATTTATTACGATTGGCTGAGCACTAGTGGGAATTGAGACTGCTAAATTCTTTCGTAACCACGCCTATTCAAATGGATCACCAGTGATCAACACTTTTGGTTTGTCAATTTTGGCATGTTAAATTTGTTTTTCGTGCACCCGCACTTTGTAGCCACCCAACTTTCAGAGTCAATTTGAATTTGCCAGTTATGGCATCATGGAAATTTTCGACAGACCTTTGCACGAACCAATGTGCCTGTATTGTTAGAAAAGTTGTGGGGTCTCAACGTGACGAGCGGGCACCACGCTCTTTGGAGTGAACGGACACAGCAGACGCGGTCGGTACAAACCAAACAACGTAAACATACATTTATTTAACTAATTTATAACGATGATATCGTCCACCGAATGATGCATAAATTGTAATTAACATGCTACCATACAAACAACATAACACAGTAACACACCAAACACACAATAACATACCGAAGGCGGCGTCGCCAACGCTTGGCTTACCACGTGGGCCCCCCAGCGCGCAGGCCCGCGGTGCCCCGCGCCGAGGACCCACGCTAGAGACAACCGTTCGCGGCAGCTGCCACGCGGAGACGAGGCTCGCTCAATTCTCGCCTGCCACCAAGGCCTGCCTTCCGCCAGGGGTCACCGTCGGCGCTATCACTCTGCCAACAGTGGTACTCAACGCGAACACAACGCCATCTACCGTCCAGCGATTGTCACCCCTGAAATACGGCTTCTGTGCGAGACACGTGCGCCACGCGGCGCACACAACTTTACAAGTGGTGTCAGCACCCCCACAAAGTGCACTAGGGTGGCAAACTAGACAGAAGTGCGTGCCCTTCGTGATTATGCTACAGTAACATCGATAGATATGTGGGGCTTAACGTCTCAAAACCACCATATGATTATGAGACGCCGTAGTGGAGGGCTCCGGAAATTTCGACCACCCGGGGTTCTTTAACGTGCACCCAAATCTGAGCACACGGGCTTACAACATTTCCGCCTCCATCGGAAATGCAGCCGCCGCAGCCGGGATTCGAACCCGCGACCTGCGGGTCAGCAGCCGAGTACCTTAGCCCCTAGACCACTGCGGCGGGGCTATGTTACAGTAACATCGAAGTTCTAAAATGAAAAGAACCTTTTCACGTCTAATATCGAATTAAAGTGTCAGCTTTGCAATTTGAGTATCTTGAGAAGTAATAATTGCCAGAAATTTATGCCAGGTATTCAATAGAGAGCTGTTCCTGGGAGTCGGGGAAAATTTGTTCTACAAAAAAATATTTAAGAAGGTCCGCCGCGTGTTCAAAGTGTCGAGGTGGCCTTCTCTGACAGTTTCCAACAGCTTTCGTTTTGCTTGCTTTGTTTATCAGACACAGGGTCGCATCTAGTGTCACTAGTCGCCCTTATGGCGCCATCATCATGCATGCATAGGTGCGCACCAGCGCTGCAAAACACATGCACTGCTCGAAATTGTCTTGCAACCCGACCTGAATTGAGTGTGGACGAGCTTAAATAGAGTTTAAGGATGACAGCACTTCAGATTCAAGATTTATGGCGACTATGTTTTGCATCAGCCTGAGACATTCGCGGCCGTTCATGGTGTTGTGTTGTTTACATCCTCAAGTTGTCTCCTCCCTCGCAAGTGCGTATAGCTTCTGACCTTTGCGCACAATCTTATAGCTACTCTGGTTACGTGCATGGTCCACACTTCACTGGGGCCTGGTGTGCTGGCGCTGGCTGCAGAGCTTCTCCTAACGACAAGAAGCCCCCGGAGCGCATCTTGGCCCTGACTACAGTACAATGCGAAACGTTTTTGAATTTCACACGATATTGTCTCTTTTTTAATACGATATACGCAAAATGCAAAGAAATATGCTTTGATGCATATATTGGAACGTCAACCTATGCAGAGTGAGGTGGCTCATGGAAAGAGGTGACGCTAGATGAAATAGTGAGGTTCATTGGACATCTCATTTATAGAGGGATTATTGACATCACGGGTATCCATCTACAATGAAACAGCTGGAGACTCTTATCGCAAGACAACAAAAATATACTGAAGAAATCGTACGAGTACACGTGTGTCTTACGAAAAACTATGCAACGCTTCACCGCACGGCACAAGCAACGAAGCAGCACCTCGGTTCTGATTTCTTCTGTCGATGTGAAGAAGAAACACTTTGTACAACAGTTCAGTATTCCTTATACTGTTCATGGGTCATTTATCTACAGAATTTATATTCTGAATTTCCTTTGTTTTGAATATTTTCGTATATATAGTGTTTTTTATTGCATTGTTTGTTTACCAGCTGGCCCCCAAATATTCCACACTTCACATTTTTATTCATTCTAAAATACTTTTATTGCTCTAGAGCATAGGTCTTTTGGAAAGAGAATATCATTGTTTAAAGTTTGGTATGCTGCGATGCGTGCTGGAGTATTTTTCAAACTGGCAAAAACGATCCTCCCGAGACATATGAAAAACAACCATTTTTGCGTAGTAACAAAAGAGTTAAAGTGCACACAAAAAAGTCAGTTTGGGTGGCTTAGTGGCAAAGGCATTGTCTTTAACTAAGCATAAGGAAACGAGTTCAATTTACAGCCCCGGTGGCCACATGTTCATGGAGGCAACTGACGGAACAGCTGTGTACCTGGATTTAAGTGTACATCACAAAACATCCCAGGTGAAAATGTTTGCACCCCAGGTGGAAATTTTTGCATTACACAACATCCCTAAATAATTCCGGAGTTGCTTACTAAAACTTCCTCATAATGACATCTTCATTCTCGAAATGAAGTGTACGTTTAAATGCTCCTGCAGACCATAGTCAAAATAAGTTGCTGTTGTTATAGCCTTAAAAAAAAGTGGTAAGCTTTGTCCAGAAGGTGAAATTCATTGCCGAAATAGCTCCAGTGAATGCAATTTCTAGGACTGCTAATTGTGCATGGGCAAAATTTAAAATTCCACTGACGACACCTACAACGATGCAGTGAGCACTCTTCCAAGAAGCTTTGGTGACACTGTGTATGGACACTACACATGCAATTAGCCAGCAATAAATGAACAACTAAATTTTTATCTAAAAAATGCAGCAATGGCGGTACATCTTGCAATTCAAATGACAGCTTTTCATTTTCACAACACTTTGGTGTTAGTCTATGGGAATATCTCACATTTTATACGTTATTACTGAATTTATATTTATCATCTATATTACTGAATTTATATTTATCATCTATTGTACATTTTAATGTAATATTGCAGGGTGTCTTCAAAACAAGATGTGCTAATTTTCATGCAAGACAACCAGAATCGGCTCTGTTCCATTCCTCTGTGACCAGTATACCGATATTAAGTTGCACCACAGGGGTCATTTCGAATCTCAAGTGTGAAAAAAAAAAAATAGGCACCCTTATTTGGTGAGCACAAGGAGCTTGAATAATCATAGTAAAAGCATAATTATCATAACGCAAATTGACATCAGTCACACTCAAGCGAACACAAAAGAAAAGGCTACGCCCAACAAGAGTAGTGTCTAATAGCGTAGCATTAAATAAAAACTTTCCTACACATAAAATATACAGCGCACAGCTCCGACATGAAGTACAGCTCCTTTGACAGAATGAAAAGCATGCATACATCTGAACGATGCCTGTTTTTTTAACTTTCAACGTTATGCGTAGTTACTTAACTTTACAAGCCCAAAGAGTCTTCGCTATATTTGTCAGCACATGGCTGTGCTTCAAATGCACATTCTCACACAGTTAGAATCATGCTGACATTACTGATTGCCATCAACAACAGTTGCCTGGTAGGTTCTCCCGACTTCATTTTTGTAAGAGCTGCGACAAATTCAGAAATGTGCACGCAGTAGCACAACTCATCAGCTGCACAACATCACCATGATCGAGTGCTAAGTTATGTAAACACAGCGGACAGTACATCCAACAGATCCAATTTCTTTTTTATTGTTAATATTTATCAGGTTATGCCGTATCACTCAAAATTAAAAAACTTTGTCGACCTGGTGCACATTCTTACTACAGCTTCCTGAGCCAGTACAATCACAACATTCAAATTGTAAGCAACCAATTTCAGTGTCACACAGTGTTACTCAAATTCCTTGACATCTTAAGCTTTTACAAAAGTGATATTACTAATCCTAAATGTGCATAAATAAATCTTTTTTCTAATTCTTTTTTCTAATAACGGGGGATGAAAACAATCAACCCACAGGTGTTATCAACCACTGAAACTTTGTTTACTGCTTCTGCCAAAGTGTGAAATACGTTGCACTCATACAACTGACCTTTCATTTCCAACACACTTATTCTCATAAAGTATAGGATTGAAACTCTGCACGGAAAATCCAGCAAACAATAAAAGCATATGTACAAGCAGGTGATATTTATATGCTGCCGAAATTTGAAGCAGCTAGCTAGAATGTGTCAGTTCTGTTGAACCTATAACAGTTCCATGGGAATCATAATCACATAAACAAGATTTTGCCACGCTAACGCTAAGAAAAACTCAGTTGAAATAGCAAATCAGTGTTGCTGTCAACACAGTTGTAGCTATGTTGACAGTAAGCGACTAGCACATGAGAATTGGTTGCAAAGGGGAACACACGCACAGCTGATACACGCTACATGTATTAAATTCACAGCCTTCCATGCAGGAACAGGCGGTGAAGGAATTACAACGGCTAAATATAAGACACGCATTCTCAGTACGTCGGAACAGTTACAAGTGCGATCGACAACTGCTAGTCGGTCCTCTCGTTCACTGCACTTGCGTGCGAGCTTAGGAGTGTCGTACGAGCTCTCTTCCTGCAGGGGCGACGCTCTTTAAGCCGCGTGGTGAAAGTTATGACGTATAGTCACGGACGTCAGCGATCCCAGAAACGGGAATGGGCTCGGCGTGCAAGCGAGCTCAACACACAGGCCGCGACGTCTCCTTACCGTAAACGCAGACTTGGCCGTGTCCAGATGCGGTCGTAGCGCGGGACCGATGGTGGTGACCTGCAGTGGCGCCGGCTTGGCAGCGGCGTGCGGATGCGCCGTTCTGGGAGCCAGGTCCATCGGCTGCTCCCCTTTGTCAGGCGGCTTCAGCTCGACGCTGCCTGGGGCCTTCTGCACCCCTGACATCCTGAAGAACGAAGGAGACGGGGCATCGCGGCGTCAGAACACCACGACGAGCAACGAAGAGGCCGAAAATCGCGCAGCAGTAAGGCAAAGGCGACGCTAACCCGACGAGGCAAGGTCGACAGCCGCGCCAACTCTCCCTGCGTATTGGCCTCAAGCGAGGGGGGATCCCTAGACCGTCGACCGCTCGCTCGACTTTTTGAATGGCCGCGCGACGGCGATCGCAGCTGGGAAACAAATAGCCGCGTAGGCACGAGGATTTCAGGAATGCGCTGGGCGGACGTCGCGTCAGACGGTGCGAGCACAATCATGGCGAAGAGAAGCGGCGGCGGCGATTCCCGCTGCGTTGTCTACGCGATCAAAGCAGGCTCCCAGGCTCGCGACCGGGCGTCGATTTCGGCCCGACGCCGTTTCATCGAAAATGCCGTCGCCTCCCTCGTCTCACGACGCTCGCTACGCAACACGCGAAGCGGCCGCTCCTTCGGAAGCCCCCAGGTAGCTGGGCAGGCTCGCTGGTGGCTCAAATCATCCTGGTAAGCAACCGAAAAAGAAACAACGTCGCGCTGCTTCCAGACAGTCGACGATGGACGGCGCGTGGCGGTGGCCTGTCGGGCTAACGTTGGGTCACTATCTCTCGGGAGAAATCGGGCAGGAAAACGATTTGTTTATAGTAGGTCACGAAAAAATGCGTATCTGGCCGAGCAAGCTAGCTCGCTCGCAGACAGCTCCATAGCGCCAATTCGAAAGAAGTTGTGCCAGCGGCTTGGATCGCTCCGAAATACGTGAGAAAGTGTGCCCGAGGATCGGTACACAAAATCGCGAGCGTATGATGAACAGTTTCGACTTACTTTTGCATTCGGACGATATACCAGCTGTAGGTATTTTAAACTCCTGCCCCCACGAAGCAACATAAGCTGTCGAATTTACAGTACTTGTGCGCATGTCCGGCTGGGGCGAAAATGTGGCGGGATAAGCGTGAAGCCTCGGAAACAAGAAAAACAACGAAATAGAAACTAAACACAACAGCAACCACCGCATCATCGTGCGGTGCACAACTTTTTTTTAAAAATAAAGTGCTATTTACTATTTAAATTGAACAATTTTGTTGAAAGCACATAATAATTGTCAAATTTGTTAAAGTTTAATTTATAAAATACTATATGTTTCACGTTTTGTGTGCATTATGGTTGGGTATAGCAAAACGCAAAACAAATCTGGCAACGCTTTTAAAGAAGGTTTTTTTGCTTACGGACAGATGGCAGCGCTTTCGCGAATTGTTGCTTGGAGTAGGTAGCCGGCGCTAGTTGTTCGCTAAGTAATGCACCAGTCGACTCGCATACGACAAAGCAGTCTGCTGGATCGCGAAAAGAACAATACCAATCATGATCAAAAGAGTTTTGTGTGTCGAAAGTTACCTACTCGCATTCATTCGGCAGTGATCAAATAATATCACTGAACTAGAGTGACGTAGAATATTCTAGGTCACTCTAACTGAACTGGACGTGACTCTTCGATGCGCGTACCTCGACTTTGGCGATGCGATGACGAAGCGGAGGCAACGTATCAATGGCTCATCTAGTTTTCGATTTTGTTTGAGAGTTGAAAATGGCACTGAAAGGAAACTCGCGTTAGTTTGATGGCGATGTGCATTTTTTTTTTTTTCATTTAACAACAAACGGTGAAGCTGCAACTACAATTCTAGTTTTGCGCCAATTTTTGATGTTGATAGTTGTTTGACAATAAGCTTTGATCCGCGAATTTATAACTCAAAATATTTGTCGACATCGTAATGCAATATTATGCCTCTTTAGAATAAAGAATAATTTTTTTCGATAACTTGAAGTATGACTGCTGAGAAAAAAATTGTCACCGGAAATTTCATTAACACCATCTCCACGCACATGCATTCGCTATGATGCTGTCTGTTTCGTTTTCAAGATACGTGATGTATTCTTTTGTTGGTTGTTCCAGTAAAGAACGAGGTATCACAGGAGCGTCGCCAGGGTTTTGTTTATGCAGCGCTCTGTGTCCCTTGTTTTGTCCGCTCCAGTCGGTTGCGCCGATCTGGATTCCTAATTATTGCTGCTCATTACGCGATTAAAGTGCAGCGCACACATTGGTTAGTCACTGACAAACTGTCAATGCCACCGTGGTACCCGTGCTTGACCGCGAAGCAATCAAGCTTTTTCTCTTTCTTTTACACTGCTCAGAGTTACCAACAATGTCACGGTGCAAAGAAGTCGCTACATATACGACGACGCCATTTCTCTCACGCGCGCAGGTCATGCGGAAATCGATGCGAAATAGCATTTCCTTTCCTTCTTTTTTTTTCTTAGGTTTTCTTTTTTGTTCGCTATCTCGCTCTTTCGTTTTATAGTTTTCCTTCATCGGGCCCCGGGGGAACAGCAAGAGTAAAAGGGCGCCAAGGGCAGTCACCCGCCGCCGGCGTAGAACCGATGATGGTCGCGTGCTATGGGCGATGCGGTGAGCGCGTGCACAGTCATGCGCAAATCACGACACGCGCCATCTCTCATCTACGCTGGCCACGCCGTACGCATCGCCATTGCGAGCAGTGGGCAATCATACGCGGCGGGGAACCACGCAGTACATATGCAACATCTCTCTCTCTCTCTTTGGTCCACGCATGGAGTCATCGGGAATGACGTCGTCGTGCGCGCCGTTTCGGAACATTAGGCGGCCAGGAAGGAGAGCGGGAGGGAGCATGCAGAACATGCATACGCAGCGAAGAAACAACAAAAGAAATGGCGGCTGTGAAGCAACATATGCGTCCACAAGGAAGTGCGCGCGTACTGACGCGTGCGCGGAGGAGCGCACGCTTGTATGGACGCGAAATGCGCGCATATATAGTATATGAACAAAAACAAATGTGTGGGGGGGGGGGGTGAAAATGGGATGATGCGGTGGTGGACGTGCACGCCATATGATGATGCGTGCCTCAATTTCTCGCTTACGTCTATACGACGTGTGTGTGCAGAATGACGGGCCGATCCGGTTATAGAGCTCGGAAAATTTTGTTGGTGCTTCCCACGGAACGCCTGCACTGAGATTGTGCGCTTCTAGTATAGATGTGAACCCGAGTATACTAGCAGCAAATAAACGAGGATACTGGAAATTGCGCAACCTATAAACCCCGTATTAAGCGCTGTTTCGTCCTTTCTTTCCTTTTTTTTTTTCGATTGCGAATGTAGATTCAAGGTCATTCTTTCTACCAGACATTTATGTGTATGTCTACAATGAAAGGTTTTTCCTCTGCACATACAGCGACATAGCCTGCATCACGATTCACGCTACAATAGGGAGAAACAGAGTGCAGGTAAGATAACCCCACTGAGGTTAGTATAACCTCCTTGGATAAACCTGACTGTCCTGTCCTGACTGATTTCACGAAACAATTTACTAGCCTTAGGGCTTAGATAGATGCAAAGGTTTCGGTTCAACGGCAGGTACGGATGCTAGAAAGTGAACAGTCAATGGGCGTACCATCAAGCATCGTTTTAACGTATAGTTGAAGGGGAAGCCATGCTTTTTTCGTCCTAACCATTACTTCGTTTTACACATTTTTCATACTCACCGCCTTTATAATACCACCAGGCGATAGGGATGTGCCTATATGGGTTCAGATTACAAACGTATCTAATTTGATTTCGGTGGGTTTTCTTCAAAGAGAATGTCTGCACTCCGCTGCCACAGGTATGCTCCAGTCCACCGCTGCCGCAATCGTGCGCAACAAAGTAACGCAATAAATCCACCACATCCATACTCTGCACGGCCAGTGGGACATCTACTTCGCAAGCATCGCAGTTGTGACCTTTCCCGCGGCGTCCGCAGTCAGTTTTCCGAATCATTCAGAAAAGGCCTTGTAAGAATTAAGAAAACTGCATGGTACAGCATCGATGGTTTTCGTTGAACTTAGGAGTTATATATGAGATACGAATGATATCGGAGCACAAGATTACTTCAGGATGACTGCCAGTTGGGCGTGTTGGTAAAGGTTCATGATGAAACAAGCACTAAAAACACACACACTTTTTTTTTACGTTTTCTTGATTCTTGACACGTGTTTGTTTCCAGGTTGTGTGCCATCGATTACTGGGAGTGCATATTTCGTTATAACACGTTGTTGATGATCACAGGGGAAGTCGGGAATGACGTACATGCGTGGGATGTATTTATTAGTGTTCGCTTCGAAATAAAAATTTTCAGTTGCTAGTAAGCGCTTGTCTGTGTCCTCTCTGAGTGTGTGTACTTTTAGCACTTGTTTCATCATAAAGATTACTTCAGTTAACCACCGGCACAATAACAAAAATTAATTCAGTGAGTTCACTGAAAGAGCAAATTCTTTTGAGCAGGTAAGGGGCTTTAGAGCAGGTGGGATCATTGCGGCACCTGGCGGAGCATGTCTCAACCACGCGCTTCTTCCTACTTGGCCTTTGAGGTTCGCTTTGGCAGTAGGGCGAAAATGAATGTTGACCCAAAGAATACACCACTGCGTACAAAACGGCGAGATACAAGTTAAGAATTAGGGCCACGTCCAATTTTCTTTATGAATTTTGGAGACCAATATTATTTCATTTTATTCGCGGATACAAAAATTTCAATTCGTTAACACTAGGTTTCAAATTACTCGTATTTTGATGGGAACTTCGAGGTGTACCATTCTAAATAGTCTCGTCATGTCCAATAATACTTCGCTAAAACTGGTTTTGTTGTAACGAGGTTTGGCTGTGCAAATAAATGGTGTAAAGAAAAGATGGCGCACCTTGCGAAACCCATGCAATGCAGCTGCGTTCGCAGTGCACGCGTCCAAAGGTGCGCTGAAGCTGGCTCATGCTCGTTCTCATGGTGCCATCCGGCCCGGTCAAGCAGCTTGTCGATGTACTGGGGCCATGAACGCTGACGTGGCCGTCGTGCCGGCAAGGAAGACTCCCGCCCACGCGAAAGCAATCTACGACATTGTTTTTCAAGTGAACCCCGGCGACAACTTTATGTGGCAGCATAGCCAAGACTACGAAGCCCAACCGCACCTTTTTTTTTTTTACTACGCTGCTGCATGTAGTCCCCGAACGCTAACTTTTATGTATACTGTGTAGCATAAAGAATAAATATTGAAAAAGAAGTTTATAAGTATTATGTTCAAGATTGTTCGCATTGTTATTAAGAAGCTTACACTGTACAGGAATTTCGTTGTTTGCTGTTTCTAGTTTTCTATTGTTGTTGTTTTTTTTGTCTGTGTGTGCCATTTCACCTTTTTTTTTCTGCCTTGATAAACAACGATGGTGTCCCTCGGTTGCAGCAAGTTCACATCGAAGATTGTGAGCCATCATCCGTGTGTGTTCGTCAGGTGATCAGCATTCATCGAGCAGGAAGAAACGAAGACGGTGGTGCGTCGTGAAATATTTTGTTTCCAGCACGTGCAATTACCAAGAAAGAATACGTGTGAGTAATATCATCAGTGAAAGTGGGACTCTAATAGCTCCAATAACCTTATCCTCAATATAATAGGAGGTTGGCCGCTAGGGGGCTGAGCCACTCGGACGCCTCTCGAATGGGTTCTGCCAGTTTTTCACTTTCGCGGCTGAATAAGGACAACCACGGGATTCAAGACCATCACAGATGTCACCAGACGATCACCCGATTCGTCCGATGCCAGGATATACCAGGTGGGCCTACTTTTTTTGAGCCGTGACACTTCTTTTAAGTTCCCACAACGGCGTCGCCCTAGCTACGCCATCGCAGTGCCGACGCAGTGCCATCGACGCGCTGGCAACTAGGCGACAAGCCAGGCCCCCGGCTTGTTCGAAGCCTGCGAAATGGATGTTGTGGAAGTTGAAGGGGAGACGCTGTCTCCCGAAGAGTACAACGACACTCAAGGATGGGTTGTGGCCCATGAACGACGCAAGAAGGCAAAAGACAACAGAAACGCGGAACCAGC